TGTTGTAATCTAGCTATTCTATTATGAATATCCATTGTATATGTTCACTTTTTCTTATGTTTGTTGCTTATTAATTTATAACTAATATAACTAGCCTACAAACTAATATTCTCAAACATAAATACAAGGGACAAACCTCTTGTATTTATACACTTACACCTTCGGTTAAACTTGCCATTATTCATTTATCATGGTGGCTAACTTTCCAGTTTTAGATTACTTAAGATGCCTTATCATGATAAGACTCTTATCTCTTATCACTCGATCATGATTGGCTTCGGCATCTTATCTCAACAAGATCAGATGAGAATAAGGTTTGCAAAATAAAGAAAGAATCTTATGTAGCCAAGGCATTAAATTAATCTAAAACTGGAATGATTAACCAAAGTGATAAGTATATAAATACAAGAGGTTTATCCCTATGTTTGGAAGTATCAGTTTGTAAATAACTTATTTTAGTTTGTTGAGATAAGATGCCGAAGCCAATCATGATCGAGGGATAAGAGATAAGAATCTTATCATGATAAGGTATCTTAGGGTTGAGATAAGATGCCGAGGCCAATAAGGATTGAGTGATAAGAGATAAGAGTCTTATCATGATAAGGCATCTTAAGTAATCTAAAACTGGAAAGTTAGCCGCCATGATAAATGAATAATGGCAAGTTTAACCGAAGGTGTAAGTGTATAAATACAAGAGGTTTGTCCCTTGTATTTATGTTTGAGAATATTAGTTTGTAGGCTAGTTATATTAGTTATAAATTAATAAGCAACAAACATAAGAAAAAGTGAACATATACAATGGATATTCATAATAGAATAGCTAGATTACAACATAGTTCTATATAAGATACCACAAAGAATGGTTATTCCATCAAGAATAAATAGACTTCAACAACTTTCTCTTATCTTTTGCAATGCTAGTTAGACTTCATTTTACCCCCTTCGTTGACTCACCTTATAAGAAGATTTTGAAGAAACCTTCTAGAATTTTATTTATGTCTGGTGAAGTCAGGCTCTTTGGTTCGTTATATTCATTTAATTACTAGAAGGACAAGTATTTAGATTACAAAAGATCATCTATAATTGTAACGTGCTCATGTTTCTCCTCTTCCCAATCTTCGTACAGACCCATGTTGAAGCATACATATTGACTCTATCAATAGCATGTGTTGGAGTTCTTACAGCCGCAGCTTCACAAGTAAAACCAATTTTTTCAAAATTTGAGATATACCATGGGTGTTCCGATGCTGATCTTAACATAACTCTTCCTCCTGAACCTAAGGCGTGATATAGGGCAGCTATTTCAGTATCAGCATCGGTACCATCTTCAGAGAACCAATCCATATGGTCCATAATGATAGCAATTGTAAGTGAGCCAGGTGTTAAACGTGAAAAGACGTCATTGAGGAAATCAGTATGGATTCTGATACGATTTAGTGGGCTGTCTTCCTTACGTGAGAAAGTTTTGAAAGCATGGGAAGTCAAGTAGTCAGGACAATTGTTTTTAGAGTATTGACCTTGCAAGCAGAGGTAGTAAAAGTAGTTATCTGTTGAGATTAGCGACCGATCAACCATTGGCTCAAAAGTGTCTTTAACATATTTCAAAACAGAATTGCCCATCATAGCAGCTTGGTTAGCAGGGACACCTAATGCTTTCCATAGGAAAAGAGGATTTCCTACCAGAAGTTTGGAGACGATAGGGTTCAATAATGTCGGCTTGATTTTTGCATCCCAAATTTGCTTTTGCTGTTTCATTGTTTTTGCTGAGCATAATTCATCGACATCGTCCTTCACTCCTGTCAAATAGAACAGATAACTAGCCATTCTCAATGCCCATTTGGAAAATCCTGTATCATATAGGCCTCTGCCTTTGACATCAAAAGTTTGAGGACCTTTTGCATACCAGTATTGTAAAGCATTAGATGACATATGTGGCGACATTTTGTTGATTAGAAGGTCATTGAAGTTTTCAATTTTGCCGACACCAAACAGCTGCCAAACCTCTTCTTTCGTGAGAGACTTGAAAGCAGCCAACTTCAATTCCATCAGATGACCCTGACACGGATTCAAATCAACACAGTGTATTCTTCTTGGTGCGTTTGGAAGTTGTGCATACGACAAAACATTGTCTCCAGCAGAGGTGATTGCTAGAACGGTATCACTTGATTTGAAATTCAATATCTTATCATCCTCTCTGGGGTCTTCCCACGTAAAAGCATAAATATAGTCGTTATTGAACTGGTTGTACTCAGGTCTCATTTCATCATAGTAGACACGATATATGTCTTCTTGATAATACAACGATGGGTATGGAAGGTTTCTAATTTGATTGCTCATTGCTGCTTCATGGCCTTTACTAGTTTTTAAATCCTTTTTGGCTTCCAGAGCATCCTGAGGCGCCAGATAAGGAGACTCAGTTGCTAATGCATTCACTCTGTGCAAAAGTGCAGGTGATCTATCCTTATCGCAGCCTAGCCAAATGTAGTAAGGAATATTACCCAGATTTTTGTTGCACAAGTTTAGCGACTTCAAGGTTCCAAATCGATATTCCAAATAATCTCTTCTGGCAGGATCCAAAAACACTCTATCTGTTTCAAACCAGACTCTCCAGAAGGTTCTAAAAGCCCATGGAATATGTCTGTTAGCCAAACCACCCACTGTATTGACTCTACCTGTGGTGGTTTCACAAGATTGAACACCAAAGTCAACACAGCAAATCACACCGTTCTTGTGCAGCAACTGCTGTAGGTGGTCAATCGCAGAATGGAAAGTAGGGATCATTGACAATGAATAGGACATTGTGATTAGGTCAACAGAATCATGGGGAACGCGGAATGTACATGCATCTTCGAGGATACAGTGGACATTGGTAATACCCAATCTCTCAAACCTTTCTTTGGCAACTCCCAACAACGAGGGGGAGAGATCGACAATGTAAACGGCTTTGAACTTTGCCGATAAACCTACTAAACTGTTCATGTACTCCACGTTCCATCCGGTGCCGCCTCCAACGTCGACCCACACCAAATCCTTCTTCTTCTGCAAGTTGGCGATGGCTAGCTGCAAAGATTGCTCTCTACCTTTCAACAAGTATGGTCTGGTAGCGTCATAGATTTTTGCCTGTGCCTCATAGAATGACTCCAAGGTAGACTGCTGGTCTATTGTGGCGTTTGCCTTCTTTTTAGCCGATCCAGTAAACGGAGCGACAAAGCAATGATAGCAGAATAGCAGCAGAGTTTTTGCCGATGTATTCAACAGTATGACGCTCAAGCCTGCCAAAAGGGCAACCAGAATTGTCAGTGAGTACTTCGGGAAATAGGATTCTGGCGCTGTTAGAAACGCGTTCCGTAGCGTAGAGTTGACAGCTTCCATTATTGGTGGGTGATAAAAGCCTACTTTCAGCGACTCCTTTTTCTAGTCTTTCCTCCAAAGCTGCACCCATATTTGGGACCAAACTTCAGTTTGGAAAACACATTCTCCTTAAATAAAACAAATCCTATGGTCACATAACATCCTCATCAAAAGCCTCTAGCATGTGAAGATTCCCGGCCAAAGAACGTGCCCCCTTCATTGCTGTGCCTGGTTAAGGGATCCGTTGCAGATAGCCATCTCTAGATTTCCGTTTTCGGAGTCCCCACACGTGCCTGCATGTGCAACAAAAAAAGACTGAAAATGCGAAAACAGGAAAAAAAGCTCCGAGAAGTCGATCGACCCCGAAACGTGGAAACGTCTTTTTGTGCAAGTACATGATACTTTGCGAAATATGATAGGAGAAGTGGGAGGTAAACTAGCTCAGGAGAGGTGCTAACAGACGGTCTCCATGCGACAGTAGGGAAAGTGGAAAATGAGATTTGACAGGATAGGACTGGGTGTGCTTCCAAGTTTGAAAAGATCTCTAAGGTTTGGATTTTCTCCCCTAACATCACGTTTTTTATTGGAACATCCAAAACCTCTCGATGCTTCATTTCGATATTATTCGCTGCAAAGAAGCGTTGTGAATAAACCTCTGTTTCACACTAGTCGACAACAGAGCAGAATTATAGGTGCTGTCGGTTTGTCTGGCGTGAGGTGTTTTCATTCCTCGGTGCCTAAACATGCAGAGTTCTGGAAGGTCGGCACAAACATCAAAATTTTCAGAAATATGTTGAAGGAGTCGGGGAGCAGCCAGTGGAAGTATAGGGTTGTGTTATTTTTGGTCATTTTCACTATCCTGAACTTCTTTTTCAACGTCATGCTCGCGATTCTCACGAATATCTATCTAGACGGGTTGCAGCCTTCATGCTGGCAGTTTGGATTTTCGACAAATACCGAGTTCAAAACGGGTCTAGTCAACGAATACATAAAGCTTGACGAAAATGCAGCGAATACGGACTACTATAATACTCTGAAAGCCTTGGCTAGAGATAACGGGATTTTGTACAGTATGGATGATGATAATGTTGAGATCAGTAAGGTGCTCTTGGACACAAGTGAACTCGATACCTGGTTCAACGACAAAAAGAACTTGAAGTATATTTCGGTTTACTGTGACTTGCTTCTTAGATATGCCTTGACGCGTGACGAAAGGAATCATGAGGAGGTCCAATTTGTCATCCAAAGGGCTTTCGACCTAATCAATCACTACGAATCCGTCTCTCATCAGACGGTGTCAACATATGCCTTGAAAAACAAGGCGTTAAGAATACAAGCGGACCTGCTCAAGTTCAGTGGACATTGTTTTGCGGAGGTAGAACAGAAATATTATGATTCGATTCGTTTGGTTATTGAAAACGAGTATTCTCACAAACACCTTGAGTCTAAAGACATAGCAATAGTTCCACCAGACGAAATTTCATCCAACAACCTCACAAACTCGTTGCTTGATTTGTGCTCGTTTTACTCGGAAACAAGAGACCCAAAGTACGTCAATAAGGCCTTAAATATTCTTTTATCAGAGCTAAGGTCTCTAGACTCTGAATTCACTACTCTAGATTCCCAGTTCAACTCAAATGATATTTTCAAAAGGGACACCAAAGTTCTTTCGAACAAAAGTGAAAAGAGACTCATGGAGTTGAGATTCGAAAAGATACCCTTGATAAATATGCAGATTAGTGAGTTACTATGGTTTGAGAAGAAGTACGATAAGTCAATCGAGTTTGCCAAAGAATCAGCCCAAGTTTCGAGCATGTATGCAACCATGAACTTCAACTCTGCAAAAATCGCCAAAATGGGGTTCATGAATTTGTCTACAATGTTCCAGCACCTGGGTGACAAAGAAGGTTCAACTCTTTGTTTGAAGCGGTCAGAAGAAATTGCCGTCCCTATGGATGCCTTTTCCAGAATGCCGGGAACGGTCCGTGATGTTGTGCTAGAATACTGGTTCGGCTCTTGGGGTAAGTTTCTTTTCCCTGGTTGATCGGAACATTTTAGTTCGCGTTCGATGGGAAAATCAATATTGTACATAGTATTTTTTATATAGCATTTCAGTTCTTATAATTGAGATTGGATAGAGTTAGGAGGGCTTTACTGTAAGCCGTACGTGTTAACAATAAGCAATTACAGAAGGGCTTATGCGTTTAGATCCAGCAGACATCTAGTATGGAACCAACTTTTAGTAATCTGCTGAAGATCTCGCTCGAAAGGCAGTATCCACCCACCACATTCGCCAAGCTTTTCAGAGATTTTGAAAAGAAACAAGCCAACACAAACAACGGGAGGATAGATACCACACCCTTGTACATAGACAGTGGAGACAACTACCTCCAAAGAAGCTACATTTTTGAGATATTGGTCGGGTCAGATTTAGAGAATAACTTCGAGGAGTTTATCAATTTTTTTTCAGTTGTATCTGAGAAACTCAAATTTAATGACCAGCATTCGGTACTCCTGTTCATAAATCAGACGGCAGAGAAGTTCCCATGGAAAAATTACGCTCAAAATGTCTTGGTGTTGAACTGTCTTTCCGCATACTCTAAGTATCTAGTTTCCAACTTTGTTGAATCCGAGGAATTTACCCGAATTTCAAATCTGTTTGTGAAAATCTTAATAAACATATTCAAAGTTTCCAATGCATTCAAGTTGAATGAGAACTTTGTTCAAACGACCACGGAATTCAAGCTAGATGAGAATTTTGTTCAATCGACTACGGAATTTATGGAGTGGTTGAACGCAAAGTCATTGCATGACGCTTACAAGCCGCTCAACTTTTATCTCGGCGAATATGTGAAATCATCTGTCAAGTTTGGATTCAGCTCTAATGACCCATCACATCTTCAAGGCTCTGAATTAGTCGACTCCTTGAATTTTTCCAAAAGGAAACCTGCTAAGTTGAGTGAAAAGGATAACATTAAATTGCTCAAAATCAAGAAAATTATCTGGCTATCTCAAAAAATCACCATAGAGTTTGTAAATTTGAATGATCAATTTATCATTGATTTCAAAAATTTGATCAGTTTGTCAAACGTCTCGACGATGGAAAGTGTTTCGAGTTTGTCAATGGAATTATTGTCAGGTATAATACAGTGCATTAAAATCTCCAACTCGAGGAATAAAGCAATATTTAGGGAGTATCTTGTATGTAAGATTCCTTGGTTTTTGAAGTATGTTCTTAAAATAAACCAGAATAAGTTAGAGAAAGTTTTTGAAACCTTATCAAACGATGAATCTGAATTTTTCACATCCGACACCAATCTTTTGTTTGAGTTACAAACAAACATGATAGAATTAGAACTTCTTCGGGAAAACGTCCTCGAATTTGAAAAAGGGAACAAATTATTAACTGATGACCAACGCGAGCAGTCTTATACAATAGAGGAACTTAACCAAAATTACACTTATAAGTTTATCGAATGTAATCCTGAATTTACGTCCATTGAAGAGACTGGTATTGTTGACTTTGTGAAAAAGGTCAACAAATCCATCAGGTTGAAGCATAAGTTTTGCGATTTGTTTATGGAGTCTCTTGATTCTTTTATGCTGACAGGGGACACTTTGAGATTACGCAGATTGCTAATATCTGCATCGCTCAACTTTGATGTTTTGGACAATTTATTACTTTATTCTTCGCCATACAAGCTTTTAATACCTCTACTGAAATTTTTAGAGAACCAAGTCACGCAAACTCCAGAAAACGCTGGCATGAATACTGAGGAAAGGTACCTCGATCAATCCAACCAGCCAGACCTAATGATGGACTTAGACATTCCAGGTGATGATTCTTCCAATGCCCAAGACTATTTTAGTGACTTATCCACCATTTTAGTTTTCTCGCAATTCATAATAGCTAGATATGCATTAACTTTGAAAGAATGTGACTTGAGCGCAATTCCAAAAACACTTTCACTTTTGAAAAATACAGGACTCATATATGATAAAGACACAAAAGATGGGAATCCATTTCAGGAAACTAAGCTTGACGATGAAATAGTGAATAAATGGATTTCGTCAATGTTTGATCCCTCCAATGTCGACGGTATTTCCGATAGTTTGATCAAACTTAGTACTCCACTTGACTATTCTCAGTTGATACCACGCATAGTCAACGAAGCAATTATTTGTAACAACATGGGGTGGCTCGATGATGATACTCTTATGGGAGGATTAGAATACATGCACCAAAAATTTTTGGTTGGATGGATGGCCTACGTTATTGAAGAAATCTGCAACTTGAAATGGAAGAATGGCGGAAAAGAACCTAAGATGGATGCAATTCTAGAAAAAGTGCTCCAGCAACTATTGGAGACCAATACTTCGGACAGCATTGATATCCAGGTGATCATAAAACTAGTAAAGGAAACAGAGAAGGAGAAAATATCTTTGAATTTTCCTCAAGTGAAACTAGATGAGCAGATATCAGCTGGTAAGTTAACACTCGATCAAAGTTGCCGCAATATTATAAAGTTTGTTTCTCCCAATGAGAAAGACAAACAGGAACATCCCGAGTTTGAACTGGCTCAGGTTTGGTCCTTGCTATTGTCCCAGAACTTGGCTGTTGATTACCTATACGAGGAACTCAAGTCGCTGATTCAGGATTCTCAGATTTCTGCCGAATTGTCTTATGAATTGGTGAGCATCTTGCTGGTTATGTTTGCTCGTTGGGTTGTTGGAGATAGCATTAAAACCAAGTGGCCTGTAAGTTTGGCGCAAATTAATGATTCAGACCAGTCGGCCACTGAATTACAGATGCTGAGTCTCATTTTCAACAGGAAACCAGCCACTATCGCCGTCAAGGGGTACAAGAAAAGGATAGAAACGAAGACGGAGAATGACGAAAACAAGGTGGAGTCAGGGTTCTTTGGCTTTATTCAAGAGCCGAAGTCTGACGAAAGCGATAACAACATGACGAACCTCGTAGAAGAGGCGGAGAAAGGGATCGACATATATGGAGAGAACCTTCTACTCATTGCGTACGAGCATAAGGGAGATCGCACCACTGAGACCTTCTTGCGCAAGGTTCTGGACCACCTCGGCTGACCGTTGTTTTAAATGTAAGTAGACATTCTGTTGGATAGTTGTTTAATAATCCTTTCGAATCTGATTATCGGTGCAAGTGGCGATCGCTGCTCGAAAAATATCAGCGCTAAGTGTTGCAGTCAGGACTTATCGTCATCCAGTGAGAACAAAAGGGGTATTGTGATCTTGTGTACGAGGCTCGTTCTAAGCACTAACCCCTACTCGGCGAACACTGAGCAGAGCAAGAATGTCCAAGATTCCAGTGATTGCCTTTCCAGAAGATTCGGTGCTGGCCCCACTGAGGTCGCCAACTCACCCCGTGGTGAGATATGTGAGAGTCTTGTCAAGGACAACACTTTTGGCAACGTTAGTGATTTTCTTCATAGCCAAGTATGTGATAGGGCCGGCCTTATCAACTACATTAAAACGGCGATTTGAGCTACAAAACTCGGCGTATGTCCAATTGAAAGCCTTGCATAACAGATTGAAAAAATCGGTTAAAAACCCACCGTGTATCAATGTTTCGTACAACGGCAAAACACTGGTTGATCGTACAGTTTCTTCGGATGACATAATAGTGGAAGAGATGAAGCAGTACGATACGGAGCAATTCAATAAGGACAGTTTAGGATCGTTTTATAAACCAAAATCCAAATTTGATGGAAGTGGTAAGGGGGTGAGATTTTCGGAAGATGCAAAAATGGAAAGTGATCATTCCACATTCAATGAGTTGAATTGCAAAATAAACCATAGCTCATCTCGACTCACACAGAGCCTACAAACCTTGAGAGACAGGCTTAAGGAGCTAAAAGTCCCAGAATACACACAGCTGTCAAACTCCGGATACAGCCACGGAGATCGTGACATGAATTCTTTACTATACCAGATCCGGCAGTTCAAGACATACTTGGAGGTTGTGACGTCGGATCATCCACGAGAAATGCTTTTCAAGAAACCTCTCTATCATATCAAGGTTGGGAGGGATGATGACAAAGTAGTCAAATTCAACTACCTAGATATATTGAACGACAACCTAGATTATTTGAAAAGTGTCATTGATTCAAGATGAATTTTAGTCAGGTAGCAGGTTGCTGCTTAAAAGGTATATATACTGAAGTGTATGTACAATGTTTATAAGTAAGAAGGTCATTAAATTTTATTCTGGGATTTTATGATTTTCGTCAACCATGGCGGAGTTGAGGTAGTTGGATAGCTTCCCATCTTTTAGCTTTTCCCTCTCTATCCTTGCCCTGTTTAGCTCTTCGAAATCGTTTTTGACGTGGTCAATACCATGCTTCATGTAGTGCTCATGAAGCTGCTGCTTGAAAAAAGGTGGCATTTCCATTTTGATCCTACGTTCAGTCTCTTCAATGAATTCTGTAAACTTCGATTCAACCATTTTCCTAGAAACTTGTTTCGTAACGTATTTCTCCCATCTCTTCTCTGACTTCTCAAACTCTTTTTCAGAAGGAGTCCATCTGGACTTTAATATCTTGGCTATTGCAAGAGGGGACACTTTGAAGAATTCTGCTAACTTCTCGTTTGGTAGCTCTTCAGGGAATTCATCATGCAGCTTTCTGATAGCCTTGGCAGTAGTGGGACTTAGTCGTTTGACATTTGAAAGATCCACTTTCATTGCTTTTTCTTTCAATGCATATTTGTTTTTCAACCATTGTGGAAGGGAAGAATTTTTTCGCCATCCGGCCGGAGGAGCTTTCCCCTGTGAAATAGATGGTTTCGAGCCATTGATTTCATTGTCCAAAGTGGCTGTGTTTTGGTCCAAGTACTCATTCCAATCTTTCTTGTTGTACACTTTTCCTCTGAACCCACCAGGTAATTTGTCTAAATCAGGAAGATTCCACGAAGTTGGTCGTTTGCTATCAAACTTGTGCACCATCCGTGAAATATGCAGACATCGTCTTGATATTGTATTTAGAGTGAGCATCCTGTGCTTGCCTTTATATATTGGATCTCTCCCAAGAACAGCAGCAAATCCAGGCAACCATGAAACTCTCCTGAGGAGAAGAGTTAAAAATTCTTATCGTTAGAAATTTTTTCCCTCACAGCCTGGGGAGACTTGTTTTCAGTTTTTCGTGTATTAAACAAAGTGGATCCAGTTCTAAGAGTGGCAACTCTTTTTTCGAAGGTTAATTAATAGTCAAGCCACCGTCAAAAGGCTGACTATAAATAATAGGGAAAGCGTGATTCAGAAGAGACATGAACATAGTGAAGCGTTTTTTTATGAACCACAACAAATATCCAACAGACGAGTCAAGCATGATTCCTTCTGGACAGCTTTATTTGTTACGTTCTCCATCCTCCCCCAAATCTGAGAACGAGTGCCTTTATAACGATGCAATATTGACTGTCAGAGAAACCAACCATCAATTTGATTATCAACTAGTTGTGTGGAAGGGTAACCCTTCGGACTCAGAGTCTTCGAGTGATGATGATAATGGAGATTCTGATGTCAACGACAATTTTTTTGAAAATGAGTCAAACGTCTTGAAGTCTTTTCTTATTGATTCAAGCTTGAACCTTTGTCTATTTGAAAGATATTCTCAGAAAATTATTTCTTGGAGAGATATGGAAGGAGATTTGGGCGACATGTTTGAGTACAGAATAACATCAACCGTTCCTAACGATACAATAGAACAGTTCATGACTGCCATCTACAAATGCAAATATGAAAGAAAATACCAAAAGTCTAGTGCCAATCTAAGCTTGAAAGATGTGCAAGAATTCATTGTTGACAGGAATCAGCTTTTTGATAATTGCCTTAACTCAGCAAATACCCCCTCTATATCGAGTAACTTGAATATGGATGAGCTATTGACTCCTAAAAGAAATATAGAAGACGAAGTAGAGTTTGCTGAAGAGGGAGAAAGTGACGATGAAGAAGATGAATTAGAAGAAAGAGTTGAGCATCGTAATCTGTCCTATAATATGAATGCCACCAGCTACGAGGACGAAGAAGAGGACGAAAACAACTTTGTTGATGCTTCGGAGTCGCCGCAAACGGCTATATTTTCCGTTCAAAAGACTAATAGGGTTCTCATACGTGATTTTCCATGTAAGGTTTATTCATATAGTGCAGAAGCACAAGCTTTCGAATCTGTCTCCAATCAATCTCTGGTCTTACTTTATGAGCTTTCAAACTGGAATTACTGCTTCGAAGTAAGAGAGGAGGACAATAGTACAATTTATGCCGTGTCTTTGATTAATGATCAACTTGATCCTACTTTCAAATTTGAGCAATTTGCTTTTCTTTTCAATTTGTATACCAAAACTTCAGCAACCACTTGGCTTTTGAAGTTTGAAGATAGAACCACCTATGAGGGTTTTCAAGCTACGTATATGAAACTTCATTGGCAGAATAGGAATGAAACCACGTGGCCCACGAGAAAGGAAGACGAGCAATACTTGATCGATTCATTGGATATGATGGATATTGATGATGATTTGAGCCAAGCTGACGAGGAAACTGAAGATTCTGATAGTGAGCAACCAGAAGTTGAGGATATCACAGGGACTTCCTCCTTCAAGTTCAAAGGGAGAAAAAAATACGTGGACTTGGATGACTCAGATGAATCTGATGATGAAAACGAAAGAGAGTTCAACAAAGTTAGTAAAAATTCAGGGTTGGTATTGGGGTTGAGCACAGACAGAGCTTTCATTTCAAGGGCCAACAAGATTGGGATTTTCAAAACAACAGATTCTGGTATTGAGTTTACGGCTGCTATTAACAAACTATCACATTCGAGAAATGCAAAGAAAGAGCTAATACCCAGTAAGATGATGCTAATGGATAACGACAGAACAATGATTGTCCAAGATAAGAGTGCGATGAACAGCTTACACAAGGTTGATTTGGAGTATGGTAGGGTTGTCGAAGATTGGAAATTGGAAAAAGACGATAAAGATGTGAATGTTGAAAATTTTACTACAAATCGAAAGTTTGGAGATCTGGCTGCCGATATGACATTTTTGGGTGTTAGCTCTCAGTCTCTTTTCCGGGTAGATCCAAGAATGAGTGCAGGATTTGTTTCTGATGATGCAATCAAAGCTTATAAGGGAAAGACAAATTTCAAGCAAGTTTCCACTACTGGTGGTGGTTATATTGCTGTGGCAAGTAAAAATGGTGAGATCAGGCTATATGATCAACTGGGTAAAAATGCAAAAACCTTGCTACCGGCTTTAGGAGACGAAATTATTGGGTTGGATATATCGGCCAATGGTAGATGGTTGTTGGCCACGTGTGCCTCTTACATTTTGTTGATTGATGTTCAAATCAAAGATGGTAAATTTGAAGGGAAGCTTGGATTTGAAAGATCATTCAGTGTGAAGGACAAGCCAATGCCCAGAAGATTGAATCTTAAACCGGAACATATGGCGTATGTCAAACAAAGATATGGGCTTCAAACGTCGTTCTCCATTGCTGCCTTCAACGAGACTAGTGAAGGAGGTAGTCCAACGTATATTGTTAGCTCGATTGGTCCATTTGCTGTCACATGGAATTTTCTCAAAGTCATTTCTAATGTGAGAGATTGTTACAAGATCCGTATGTACCAAGAGAATGTTGTCATAAGTGAGTTCGTCAATCATAACAACAATCACATGGTGCTAGCGCTACCGGATAATGTTGCTTTGGCTTCAACTTCGTCATTCAAAAGGCCAAGCGATGAATTTAGTGTGGTCAAAACAGCATTCTAATACATATACCTGCTTGTTTTTTTAGCTTAATTTCAATTCCCTTCTCTACTTCCCAATTCTAATATTTTGTGTAATACTATAAATGTACACGGTGTATATTCTATATATAATTTAAACAATTCTTTTAATTTTTATAAACAGCTGATTGAATATTAATAGATCATTTCCGGAAGAGAAAAGAGTCTTTCATTTCCTCTTTCCAAATTTTGAGGTACGCATTCCATTTTTGCGCAGTTGTCGGCTTAAAAGTGGTGGCATTATATACCTTTCCTTTTCCAGTCTTTAGCTGCGGCCCACGCATATGTCTTGGAGGTTGTGGTGGAGGAAGATTATTCACCATTGCATGGAAAACACGGACATAGTAATGAAACCGAGGCGAGGTAATCAACTAAAGGAGAATATGTTAGTATATCGGTTGGAATCGGGATGGGCAAAGAGGTGAGAAGGGGAAGACTGGAAAGGACTTACTCGTCGATAAAGCCACTCTTCCAGCATGTTATAGCAATAAGTATGTCTGATAATGTATTACGGAGGTATATCAAGATACACTTCATGTCTTTCATGAGGGAGCAGGGCGTTCCTTAAATCGTGCGAGCATGAATCGGATGAACCTTTAGTTGATTTGTTGATAAGAAGCTCAATTTTTTTCAGTCGTGGTCGCTCATAGACTTTTCTGATAGAGAAATTTCACCAAAGGATTTGATACGTGGGGGAGGTTAATATGTGGCGCTCTGGCTATGACAATATTCACATTAAGGCAGAGAAAAAGACAAATTTACGGACAGAGAAATAAATAAATTCAATTCTATTAAAAAGTGGGCTCTAACTATATCGGGTTATTTATAAGGTATAAATTGTATCGAAAGTGAAAGTACAACTGAGGACTGCACACGAGCTTGAATTGGGGAACGTAAAAGGGATAACCAACGAATAATGCAAAAAAGAGGTCAGGAAAATATATATAGAGCACTCCGAACCAGAAACCAAACAGAAATGTAATTGAGAGAGATATTGAGTCTAAGAAAAAACATGTAAAATATAACAGAGAGGAAAAGCGAGCCTTTCAATAAATTGCAATGCGGAAAAGGTCATCTATTGATTACTCAAATAATTGCCGGAATTGATTGCAGACTGAAGGGTCTTCTGTTTTCCATAATAAATAGGCCAATCTATCTAAGAGATCCGAATCAAAGGAGTTCAAAGGGCAATGTGTTCTGATCTCGTTGATAGCATTGACGTCCATAGATTCGTAAAACTTTTTAAGAATCTCATCTTCTGATTGCGGGTACAAGAGGGGTGCAAAGAAAGCATGATAGTTATGGACAATATATGCAATAGTCGAGTCTATCAAGGATAGCATAATGATGAAATCGATCATAAGACATTTGTATAATTGGAAGTAATTTGTGTCACCGTTGCTAGGATCTAAAATATTGTTGATATCGGAAAGCTTCATCTGAAGTAACCAGGGTTTTTCTAAATTGGAATGGTTAATCAGAATTGAATCGTCACTCAAGCTTATCGTTTTTTTCAAAATGTCTATTTTGATTTTAAGGTTTTGACAAGTGAAGAGAGACAAGATTGAGTCTACAGAGATGTTATCCATGTATTCTTTCAAAGTTAAATTCTTGATCAACTTCAATCTATCTTCTGAAAAGGGTGATAACTGGAAGTTATAATGGGAAAGCGACTCATCCTTGGCAAGACCCAATAGATTCATTGATGAATCAAAACTGAAGGGAGTGGAGAAAGGGTCTGAACTATTTTCGATTTTCCGCTTCTTAAGTTTGTTGATCTGTGTCTGGGATTGGAGACTACCTTCGGATAATATTGAATCGATACGACTATAGTTATAGTTCAAAGCCAAATTCTTCATTGGAGAACTGGATCTTGAGATTGGCGGCGAGGAGCCAGCATCCAAGGAAGAATTAAGAGAAGAGAAAGATTGGATGAATGCTGTGTTGTTGATCAAGAAATTATTTTTGTTGTAGGAATAATGCAAACAATCGTTGCAATGAGAGTTAGTAGCGGTGCTGTCAGTGTCGACGTAGTCATAGTCGACATGGTCATCAAAGCTCATGTCAAAATAATCCTGGTTTGACGAAGGGTCAGAGTTGAAGCTATTGATAACGTTGTTGTTCAAAACCGCGATTGTTTTCGGAACTGAGCTCAAAGAGTAGGCATTGTCATACATGTTGTTCTGACCACTGCCTAAGTTGTAGTTGTAGTTGTAGTTGTAGCTGTAGCTGTAGTGAGCGGCCGGATCCTGATCCGAGCTCGTTGTGCTGTTTGCTCTAGCGTTCTCATCTAGATTGGTGCCACTATTGCAACCATTTGAGCATGACGAAACCTTGCTATGCTGCTGCTGCATGCCATCATTGCTCGGAAGGACGGTATTGGTTTCCCCAAGGGAATCATATTTTGGCTGTGCAGCCTTTGCATGGGCCTTCCCAGCAATGCTAGCCTTATGGCTGTTATCGCTGCTTGAATTGAGAAAAGAAGTCTTGAAGCGCAGCTTGCTCTTGAACTCTTTCTCGTAGAGAGCTAAATCGGAAGTAATTTGTGGCAACCTCATGATGAGAATCGGATAGAGTGTTTTCTGCGCTGGCGGGGACCACACAGAGGGAGGAGCTGTAAAACGAAAGTGCTAGGCTGAGAAGAGGAAACGGTCTTTGTGGAGATAGACGTCTTGGTTCCGCTGGAAGGTAACTACGACAACGACGGCGACGACAAGTGCTGGTGCTGGGGATCCTATTGTTGCTGCTGCCAATGCTGCTGCTGATGTTGTTATTGTTGCTGTGTGTGTTGTCGCTGAGAATGGTTGTTCCGGTGCTCTGAACATGTATGGCACGAACAAAGAAGTACAGACAGAAACTCCTAGCGGGAACACAGCAGACTGCAGACTGGCTCCTAGAAACCCAATAATTCGAAGCAAATCGAAACAGGCAGAAGCACCACCAGTCCGTATCAGCACCTCGTGGATCCAGTCAGCTGCGGACACACAGGGCTCTTTATACGGCCTTGCAGATGGCACGACGCAGCCGGAGAGCTCAGCACAAAAACCGGGGCATCTTTCCGACAGGGGGCACTGCGGCAGAGCTCGCTGAGGCCAAATGGCGGATCACAGGAGCGGGAAGCCTTGCTGGGGGGGCAGCACAGGGAGAGCCCGTTGGACAAATATGGTTAGACCCGTTTCTCGGGGCGGGGGAGAGACATACAGGCATGCAGAAGGAGAGAGCCGATCCGGCAGAGAGAGAAGAAGGCACGCGCTGAGCCTCATTATGCCGTGCTGACGTAAGTGGACGGACAGGGGGAGAGGGAGAAATGTGCTGACGTCAGCTGCAGCACGGGCGCAGGCGTGGACCCGGGTACATGCGCACAGGAAGGCCTCACCCAATGAACGGACGTCTGCGAGGAGCGGGAGGGAGACGGGGAGGGAGGGAGCGTGCGCAGGAAGGGCGGGACACACTGAAAGAAGATGGACGGGGCACAGATACGTGACGGAAGAGAGACACGCATGGCCTGGTGATACGGTTTAGGCTTGGTAGACAGCCAGACCGACCGACAGACATCAACAGCCATCATGTCCAACGTTTTCAGAAGATCTCTCACCACCTTGATCCCTCCAAAGATCGCCTCCCCAACTGTATGTATCCGCTAGAAAAGAGAAGAGAAGAAAGGCAAGACGGCGTGTTGTCGTTGCTGCTAGCCCGTTGCCGGTGGAAAATGGACATGAACAGTGGTAGCACTGGCGCAGGCGGACGTCTGGGCGTGGACTGGACCGAAGTCCGCAAAGTGCACGGCTCCTCGGACACGGTTCGTTCCTGCTGCAGTCATCAAGCGGCGGCAGGGCACCAATTGCCACGTTGCGCTGCTATGACACCGAATAGAGTACTAACACGAGTTTTCTCTCTCCCCCACTCTACCCCCTTCACTACAGAACTTGAGCTCTAACCCAGCTGCCAAGAGAATGCAAAGCATTGTTGCTTTCTACTCCAAGTTGCCAAGAGGCACTGCCACCTTCGAGGCCCCAAAGACTCCTTTCGCCATCTACAGAGAAGCCTACAGAAACAAGGGCTCTCCAGTCTTGCACTTCGCCTTGGGATTCTTGTTCTTGGGTTACGGTCTCGAATACTACTTCCACTTGTCCCACGAAAAGGAACACCACTGAGTATATGGCTAGGCTCTGTTAATGGCTCTGCCGCCGCTCTTTGAAGAGCTCCCGCGTGCTGCACCCTCTCTCACGACTTAACTCTATCTATCTATTTATTTGTTTTATTTATTTTCTGTGTATATATGTGTATGTACGTATATACGCATGCATATATTTATTTTATTCACGACCTCACTAAGACAATGAAACCACCGTTGATCGTTTGATGTTTGCCGTTAACTGTTAGAAACTAAACCACCTCTAGCATCTTCTTGAACGTCATCTTCTCATACGGCTTCTCAGTCTTGGACCCTTCCTCGATTTCCTTCTTGTGGATCTGGTTCCAGTCGTCCCACGTGACGCTTCGGATTGCCTTTTGGTGTAAGAGCTCATCGATCGCCTCTCTCCCCTTCTTCACCTCGGTGTCACCATTGTTGCACATGTCGTTGACAATCGTGATGGACACGTTCATGCTGTCCACAACAGTGCTGTTGATGTTTCCCGTCGACCCATTGCCAACCCAGCCGACACAGTAGGAATGTTCCACTCCATCAACCTTTCCGTTGTCGTTGGGAATCCGGCCCTTCTCGAATGGAATGCCTAACTCCTTGAACTCCGATAAAGGCCCACACTTGTACCCAGTAGCTAGAATGAGTAACTCGTTTGAAACAGAGGTGATTTTTCCCGCAGGCTGGATCTCCCACTTGCCACTTTCGGCAGATTTGACCTTCTTGTTCACACTGAATATCGTCTCACTCAACAACTCATCGTCCTTTACCTTGACTCCAATAGGGGACTTCAAGTACTGCAGGCTCCATGTCCTAGCCTTGGGATCTCGTAGCTGATCCTCTGAGTACTTCCCGATATATTTGTCCAATAGCGAAACACGACGCTTGTTAACTCGGTCTAGTTTTGTTTCCTTCAATTCGTCCTTGAACTCTTCAGAGTTCCATCCCGAAAAAAATACTCCTATTTTGTCCATTTCAAGGAGCTCTCTCAACTCCTTGTTTGTAAACTTACTTTCCAAGACACCTCTTCTAGCAACAACATTAATGTTCTTCACTTTACTGGCCTCCAGCACTTCGAGCGCAGCCTTCGATATATCCGTTTTCGCCCAATGCTGCGTAGGTGGCGCTAAAAGAACACGAATTATGTCAATGGCAACGTTACCATTGCCTATAATTGTAACATTCTCCACCTTCTCCAGTGGAACTTTCAATTTTTCGTGTTTAGGGTGCCCGTTGTACCATCCAACAAAAGAGAATGAGTCGATTACTGCTGGATGTTCAATTCCAGCTAATTCCGGAACGTTTGCACTAGATGACCCATATGCATACAGGACTCCATTATAGTTTTGGTATAGATCTTTCAAGCTCAACTGGGGCTTCCCATCATGGTTATCAGGGTCAGATACCGATACATTACCGTAGTACTTAAACGCACCTGTAGGAATAAACTCTGACACATCGTTGAATCTATCGATACAATTTTTGACCTCAGGATGATCCGGTGCTACTCCATATCTCACAAGTCCAAACGGAGAAGGGTTTCTTTCAAACATGTCTATCTCAAAATCATTGGGTTTCTCTTTGAGAATGTTCAAAACTGTGTAAAATGCCGAAGGTCCAGAGCCGACGACTGCAAGCTTCCGCTTGCTCGACAAATATCTTAGCTGGATAAACCCGGCAACCCCACTTGAAAGCTTCATATCTTTCTTGCTCACGCTTGCTTTATTTTTTGTACAAAGGGAAAAGTAAGTCAGGTAAAGCCCACACATTTGGCAGGCATCTAGTATGAATCATCGGACAGATACTAGCTCGAACCGATAAATGATGGAGACATCAAATCCGAGATTTTTCAGTAAAGCACGTGACCCGGGAAAAAAGTTTTAGAAAAAAGTACTTTTTCTTTACCATTTCTCCGGGGTATAACAAAAAGAATTCGAACCGTTTAATTAATTTTTGAGTCATTCCTTTCGGAGCATAGAATTATCTAATTTTTGTCTAGAACTATATACTCCCTTGTTGTCTCCACGACAGGGAGCTTTGTGCTACACCAATTTATGTCTCTCATCATCTTCTTTGGATCTGGCCCGGCCACTTTATTCACCAAATCGTTGTAATGGTCCTGCATAAATTTCTGTTCTCTGATGATGAGAAACTCGTCGAAATCGACGTAGAGCCGGGTGTCTATTATTCTGACAAGGACTCCGTCCACTCGTATGAATAGTCTCTGTAGCAGTAGCAGACAGTTGCTCATGACTCTGATTTTGATGTTTAGCATAGAGATACCGTTGTCTCCCAATTCGTCTTCGTAAAGTATCATGTCGTCGTAGAATTTGATTGGGTTATTACTTGTTAACTTGTCTAAGGGTATTGCATGGCTGCCGTCTAGATCTTGTATCCAGCATACCCCGTCATCGGCCTGGATCATTGTACCTTTATATCTGGAGGTGTATGTCCAGTCGTAAGGTTTGTAAACTTCCAAGGAGACATTTTCCGAATTCTGATGCTTGAGCTGTCGACTCTTGAACCACGAGTCTGCGTAACTGACCTGGATTAGGTCTTCTGGGTTTCTCTCTACCAACTTCAATGCGTCCAATGGGTTGAACATAATATGAAACCTGATGTCCTCCGAAGTCTGTTGCTTCAAAAGAACCTCGACCTTATTGTTTCCAAAGATCATTTCAGGAACGGGTATGTCGGTCAAAATTTCCTCGAAGTGCTCGATCTCTTGTGCATTGAGAATAGGCAATCGCTGGGTGCAGATGTACCATTGGTTGTTTATGCAAATAGAAGGGCTGTCTTTCACCGGTAGGCTAGCGACAGGCGCCGGAATGACTACCTGGCCGCAGTGGCAGCAGACAGGGTTGTTGTGGCTGCATGGGACTGTATTTGGAGAACTTTGTTGTTGTTTCGGAGTAGTCGGTGTTGGTTTCGCATCTCGGATGGCCGTCTGCGGCAATGGCGGCAGTGGCGGGCGCAGTGATGATGCGGAGGAGGGGGAGGAAGAGGAAGGGGAGCCCGGAGCCGGGACACCTGCGGGCGGCAAAGGCTTTGAAGGAAACCGTGAACCGGTAGTCAGTCTGTGGAACTCCCTGGCGGAGTTGATGTGGAAGGCATCTATGGAGTTTTTGTGTGGGGGCGTGTCACTCGGCATTAGGCAGCGTGCAGGGAGGGGAGGTGAGAGGAGAGGGAGAGGGAGAGGCAAGCGGCGAGCAAGAAAGGTTGCCAGAGGAGGCAGATCAGGAGAGTTGGGGCGAAGAAGCAGGTTAGAAAAGAGGTTCGTGGGGCTGCCGAGAGAACGTGTCCGGGTACCACATCGGTAGATAGGCAGACAGGCCGGTAGCATGGCGTGGCAGAGGCCTGTCATCCGGCGAGGGAGGACAGGAGTGCGGAACGAGTGAGAAGGGCCGGGGGTGCGGGCGTGGGGGAGGCGTCGCGTCTGCGCTGGCGGGGCGGGTGGTGCCATCATGATTCGGACAGAATGCGATGGAGATAGCAGAGAAAAGGAGTGGTGCAGTTCTCGGGGGGGGGGGGGGGGGGGGGGGGGGGGGGGGGGCAGCTGCTGCGTTCTTTCCACACACACACCGACACCGACGCAGGCGCAGCCAGACAAGACACATCCAACCGCAGCCAGACCATGAAGAAGCTAGGAATGAGGACGAGCCGGACGTTTGTGATCTCGGTGGTGCTTGTGGTGGTGCTTCTGTACAACCTTGTGAACAGCAGCCAGACGAGGATCCAGCACCAGCGGGACGGCGACCAGCACCCGATCACGAACCAGAACGCGGTGGCCCTCGGTGAGGAGGCCGTGGGCGCCGGGGCCGACGACGACGCTGTGTTCGACACGGCCGCCACGCCCTTCATGCCGCAGATGGCGAACGAGACACTCAAGGCGGAGTTGGGCAACGCAGCATGGAAATTGCTGCACACGATTCTCGCCCGGTACCCGGAGGCGCCCGTGGAGAGCGAGAAGGTGTACCTCAAGCGCTACATCGAGTCGTTTGCCCAGGTGTACCCCTGCGGCGACTGTGCCCGCCACTTCATCAAGTTGCTGCAGCAGTACCCGCCGCAGATCGGCTCCCGCAAGAGCGCTGCCATGTGGGGCTGCTTCATCCACAACAAGGTGAACGAGCGCTTGGCGAAGCCGCGGTACGATTGCACGACGATTCTCGAGGACTACGACTGCGGCTGCGGAGCAGACGAACTGCTGGGCGACGAGGGGCACGACACGCCGGAGACGAGCCCCCGCCCGGGCACCACCGGTCTGCAGGACCGCGAGAGCCGCCAGCACTTGGACAGCATCCGCGTGGAGAGCTCCGAGGAGAGGGTGGGGGGCTAGTGCCGGTCCGGCCGGGTCGAGGCCCGACTAGACCGCTCCGCTGCCCCGCTGCCCCGCTGCTTATCTCGACACCCCTGGTGTGGCCCCAGCACCCCGCCAGCTAGATAGACGCTCTTATGCTACGTTTTAACATGCCTGCCGCAACAGGCGCACCAACAGTAAAAGCACGCCCAACACGTCAGCACGCTCAACATGCCACCACGCCAACACGCTGTCTGCGCCAATCGCCGTCCGGAGAAATAACAGCGCTGGCAGCAGCACAGGAGGCTGGTGCGCCTGCTGTCTTCGGCACGGAGTTTGAGACGCTGCGCTGGACAGTGCGCTACGCAGCGCGGCGGTGAGCGAATAACGGCAGCCCCGTGTGTAATGCGTAATTCCCGCATCCTTGTGGCTCCGCCGGGGGCAACGGGGCAACGGGACAACGAGAAGGGGGCAGGGGGTCGACCACCGCCAAACGGGGCAACACGCCGGATCAGGACCAGACGGGGCACCAGATGGCCCCGCAGCCCACCAAGTGCGTGGCCCGCATCTATCCAGCTCCCGTCCCCCCGCCTTCCCCGGGCCCGCCTGGCGCAGGATTCCGACAAAACCACACTTGCAACACAGCCCCACGGCCCTGCTGCGCGCCGGATCCCGGCTCCCGCGTCCCGGATCCCGCCCAGACCGTCCGCCGGCGTCCGCCTTGCAGCAACACGCTGCGCTCCATTCCTTCTCTCGCCGTTCCTGTCTGCCGGCCTCCCTGCCGGCAGGTGTGTGGTTCTTTTCTCCGCTGGCGCCCCAGACGGCTCTTCACTCTTCTCCAGCCAGAGCCGGCCGTTTGGGGAAATCACCGCTTCACGGACCCCCCGGCTTGCGTGCCGAAACACCCTTCCGGTTGTTGCCTGCGCTGTGCCTGCTCTGTGCCTCCAGGATGGCACTCTCTGGTGCTGGTGCTGCAGCCACCCGCTTCTTCCTCCCCGTACCGCCGCCGTCTGGCGATGTTCCTTGTGCCATCCTCTCTCTGCTGGCCCCTCTTGTAGAACAAACAGTACACCCCTGCAGCGGAACAAAGACACTCTCGTCGAGAACCGCAACACCCCCAAACAAAGCAACACCAGCTCTTTCGTCCACCACCGAGTATATTTTTTCCAGCGAGTTGTCTCCTCTAAGCTCCGTCGCCGAACCCAGACCTCTACTCTACGTCCAAATACCCCCTTCGCCAGGACACCCCCGACATCCGCACGGGCTCCACTACATTCATAAACCGGGATCGACACAACCGACCCACTGCCCTACCTCCTATGATATAAATCCATAGAGCAAAACTTTTTTTTTTTCCACATAGCATGTCCTGTCAGTCCAACAAAAGTAGCGTCAACAGCAACAGCCCCGCTACGGGCAGCCAAAAGAGAAAACTGGTCCCCTTGCTACCGAACACCCTCAAGAAGACAAAGCCTTCACCTTCAACATCCTCCTCCTCACCGAACGCAGCTTCCCCTGCATGCTCGCTATCCTCAACTGCAACCTCCACCACTACGCTGCATTCCCCACCGCCTTCCTCCCCGTTCAAAGAATCCTGCGACAACCCTAGACCGGCCCCCGCCACAACAAAAAACATTGCCGGGGTCAGCTTGGCCAAGATCATCAACCCGGCTAACCTTCCGTTCCAGACTACAACGGATCACCCAAAGCCTAAACACCTTAAATCCTGCTCCCGTTGCAGAAAACACAAGACCAAGTGCAACTACATCGAAACTGCACCGCACGCATGCTCCTCCTGCGCTAAGAGGGGACTGGTGTGCCAGCTGGAGGTCGTTATACCAGTGAAAAGATCCAATATTATCAAAAATCTGTCCAACGATATCGAAAAGTTGAAAAATTTGGTCGACGATCTCATTTTGAAAGATAAATATTTGAAATCATTATGTAAGCAGAAGGGCATCAAAGTGGACGGATTAGTGAATATTGAAAATTGCAAGAGAGATCTGGACTTCAATAGTCAATTGCACAACAAACTATTACATGGCAGCACCATCGACCAAGACCAAGAAGATGAAGATGAGGAGGAAGATGAGGATATTGAAAATGAAAACTATGACAATGAAATTGAAGATGAAAATGACAACGACAACGATAACGACAATGACAACGACAACGATAATGAAATATATAATGACAACGATATTGAAGACTCCGAAAACGATTATATCTATGAGAAAAACCCACCTACAAACTTCCATTCCATCAATAACATTTTAAGCAAATTCGAATCCGTCATCACTCCTCCAAATTCAAACTCCATATCTCCAAATCTCTCGGATATTGAAGTAGAAGATGCGCCAACAAAAAAAGTTTCTTCCAAAAAAGTTGCCAATCCTGTCAAAGATACCATATCATCTGAAAACTTCAAACTCTACACTCTGAACGACTGCTGCTGCTTCTCTCACAATGAAATAGAGGAAATAATGCTTGACTTTAATGCCAACTACCTACCCTTTATCCCAATTATGGACAAAATCATCTCAATTGAACATCTCTTTGTCTCAAATAAACTGCTGTTTTGGTCAATCGTATATATAGCCACATCCAATATAGACATTTACACCCATTTTATCATCAAAGAAGTTTTGGGCTTTCTCAACAATTCCGAGGATATAAAGGAAACTGAAGCAAATGATCCTTATAACTCATTGGTTGCTGTCCTTCTATTGTGCTGCTTCCCAACGAAAATCAAATCAACTAAATTCGATATAGATGACGAGCTGGATACTTGTAATTTTCAATGGTTAGAGTCTTGTAAATCAAAATGTCTCAAATACAATTATATTGAAGAATATATTGATGACAATGAAAAGAATAATTACAAAAAAAATATCTGGTGTGTAATCTTCATTCTAGGAAACTTCTATGGTTTCAGATTGGGTCTCAAGTGGGTCCAGCCTCTAGATTTTATTCTAGAAGAATCAAAGGATAGAGTTTCATATTTGGGCCAATTGCTAAATATCACTATATTATTATCAAAATTGCTAGATCACTTCGTATTCACGAATAATGGTGGTGTCTTCAAAGCCAAAAGCTCTGATGAGTCCATAAATGACCAGATTATGACTCCAGCCCAAAGACTGCAGGATGACGACCATCTTCTAATAAAGTCTTTGTCAAACTGGCAATTCAAACTTGATAGAATGAAAAAAAGAGCAATGTCCAACAAGCTCGAAAACCCTGCATTGAACTCAAATCTTTTATTGTCTTTTGATTTCTTAGAGTTGATTTTCAACCTTTTCGAGCCACAAAACTTGAATTTTTCAAGCCAACTGGAGAAAACTTTCATCATAGCTAAGAGATTCTGCTCAAACATTGAGCCTTTGAACGTCACAAAATGTCCAATATTCTTGAAAATATCTTTAGAGTTTGTTTGTTTGACACTAACTAAATTGAGCTATTGTCCATATTTCTTGAACAAGCAGTTCAATCCTGATCTGTACATTAACCTTTTCAACAAGTTGATAGCTTTTGTTGATTTCAACGACACCAGATTTGTTTTCAATACACTGATGGATTTCGACTCTTCACTCAAATTGGATTCGAGTTTGATTGAGATTTTCAACATGGATAGCTTCAAGAAGAACTTACTTCCGGGTCTGATCAATGATTTGAAAAGGCTCAACCAGAGATTTAAGTCGATTGAGATAAATGACTCAAGAATTTTGAAAAATAAACAGATTTTCCAATCTAGGAACTTGGACTATCAGTCATATGCCGACAAGTTCAACCTCTTCCGAAGCCAGGTAGATTTGGTGATCATATACTCCAACGAAATACTTAAATTTTCTAACACAGAAAGCGATGTTCCCGACTCTTCTCTTTCTTCCTCTTCGTTATTATCTAAGGACGAACTGTCTGATACTTTCTCAATTGCTGGCAGGAGTGATAAATCAAGCATCGTCACTGATAATATCCAATTTGTTGAACCAGTCAATATGCACACTGACTCTAAACTGAAGTCCGATTTTCAATTGCAACAACAATTCGACGACATCGATTTGTTTGGAATCAATTGGATAAACTAAAACTTTTTGCTTTTGCTTTAGATCTTTTTCTCTTACTTTAACTTTTATTCTTTTTGCCATTTTTCTTGCTTATTTTCTCACTCACCACTTTCCCACTCATTCTAACTGACATGCTTTTATATTCTTTATTCCTCTCTTTGCCTTTTTCCCCCCGTTTGCTGCTTACTCTCTCACGACCTTTTTTCCCTTACTTCCTTAACGACGTTCTTTATATATTACCCATTTTATATCTATCTCCCTACTTACTATCTATATATATTCCATTAATAGTTACTCCCTCATAATATTTAGTATTATTTCTCGTTTTCAAAAAAAACCTCTTTCTAAAGAGCTAATATTCTCTAAATTTCATGATGAGAAGTTCACACCTTTCTTCTTCGGTAACGATTTTTGCTAATGCTTTGAATAGTTGTTGAATTTTTTATATAAATACATATGCTTGCTTCTACACTGAATATAAAGGTGTATGTCATTTTTTATTGATTTCACCTCTCACATAATGATACAATCGTCGGCTCCAAAACCATACACTACCTTGTCCACATTCTTTTTTATTCTGTCCCAGTCGCTCCGTCTTGAAACAAACTGATAAACTTCCTCGGGAGTAAACACTCCATTTTCTCTGCCCAAATCAATAATCAACTTCCCAAGTTCCTTGCACTGTGGTTTAAACTCGCTAGAAGCACGACCGGAACAATCGACAAGAAATAGCTGATCAATTTTCTTGAATCCAATGAGATATTCAATTGCAGGCTTTATCCTGTTCTTTTGGTAGTATGAGTACAAAGTATTGATGTCAAAGCTGAACTGGATGCCGCCAACATTGGAAATCTTGAACTTCATCATCAACAATTGGATTAACAACGTTATTAGCCTATCTCCAAGTTCCTGCTTGAAAACATCCATAATCGACTTATCTATCGAATCCTGGAGCAGACTGAAATGGCTTTCCAAAACCTCTAGGCATATAGCACACCATTCACTTGTTCTACCCTCATTAAGTGGCAAGGTTTCAATGCTGATCAGATTGTAAACGGTCGATTCAATACCTGGAATAGTGCTGGCATTAGTCATATTGGTGTTAATTGAATTGTTAGTGTTGGTAGTGGTGACCGTATTGCTTGTCATCATAGATGATGAGGATTGAGGTGGCCTAGATTTAGGCCTTGATGACATTGTCGAATACGTAGAAGATTTGGATTTGGAATTTAGTGGAATAGCTCCAACACATTCTTCAACTTTGAAACGGATTTCAGAGATTATAATGTCAATACTGATGTCTAAACCATTCGCCACATAGGTATCTAAAGTAGACTCCATTAATTTAATAGACTTTTCAATATTGTTCATGCGAAGAAAATCTCTGGAATGTTGATTCTTCACTGGTATAATTCCACTCTGGATTAATTCATGATTGTAAAACACGCTGATCATCTGTAAAATCAAATCACCAACGTCGACAAGTTCAATAAAGTTGTTCACCGGTTCCAAGGTACCATCTGTCTTATTCTCATAATCTGCTCCACCATGGTTTAAGTTCACGGGTTTGTAATTCTTCAATCTTTGTAACGCCTCAAGAAAACCAGGCTTTATATGATTGCTGATCAATATTGTCAACATATCACTGAAAATGTTGATGCAGGTCTTGTAAATTTGCTTGTTCAACTGCTCTGTTGTCGAGTACTTTGTCAAACCTAACAATAAATCGTAACTATTTTTGATATGCTGTAAAAGTAAAACAGTTAGATCAATACTAACCAACGTTTTCAAGGACTCGACTTTTGTTACTAGGATTTTCAATTTAGCCGCCATCTTTGTAAGCTTCACCTCATTGTCCGTCTGCTTTTCACTTTCTCCGCTGACCTCTTTCGTCTCCACATCATCGGGCTTGGACTTGAAGGTGAAAAGATTGGAAAAAGTGTTGAATATTTCGAAATTAAATCTTTTGTTGTCATCTTCATCTTCTTCAACTAGTTTCAAAATTTCGTGTTCCATGTTTCTCTGCACCTTTTGATTATTAGTTTGCCATGAGGAAATGAGCTGGATTAGTGATATATGACACTGTCTAGGAAGCTCGTTAGAAAATTCAATAAGATATTGCTCGTAGTAGTAATTGACAAACTCACAGACGACTTTGACGTAGTCCATTTTGGTTTTAGTGCTAGAGTCCAGTATAATTTCAGTTTGTGGATAGTTCAAGTTTTGTAACGTTGAAATTAATTTGGAATGAAGGTAAGGGACACACTGGAAAAACAGGGACTGTTCATTCATTATGTTGACGTTCGGATTCCCCTCTAGGATTTGATTCTTTGTGTTGGCTCCTGAGCCGTCTTCATGAACATTATCATCCAGCTGTCCTAGCTCTTCACTTTTTCTTACATCAATCAAATTTGGCTTTGGCTTTGTGATATCGTCCAACGCATCGATCTGTTTTGCCTTGGAAATTATCCTATCACTCAATCCCCCAATTAAGTGATTGCTAAGAAAGTTTTCTAATATCTTCAAGATGATGGGAATCTCATCGATGTCACGATTGGCGGCTATATGAGTCTTACCACCAGCACTGAAGATTTTTCGTATCTCGCTGAGCTGAGAGTCTAGCAACTTCTGAATATCGTCAAAGATCTCGCTGACCTTACCGAAGTTGAAAGAAAAACCCTTGACTACTCCCCTCTTGGTTGATAAATCTGGCTCACTTGTGAAACACTGATTGGCGAGATCGTCCGCTGATAAATAAAGGTAGTCTTCGTTGTATTTGCTGATAAAGTATTCTAGTAAGGATTCCAAGGGATCGATTGGAATTCTGTCGCTCGTTATGCACAGGTGATCCAGCGAGGTGATCAAGTCCAGCACTACTGGATACTTCTCATCTTTGAGCTGGACGTCAAGCTCGCTAATGATGGAATTGACAAACAAGTTCAAGATCGTATTGAACCGGATGTTCAAGTTGCCGTAATTCTCGTAGCTTTCATAGATGGGAAGGAAGTTTCCGATATTGGTGAATAATTTGGCCTGGCTCATCGGCGTACTGAACGTGTTGAAAATGCTCAAGTTTTGGAAGTTGGAATAGCTCTCGACCAAAAGTTGCTTTACTATAGGCGCCAGGGTCGAGTATATCTCAATAAAGGTGGCCCTGGCCATATACGGGTCGTCGATCTGGTAGTCCAGACAGTTTAAGGGGTTCAGCTTGAAGTCATCGCTTCGGATCGGCTCTCCGGGTGTGGAGACAGCCGCCGATCTAGAAACTGCCTTTGCAGGGGGTGTCGTCGCCGGCTTCCCCCACAGCTTTAACTTCCGCAAGTAGCGTATCCAGAGATCGTTATTGTTCATGACATGGTTGTATGTGGCCTTGTTCATCAGACTCCAGTTCAGCAAATCGTTGAAGTTTGTCACATAGCTGCACACCGAATCAAGTATCACGGGGGGAATTGTCCCGCTTTCGGGCCCTTTGTAGTCGGGGAGAACCACGGTACGGGTCATCGTCGCAGCAATCTGTGCAGATATCGTGTTTATGAGCCGGATTGCTGCTCTATCTCACAGCCAATGGCAACAAAAACACCTTTGTCACGCTACATGAGCGTTTCGATCGGCCCCGTTGCCCGGGCTTTTCTGAAAACACCACATCGTTCGTATTCTTCTGCTCTCTAAGCATATTCATGCAATGGAAGCAGCTGACGTCAGCAGCAAAAGGAGGCTCGGCTTTTTAAAAGATTTGTAGCCGATCGACGCAGTAACAACTGTAGCATTGTCGTAGTGCGACACTATGTCTTGTCGTGGAGGGGGCGTGCCTTGCGGAAAAATTTGAGCCACCCGCGTAGTTACAGCGGGACAATCTGGCATTCTCGGCAGGCAGGGTCCTCTCGGAAGTTTTGCCTATTTAGAGATCTCCGAGGATGCTAAGGCCGAAATAGTGGGATCGTGAGGATGTGAATGTTGGGTGCTGGATAGCAGGGGAAGAAGATGCTGAAAAGGGTATTTCCAATCTGGCCTGTGCTTCTCGAGCTTGTACTTAAATACAGACCAATTCCCTCTTCCTACGAGTCACTCCTGTAAGTCATTCTCCTTTCTCTTGTTTCGTACTTGTTTTGCATTATCCCAGAAAACATCTCTCATCAACACCAACATTTACAAAGAAAATAAAATCATGTCAAAAGGTACTCTCTTCATTAAGCCAGCCTCCCCAAGATCCAACTGGTTGGATGCTTTGGTCAAGACATTGAACATTGATGTCGACGTTGTGGACTACTCCAAGAGCGAGGAATACGCCAAGCTTTTCCCACTTAAGAAGACCCCAGCCTTTGCTGACTCAGAGGGCTACGAGTTGACCGAAGTCTTGGCCATCATCGAATACCTCTTTTCCCTTGCTTCCGACAAGACCCTTAGAGGTGTCACCAACAAGGACCAAGCTCAGGTTATGAGATGGTTATCCTATGTCAACCAAGACATGGTCAACACCTGGGTCGACTATCTTTTCGTTGCTAAGACCGAAGACGCAAAGAAGGCTGCTTCCGAGCAACAAGCAGAGCAATTGGCCTACATCAACAGCGAGCTTGCCACCAGAAGCTGGTTAGCTGTCGACGGCTACGTCACCGTTGCCGACGAGTACTTCTTCTCGTGGTATGCTGGCTTTGCCGACGTCGCTGGCGGCATTACTTCTGCAAAGTACCCATACTTGACCAAATGGCACGAAACCATGAAGGCTAAGGACGTTGTTGCTAAGTCTCTCTCCAAGTTGTAAGTAAGCCTGTGGCTCTTGCCTAACGATCCGAACCTGATTATCTATTTATTTATATGTATATTGGTAGAAACTAAAGCCTGTATACCAATGAAAAAAACGTCCAGCTACAGCAGCCAGTCATGTGACCATGTGAAGCTGCACAGCACCATCTCATCGCAGAGACACCACAGAAACACCGCAAACGCACCTATTACCACCCTTCAAACCCCACACTGGCGAGGATGCGTACAGCCATCATCTCGAAGGTGTGGTGTTGATTTGAATATAGGAGGCGGAAGGGCTTTTTCCTCTAAGACGCCTCGAATAGAAAGCAGCACCAGCAAACTTCCGCAACACGTAGCTTCTGTCAGCATATACCATAGTGCAAGCAATAGCACCCACAAAATGGACAAATTATGCTATTCCAAATTCGTGCGCCACAGTTTGACGGAAGTGTGAGGATAAGATTCCGCCGCTATACCACAGTTGACAGCATCCAGAATAAGGCGGAATATAAAAGCAGCACCACTACCTCTGCAATATAATTGGACTGGGTAGCCCTGAACTATTTGGAGCTCGATGTAAGAGGTTGGCTTCACAAGAAACCATCCAAAAAATACCAAAGAAAAATCCAAAACATTACCACCCCATAAAGATGACAAACGCAACTCAAGGCACGCTCTACATCAGACCAACTGCTACAAGATCCAACTGGTTTGGCGCTCTTGCTAAGTATTTGGATTTGTCCTTCGAGATTGTCGACGGTACTGGAGTCGAAAACTTCACCGAGATCTTTCCTTTGCACAAAACCCCTGCCTTGATCACTGATAAGGGTGTCAAGGTCACTGAGACTCTCGCTATCATCTACTACTTGATTTCAATTTCCGACAAGAAGGATTTCTTGGGTGGAAATGTCAATGAAACTACACAGGTGATCAGATGGTTAGCTTTCTTCAACCACGACTTCATCCAGGTCAACGGTGACTTGAAATTCCGTGCAAAGACAGAGGAAGATAAGGCCAAAGCTTTGACAGCGTTGAACGCACTTCTTACATATGTCGACAATCATTTAGCTGAAAACAAGTTTATTGCATTGGACAGAATCACTGTCGCAGATATTTTTGCTCGTAATATCATTACCGGCATTAAGGGTTACGCTAATTACGACAAGTATGACAAAATCAATGCTTGGCTCAAAGAAATATCCAGCCACCCTATTGTCCAAGAACTCTCCAAGTGATTTTGATAATTATAACTTGTGATAGTTGCCAAGCTTGTGCAGTTTTTATACATAAATTGATGTGTACACTTACAAAATAGCCTATAGCGAATGTCCGCCAACTATTTACTACTATAGAAGAAATCATTTCTTTTCCATCTACTTCGGAATAGTCACCTTCGGCTTGCAGATCGGGTCTATAAGTAACGTGACCCCACCTTTAAACTTTACCTTGACTATCTTTCCCATCCTTGCATTCCTATCAGATAGCCTCCTATCTCTTAGTGCACTAGTGTTTGATTCCGTGACAGGCTCTTCGTATCGACGTATCCGCTCCATATGTACTTTTTGGACTTCCTTTTTCAAGAACCCTTCTAAAGTTTTGATTTTAACATAGTTAAGAAGAAACAATCGGATTTCCCGGATTGTCAGCCTGTATTTGAGAACCATCTCAATGCTATCGGTCGGATCGTTCAATGAAGTAATCGTACCTAAAAGTTGACTCAGTCTGTAAATTTGTTCTTCACTCAATTCGACGTCTTCAACAATGTAGTTTCTCAAAGTTTCTCTCAATGTGCCTCGTTTTATGTCTGTTCCCAAAACTGATAGTAATTCAATACAGTTGTCAACTTCATTGAGCATTCGAGTTCTGTCCGCAAGGTTGAACTTACGCTCTCGTCTTGCCAATTTCTCATGCGTTTTTGTGTACATCACATCAGCAAGCGGGTCAGATCCCACGGTGTATATGAGTCTAGAAGGACCTTTATTCTTCTGATGATCAACCAGGTTGGTGACAAACTTCCCGGCTAGGGAACGTCGAAGTTCATCAAAAGTTCCCTTCGGGTAGCTCATGTCTCTAATCTCGTCATTATCACAAAGGCGAAGAGCAGGCTTTTGATCCAATAATTCATTACTCCTTGCCTCGTCATCTATGATCTCAATTGTGTACTGCTCCGGAATTGAGTTTGCTAAAAACCGATCAAAGTTGTAGTGCGTGCCTCCATTGAGGGATTTCCGTAATGAAGATATTTCTAATCCGACTAAACCATGAACACCTTTTGTATCCGTTGTATTGGCTGGACCAGAGCTTCGGTGTGGCCGCTCATTTTGCCTCTTGTCTTTTCTCATGGCAACAGCTGCTGTAGTTAATTTAGATTCACTTCCAAAACATTGAGGAGGAGAAAACGTTGTCAATGATAGATCCATTACTGTCATTGATTTTCTACACAATGGAGCGCACAGAACTTTGTTTATGTTATTTTAGTGCATCTGCCAAACAATAATTTCATCTTTCTAATACAAAAAACATTCTTTCCAATTTTGGTACAGCATTTCAGCTAGTACAGAACTGGCACTGGTCCTTGATCAATGTCATTCAACCCCAAGCATCGCTTGGGCGGAAAATCCTCATTGGATATTTCAGGTTACAATGAAACTTACTCTTCACACAAAAAAGATACTTTTTTTACCGGTAGTAAAAATGACTTTCTAAATACAATCAGATGGAAGCAGCTTGCAACGTTGTTTTTGCTAATGTGGTCTGTGATACATTATTTTGAAAGGGTGAAACCCTATTATGTTTTTCAGTCGTGTCTATGGAAAGAGTGGGAGAGTTGGCCACATGAATCAGATCCACACCATTCCATAATTATCGGTGATCCACAAATAGTGGACAATTATTCTTATCCTTCAAGAAGTTGGTTGGAATTGACGATAACAAAGATTTTCAGTGACAATTACCTACATAGGAACCACAACATTTACAGCAAAGTACTAGATCCGGATAGTATCATTTTTGTTGGTGATTTGTTTGATGGAGGTAGGGAATGGAACGACAAAGTATGGCTGAAAGAATATGTCCGATTCAACAAAGTTTTTAACCCTATCGAAGGGGTGAGACAGTTGAGACAAATACCTGGAAATCACGATGTCGGATTTGGTAATGGAATTGATTTTGGAAAGTACTCCAGGTTCAAAGCGTATTTTGGGAATGCAGATGAGGTAGTTGTTTTGGGCAATCATTCTATTGTATTGATGGATACAGTCTCAATATCCTGCATTGACAATAACAAAATTAGTCAGGCATCCTCTAAGTTTTTGCGGAGCTTTGAAGATCCTTCAAATACATACAAAGAACTCCCTCGAATTGTGATTTCTCATGTTCCCCTCTATCGGTTCACGGAGCTACAAGAGTGTGGACCTTTGAGGGAGTCAAAGAAGGCGTTCCCAGTGAGCAGGGGGAATCAGTATCAAACTGTTTTGGAATATGAGTTGAGCCAAAAGATTGTTAATTGGATCCGCCCAATAATGCTTTTTTCTGGAGATGATCACGATTACTGCCACATCAGACATCCATTGGATAAAAGTTTCAGCAACAGTCACGCTGACTATCAATTTCAAAAAGGAGATCATCCAGGAGTTAAGTACACTGATGAGATTACAGTTAAGAGTTCTGCAATGACAGGGGGTGTAAAAAAGCCAGCAATCCAGCTATTAAGCCTATGGAATCCAAATAATAAACAAGATGATACATGGATTGTAAGCAATGAAGAAACGAGGAAGGTCGATGCAGGGACAGCAGAAACTTATTTATGCTATCTACCATCGCCATACCAGCCATTGGTACATTATGGAATAACATTGGCATTTTCTATATGGTGGATTTTTGTCTGTACAGTCCAAATAGGGTTTGGAACTAGACTGAATATAACATTCTCTAGGTACGTGCATAAATTACAGAAGATGGTGCACCGATTATTCAAAAAAGACATTAAGTCTATTGATATGACATACTTGGATCCTAAAAGCAACAACAAAGTTGAAAAATATTTCAACAACTTTATCGACTGGGACATTGAACCTCAAAGGAGCTGGAAAACCTTTTTGAACAATTGTGGCGTTTTTCTCTGCATCACATTCATAACTCTATTATATTATTTTAGCTCTATCTAGGAGTTATATTGTTACATACAAACCATGAACTAAACGTACGTATCTTCCTTGTTACTGAAATGTAAATTTAGTCCCGATAGCTCGAAAACGAATGACATGATAAACAAAGCATCTATAGCTATCAGTGATTTCATAATTGACATCCAAATAAAATCATCATCTATTAATTCTGTAGCATGCTTGAATGTATAATACATCAAAATATAAGCCAAACCCACTCCTGCGTGGTATAAACGGCTCCTGACCAAATGAAGAGATGCAAGTAGTTCATTTTTGCTCGAGCCGGATATCTTTGGTGGTTCAAGCGTATATAATAGTTTGATTGTTTTATACACCAAGTTTTTAGAGCCGTTGAGAGGTTTTGGTGTGCCCCCACCATTTTTGATACAGCTCAGATCAAGTATGTACTTCATCTCCATGGCCATGAATATGGTGAACAGTGCAAATGCTTTCTTGTGTGTTGATTCATCATCCTCAGAAGTCACGTAAGTGAATACCATCAAAGCAAGCAATTTTCTAAAAATTATCAAAAAATATGTAACAACAGATGCTAAACGATTGATGTCGACCTTGAAGTCGCAAATGCTCATTGCCCGCAATGACTTCAGGGTTACCTGCAGCACCAAGCCCGATAACTTCTTGATCAAGCCAGGCACAAAGCCCGTGAATTTCTGAATCAAACCCTTGGAGGACGACTCATCATCCCCTATGCTGGATCTGTAGTAGACTAACGGGGAAAAGGAAAGAATCAACATTGTCTGCAATCCAACATGTAGTGCCAATGCAATTTTGAAAATAGGATTGGTAGTTTTCAGCAAAAACAGAACGATCAGCGTCCCATACTCTACAGCCTTCCAATATTTTGCTGCCAAACCCAAAGGTACCGTAATGTTATGCCTATAATCCGACATTCTGTTCGTAGGCAGACACACCCGATGTACACGAGAATTGGAAGTTACATTTATTGTTTCACCCCTACGAAATGCCCATACAATGGAAACGCAACAACATGATATACGCGTTGGAAATTTCTGGCTGTCAAAAAGGCGGAGGTCCTAAGAAATATGTGAGGTGGTGATGATGAGATATCGTGTAATCACGTTTTATCTTGGTGAAGCACATCTTTCGGCATACAACCTAATCAGCATGTTGGAAGGCAACAAAGACACACCCAGTGAGACTGTGGGGACGACAACTAACAATCACGACACGGATTCAATGGCTTCGGTGATTACGAACAAGGAATTTGCCTTTCCGAGCAGAGTAAGGGAGATCATGGAGAGCCAAGGAGCTGGCCATATGATTGAGATTACCGAAGCACGAAAGTCAAACGATTTACACACACACCAGATACAAGGATACGTAGTATACTTTATCAAATTTGGCCCGATTGCGGTGAAAAGACGTTACAGTGAATTCGAAACTTTGCGGACTTGCCTTATCAAGGAATTCCCGACAATGATTATACCGCCAATTCCGGAGAAACAGTCATTGAGGTCAAATATTGCGATCACAACCTCCAACTCCCTTGGCCTGGCAGCATCTTCTTTATCCGGTAATGGGTCTGACCATCACACTATTGAGGGTGAAAGCAATGACGGGCTCGTGAAGAAACACAATGAAACTGATCCGATGACGAATTTGATTGAGTACCGTAAAAGAATGCTAGCAGCATTTTTGAACAGATGCTTGAAAAATGAAAGAATTTCCAAATGTAAATTCTTCTTGCACTTTTTAGATCCTGAAATCAACTTTTTGGACTACGTCAATAACAAAGATAACGCTTTTCTATATAAAACGTCGATATACCAATTATCTCCTCTGAAGCCCTTAGAGAATTTAGAAAATCAGTTGTACATTACCATGCCTGTTCCCTCACTGTCAGACTCCCATCTATTTAAAGAGCTGTCTGAGGAAGAACAATTCCAGAAATTCATGAGCTTTGAGACCAAATTTTTGAAATATGAGCTTGTCTTGAACAATATATCCAAGATAAACAAACGATTGATAAGACACTTTAATGAACTATCAATTGAGTTGTCAGAGCTAGGGTCGAATTTCAATCAACTCTCTTTAATCCAAAATTCAAACTATATAGAACACATTGGGAAATTATTTGAGCAGCACACTATTTTGCTGTCAAATCTAACTAACTTTGTCAATGTTGGATTTCTCGACAAGTTAATTGAGCTCAAACATTTCAGTGTAACTGCCAAGGAGTTGATGGAGTTCAACAGGAAGAAAATAATACAGTACAAGATGATTGAGAAAGATTTATACCATACAAGATCCCGATATAAGCGTTACGAGGCCGAGGAGATACGGATACGAAAAATCGACATGAAAACAGAAAACGCATTGACGAAAAACACCCTAAAGGGAGATAGTCCGGACACAGAGGAGTACTTTGAGCCGCCTATTACGGATGAAGAGTTGCAAACCGCCTTATTTAGCAAGACGTCGAAAAAGACTGTCTATGGGAAAATACCTGGGGTTGGAAAGCTCAACAGCATGATATTGAAGTATGTGAATGATCCGAATCCGGATGAAACACGACGCACTAAATTTTACAACTTGAAACTACGTTTGTTCCAACTCGAAAGACAGTACCAATTATCACAGAGTGACCTTGTTCAAATAAATGAGAGGGTGATGACAGAATTGGAGTCATTTCACCGGTGGTTCAAGAACGAACTAGTTGCAGTCTGTGTGGTTTACAATACTTTCCTCCGTGATTACTTTGCCAAGAGCAAGGAGCCATGGTGTGAGATACAAAACGAAGGCAAGTAGGCCGCTAAACATCCTTGTACTTTTTGTATGCGAGATTACCCATATCTAAAAAAAAATGCAGCGCCATTTCTGGTAATTAATTAATCTTTGCCCTTGAGATGAGAAAGGGGAGACCACCCGGGCATAAACATAAACTGTGTAGTTTTTGATGGGCGGTTCATTTGCTTGCGTTATCAACTGTTGAGAGTAGGTATCCGTAGTGCAATTGGATAAAGTTCAAGACCCCAAGCAAGATGTCTGCTAGTATTTCGGACGCTGAGTCGGATGACTGGAATGTAGTTTCCGGAGAATGGCGTTCTTACTTGAAGAGTGAAGACGGTGATATCGATGATTCCATCATCAACAAGGCTATTGACGATGCACAAAATAACGAAGATGCATCCGATGAGGGCAAAGAGATGCAAGAAGGAACTAAAGAACCAATCAGCAATTCCAAAAGCGGACCTGAATTAGATAGCGTTGGCTTCAACTTCGATTCCTTATCAAACCTGAAGAAGGTATTATCGGAGAAACGTTCCACATTTACAATTCTGATAGAAAGCATTGTTTCGTTACTTTTCTTGTACTATTCGTACACATTGGTGCTGGACTATTTCTACAAGTACAAGATTAGCAACATGATGGGCTCAATTGAAGAGTTACCGGCTAATGCCGGGTATATTGAGCTACACACAAAGAGGTGCAATGAGGCTTATTTTTATTACCAAGATGTTTTGGACTCTTGTTTGGATTCTAACACGGATGATGCTTCGTGCTTGGTTTCGTATATGAAACTGGTGCAGAAAAATGCAAAGTTCTGCTCCTGGGATCCCGAGAAGATTCACAAACAGCAGCAATTGCATGTCGTATACAAACATGGGAGAGAGATTTTGGAGAGATTGACAGAAACCTCCATGAAATTAGTGAACACTGTTGGAGAAAATGTTATAGAGAAAGGATCACAACAATGGGAATCGCTGAAGTCTGCTTCACAGAAGGTTGGACCATATTATAAAATGCAGCTTTTGAGATTTTCTAGAAAGGAAAATGAGCTTACATCTTTTCTTGCCAAAAAGAACAAAGACTTGGACGTGAAAAAGAACCTGGAGAATTTTGTCAAGGGCGGTGAGAAAGTAGTGGTTGGTACGTACGAATCTGTAAGGAGGAATATACCACTGATTTGGGATTCTGCTAAGGATAAGACGGAATCTGGGGTACAATTTATCAGTGAATATATAAATAGGGAGAATGCCAAGAAGGTCTATGATGGTGTTTTTGGCGCTTGTGATAATGCGATCAAAAATCTTCTTGCTCTTTTCTAAGTTTTGAGAGCAATTATTAGTTTTGGTTTTTGGTTTCGGTTTTATTTTGGTTTTGGTTTCTGTTTTTATTTCTCGTTCTTTTTTTCAGCGTTTATTATTATACTGTTTTTTTCCTTTATATGTTGGGTTTTATTTCAATTTATTTCAATATATTCTATTTTCAACTTCTTATGACTTTGTTCTCCAATATTACTCTCACTTTTTCTTAATTTTCTTTAATTACTACTATGACCATTATTAAATATTAAATATTAAAGACTGCGTACTTCTATATAAAGATTTGAATAGCTATTTTTTTTAATTCCGAGATTCTCAGACTTTTCTGTATGCAAACAAGTTTGATATAGTCTCCTTAGGAGATACCGTGATTTCTAAGACGTCATCTTCGTTTTCTGTCTCTTCTTTGACATAGCTGTTTCTTGAAATCAACCATCCACGAAGCACCACCAAAGTGACGCCCGCCATGAAATAACACAATCCAACGAAGATTGCAGGAGGTTGGTACTGGGTTGGGTTTGCAGGCCCATTTTTCTTCAAAGCGATACCAATTATCGGAGATGCAAAGCCGAAGGCACCGCAGGCAATCCAGCTAATAGACATGGCAATGCCAAACTTCTTTAACCCCACTATGGACGCGTTGATGCTGGCCATGGTCAACCAAATAGTCCCCATCAAAGAGCCAACAAACATGGCAAAGACAATGGCAGTAGCATAGTTTCTGCAGGGAATCCACATGGACCAAGTGAACAAAGCAACTAGCCACGAAGCCAATATGGTCACATTCACTGGGCCGATGATATCGCCAACCTTGCCGACCGAAGGCCGTCCGTAGATAATGCCCACTGCCACCATTGTCGAGACGACTGATGCCTGCTCGGAAGAGTAACCCATCGACCTGGTAAAGTCTCCCAAGTTGTACATCAACACCACGTAGCCAAACAAGGTGAACATGATATAAAAGACCAAGCATAGACACCCGAAGTTGCTCCAGACCAACCGATCGTAAACCTTGAAGACAGGTTTGATGGACGCGTTTCTAGATTTGACAAGAAGAACGGCAAGGATATTCAAGCCCAAGCACATTATTGCCTGTGCCCGCAAGGACCATCTGAAGGTTTTTCTCCGCAACAAGGGCTCCAAACCAATGTTGTAAATTATACCACCCAGGCCCGATCCGGCGGCTTGAATACCCATCGCAACGTTTCTCTTACCACCGGGGCCTCCTTTGAACCACTGAGGAACAATGTTGATGTTAGCAACGCAGATGAGAGCCATCCCCACGCCGGACAGCACTCCCTGGGTACAATAAATGTGCCAGAGCTTGGTTGCAAACGAGGCCAGCATTATCGCAGCAAAGTATATCAGGACACCGACGCAGATGGTGGGCTTAATGCCAATGGTGCCAACCAGTAGGTTGATCAAGGGGGAGAAGATCAAGCCAGAGCTGAATGCAAGCCCACCGACAATGGCATACGAGTACTTTGTGGCACCCTCGAAATCGCTGTGTTTGAGGTACTCCTGCAAGTAGAGCGCGTACGCCGAGTTGGCGCCCCAGGTGTTGAAGTTGAAGAATGCACATCCAATCACCGACGTCAACCCTCTGCCCGTGAATTTGTCAGGAATTGCGTCTCTCACTGACTTGATCGAATCCACTCTCTGGAGCTCCAACTCCGCCCTTTCTTCGTCCACAGACCGCTCCTGTCCCTCCTCGTCCTTCCCGTAGTACTGATACTCCTGGTCCTGCGATCCATCGGTTATCTGTTCACTGTTGGTCTCAACCATCTCGTTATCTTTTTCGTTATCTCTTGTGTTGTCAGACATTTCAGTTCTCTTCACAGTCCCGTATTCACCCATTCACCAGCCACTTTTCGTCTCTCTGGAAACGACTGCCGACAGCAAGACTTCTCTTTTATATCCATATCTTGCCCTCTCCGAAAACCGTGGCCCTTTGCAATAGTGTGGACCTTTTCCTGGTGTTTTCCAAGACCCTAATCGTCGGAGAAAAAAAATGCCAGATACCCCGGTCACGTGAACCTCGGTGCAGACCGACGAATGCGGCAACAATCGCGGCAGAAGCGCTTCTTATTGCCCAAAGCAGCAAATACACCGGTCGGTGTTTTTTTGCGAAAAAACCGGAGCGCCGCTTTCGGTCGAAAGCCCGCCTGGCACGGGGTGAAAATTGCCGGAGACGGAGAATGGAGCTGCGACGGGGCTCAACCTGCTGCTGCCAACTCCGCAACGGCGGCAGGCACGGGGCACGGGGCACGGGGCACTCGGTGCTAATCGAGGCTCTGGTCTCGGCATTATCCGCTAGCGGTCTGCGGGCGTTGTGGCAACCGCTTGGAGGGTGGCAGCGGCGAAGAGGACTGCTGCGCTGGATATGCTTTCGGAGATGGGGTGGTCCGTGCCACGCGGGAGAACCACCGGAGTGTTTAGCTTTGGATGGCGTTTCTGATCTTTTCTGTGTATGTCTTGTCGTCAGAAACTGCCACATCTTGGCGTTCTGTGCAACATGTGCGAAGCCGAAAAGGCCGAGGTCGGCTAGTTGCTTTAGTTTCTCTAGCGGGGTGCTGGCCTGGATGGACCCCCGAGTTCGGCATCTGTAGGAACCGGCATGCTAAGCCATGTACCAGGAATGACGGTCTAGATCCAAGCCTGCTAGTGTATCTAGCAGGCTGCCCCCACCTGTGCCGGCGTGAAAGCGGGAGGCTCGGACAAGTTTCACAAGACCACTGCTTTTCATGGCGGGAGAGCGGAAGAGCAGGGAAATCAAGAATTCTGGGCCGATCGGCGTAACATGTTTTTTGCCAAATATGCTTTTTCACAGCTTCAAGGACAAACCCCGAGGAGGAAAAATGGTCTGCTAACATAACGGGTTCCGGATCCCGGGTTCATGAACCGGGAATCTGTTTTGCCTGGCTCTGGCAGTACCTCGTTTGGAAAGCAAGGTAGAGGCAAAGGAAAAGGAAAGCACGCGTGGTCATGTCAGCCAACCCGGGGAACTCGATTAAGGCTTTGAGGCCCAGTCCACCGGAACGTGGGTCATTCCCGTTGGATCATTTCGGCGACTGCAAGGATGCGATGACCAAGTACATGAAGTGTCTGAAGTTGGTGAACAACGAGAACGCGCCCAACTGCAGACTGTTGGCAAAGGACTACTTGAAGTGTCGGATGGACAACGAGCTCATGGATAAAGTCGACTGGAGGGACTTGGGATTGCCGACAGATGAGGAGGAGAAGAACAAGGGGAGATGAAAGGAGCTCCATTTGCCTGTCCGTGCGCATGGATGATGACTGTATATAGAAAAAATTAGGCTGTAAAAAGAGCTACAATTATAAAATACACATATACCTGGCTACTACACATCGCAGAGGATCTACACGGGTCTGTTCCAGCAGAGCGGAGCGTTCACTGCTTTCTGTTGATTTCGGCAAACCTGTTCTCGACACGCCTCACGCGGAGGTCCAGGTTTTGCAGAGTCTCCAAAAGAGACTTCAAGACGGAGAACTGGTGCTCGGAGAGCTGGATGGACTGTGTTCCGTGCGAGTTGGAGGAGCTGTTGGAGAGAATGTCGCTGAGCAGACCCGATATAAGGGAGTAGTTCAACATCGGTATTTCGTTGTTGTCAGAATTGCCGTTGTGGCCAGCGTGAGTATCTTGATCTTGCGTGCTCCCACCGCGGTTGGCGTTGGCGTTGTTGTTGTTATTATTGCTGGAAAGGCTTTCGTCCAGCATTTTGCGCACAGATTCGGCTTCGTCTTCGTCTTCCTCGTCGTCGTCATTGGAGTGCAGTGCGTCATTCGGAAGCTGCTGACGGGGTATCGCTTGCAAGTTGCTGCCTGCATTTTTCGCACAGGTATTCCCTTTGATGAACTGCATGTCAATACTACTCGATATCTCATCCACAGCGGGCATATCCTTTGCCGGTCCTATACTCGCGTCATTCTTAGAGACGTTCTGCTGTTGTTGCTGTTGTTGTTGTTCTTGGATGGCCTGCTGTGCAAAGAAGTTGGACGCGTCATTTGAATCGTCACCAGTGAAGACAGCGCTTGACAAACTGTGGCTGTTTTTCTGTTTCGTCTTTTGCCTTTTGTTTCTGTTCAGCTCTAGATCTACGGGTTTGCTCCTTACGCCCTGCTCAGATCGGCCACCGTTGAAATTCTCAGCCTTTTTGCTACCGTTTGAGGGGATATCTGTGTTAGTTGTGGAGGGTGTGGGGCTATCACTGTGGTTGATCCCGTCGGCGGTGCTGTTCTGGCCGCTTTCGTCCATGATCTGGCAGCCCGTGTTGGAGTTCGAGTGCCTGAGAAGGGCGTCCGCTCTGGCAAATTGCTTGCCACAGGAATTGCACACAAACGGTTTTTCTCTCGTGTGCGTTTTCTCGTGTCTCTTCAAGTCGTACTGCCTGCGAAACTGGGAGGAGCAGCGGGAGCAGCTGAAGGGCTTTTCGTTCGTATGGATCAAGAGGTGCGACTTCAAGTTGTGTTTCCGTGTGAACGAGTGGTGGCATATCGAGCAGATGTACCTCTTTTCCTCTCCATCGAGCTCCGTGTCGATGTTGCTCGTGTTCGTGCTGTGTTCCTGTCCGCCTCCTTCGTCGAGTCGGTTGCCACTGCTGCCCCTATCTCCCCTATCGTCCGTCTTGCGGCCCACGTAGCCGGAGATGTCTGAAGATAGCAGGCCCGAGTGCGGTTCGTTTGCTCCGGGCATCGAGAGCGAGTCTGGCGTCGGACTCGTCGAGGACACCGCCGCAAGCGCCACTGCAGCGGCGTTCTTCATCGGGTCGTTCATCTGGCCGCTGGACGCGTCGCCCAGTGAGTTCTGCAGGCTCTGCAAGTTCTGCAGACTGGTAAGGCCGGACAAGTTCGACAAGTTCGACAGGTTCGGAAGGTTCGAAAGATTCGGAAGATGCGACATGATCTTGCTGGCGCCCGGGTGCGTGTCTCTGGAGCCGTGACTGTCAATGGGTGTGTCCCGGCTTGCCAAGAAACCTACTTCTGAACATAGAACCATCTATCTGTGTATCTTCCGAGTCCTGTCTGACACAAACATGCTGCTGCTTCGCCACAAACTGCGCATCCAGAACGGGCTCAAGAAAATAAATCAAAAAAATAAAAAACCGACGCGTCGATATTTCAGTCGCGTCGATTCGCGCTTTGCTGTTGCCCCCGGCCCCTTTGTCCCAAAACGGAACACAACGTGCCCGGCCCTCCCCCTCGGACGCTCAGCCCTTCGGGTGTGCAGCAGGGCGGGGGGCGAAAACAAGAGCACGGCAGATCTGCGCAGCGCTGTGCAGCGAGCAGGGCAGAGGGGCGGGCAGGGGCACATGAAACTGGGAAGAAAGGCCTGCTGCTGTTGTTGTTGTTGGCGATAACTGTTCGGTCGGGGCACGAGCCAGGCCGGGGTTGGAGAAGGTCACCCGCATCACACTGCTATACATTTGGAAAACACGCTGCTACGCCCGCTACCGCCACCGCCAGTGTCAGCCTGAGACACAGAGAGCAAACGCAACCACCGCCTATCAGGGCCACCGCACACACCGCACCGTCTACACACGCTGCCCATCCATCTGTGCGCACCCTAGCGACACGCGGACTGGAGACAGAGAGCACTAGAGCACCCGTTCCGCTAGGTTGGACGACTTCCGGCGTGCCCAGGAAGCTTCCGCGGACCGCACAAGGCACAGCTGCATCGAAGCAGAGCAGAGCACAAGAGAAGATCTGAGACGGCAGAGCAGGAAGCAGGCAGGATGATGGCTACTTCGCTGAACTACAACAGGAAGAGGCAGCGTTTGTTGTCGAATGGCTCGTCTGCCTCGAACACCACGCGGCCTCACCTGATTCCGAAAAAACAGCATTTTTCGGACTCCATCAACACCGAGATCATCAACTTGGACTCGGACGACGAGGACTACGTTTTCAACAACCGTCTGGACGACTACCGCGGCTACCACGACTTGCACGACTTCCACGGCTACCGTGGCTACCGCGACTACCCCCACGAGAATACCCAAAACGGCAGCAAGAGAACCGGCCACGGAGATGACGAAGCCGCTGGCGACGAAGACTCTGAGAACAACGACAACGACATTGACGTGATAGACGTCGGCGCCGACGTCGACGGCGTGAGAAGCTCGGCCAGCAGCGACATGCAGTTCACACGGCACGACAGCGCAACCCACTTCTACAGCCATCAGAACACATTCTCGGACACTGCCGCAGCCGCAGACATCACCGCGTACTCGCACATGGATGATGACCAGGACGCAGATATATTCGGGGACATCGGCGAGGACCAGTTTGGAGAGTACGCTGCCCACCGCGACCCGGACAAGATCGACGCTGATGCTGTTGTTGGAGAAGATGACGACGACAACAACACCGACGTCATTCTCCAGAACTTTGATTACAACGACAACCTTATTGATACCAACGACCATTACCACCATCTCAAAAATTTCGACCACGATAACCCGATGAAAGATGTCTATGACATCGACGATGCCCCAGGCGATAGCGCCTATGACGGAAACAAAGAGAGGGACGGAGAGTATGATGATGGTGTTCCTGATGAAGAGCGTTATCATGACGAAAATGAAAGCGCTGTTGATGATACCACACTTGACAACGGTGAGAGCTACACGAAGTATTTTCGTAACAACCACTCGCAGAAGAATGCCACCAGGCATCTCAGCTTCACGTCTCCTCTCAACAACTTGGTGAGCCGCTTTTTGAAGAAGTCAAATGCACCGCCTTCTCTTTCAGCAACAACAGTTTCCAACACCGCCGACATCGCCGACACTGCATCTTCGAGTAAAAAGAGAACAAAATCCCTTCCGCAGTTGGCATACGCCAAGATGACATACTCTCCTGCATTAGACAGGGACGAGATTTCCTTGAAAATAGGCGACGTCAAAGCCTCCTTGATCAACCATTACGCCGCTAACTATACCTATGACCAGAATAACAACAGGCGTCATAACAATCTGAGAAAATTTTCATTTAATCAAAGCATTAAATCGACAACGTCATCAAACCCTTCATTTTCTTCGACGTCAAAATCTTCAGCGACTAGCTCTTACGACGAAAAATATCTTGCACATTCCAAAAATGATCTGCAGTATGTCAACTTGAACAACCATAACAGCAGCGACAGCGGTAACAACAATAACACGGGTAATAGTAAAAGCAATAATAGCTCCAGTGTAAAGGAAGACGAAGATCAGAACTGTGACGATGAAGATGGCTACTATATTGTCAAGAGTGGTGCTCCGTTTGCCAATGGCCGTTTCGTGATCAAGAAACTTCTAGGGCAAGGTACCTTCGGCAAAGTTGTTAAAGCTTATGACCACCAAACAAACTCCTTTGTTGCAATCAAGATCATCAAATCGATTCGCAAATACAGAGAAGCATCCAAGATAGAATTAAGAGTGTTGACAATGTTGAAAAAGCATGACCCAACAAATAAGTTCCAGTGCATCCACCTCAGAGAGTGCTTCGATTACAGGGATCACATTTGTATTGTTACCGACTTGTTGAAAGTATCTCTTTATGACTTTATGGATAAGAACCAGTTTCTGCCTTTTCCTGGCTCGCACATCCAAGCTATGACTAAGCAACTGTTGAGGTCGGTCGCCTTTTTGCACGATCTAAACTTAATCCATACGGACCTAAAACCTGAAAACATTCTTATCAAAGATGCTTCATATAGCAAAAAACCTTACCACAAGTTGAATGACAATGAGACTTACTTCAGGAAAATATTGAAGGACCCGAAAATATATACGATTGATTTCGGATCTGCCATATTTCAGGATGAATATCACTCTTCCATAATATCCACGCGACATTATAGGGCCCCTGAAATAATTTTAGGGGTTGGCTGGTCATTCCCTTGTGATATTTGGTCAATTGGTTGCGTCTTGGTCGAGCTGTTAACCGGCGATGCTTTATTCAAAACACATGAGAATGAACAGCACTTGGCCATGATGGAAAAAGTGATTGGTAAGCCAGTCGATTCTAAAATGGTACGACAATGTTTGAACCTGTACAAAACCGATAACCGAAATAACTACTCAAACAACCGTTTTGATACCTCAATAGTAAGTGCCTTTTCCAGAAGAACTGGAAAATTGAGGTTTCCGAAACCTTCCACCGATCACAAGCTGATTCAAGAAGTTGAGCAGCTAAAATCGATCGAGTCTTTGGTGGAAGAAAAGGTCGGTTTTAAATTTGACATGAACCTATCCGTCCGTGAGTCGTTATCCCAGTTCAAAGTCAGTTTCAAATTGAAAGACGATTATATCTTCTGGTACTATTACATTGATCTGATCAAGAGAATGTTGGTTTTTTGTCCCGATGAGAGAACGACAGCAAAAGATGCTTTGAATCATAAGTGGTTCAAGTTAGGTATAATGGATGACGGTATTTAGCCTTTGGATCTTTTCCTTCCTTTTTTTCATTTCCTTTCCTTTCCTTTCCTTTCCTTTCCTTTTTGTCTCTTATTTTTCTTTGATTCTCCATTACTCCGTGCCACTGCTTACTACTTTTTTCTGTTTTTCCTTTTCGTCTATCGTTGGACTCTCCGATAAGTGAGTTTTTTCTATTCTCTTTATTTCTGCCATTTTGATTTTGTATTTTAGTTCTTCCTGAGGTGTTAATTCTCTCGTCCAGCAAGAGAGAAGTTTGGGTGTTATTCCTCATGGTTATATTTTGTATTTTATCTTTAAATAGGTTTATTTATTCCTAATACTTTTAATTCGGTCAACCTTATTATGTTATACATCTTTCCTGTTTCTTTCCTCTAAAATATTCTACTCATATGAGCAAATCATTATCACGTCTTAAAAACGGTTTGCGACCTTCCTCGATATAAGAGATGCGATATACCCCCATTTACAAACAAAGTGGGCGGCTACTACCACCGCTGGATCATCGAGGACAGCGACAGTATGCAGCTCTCCAGCATGAGGTATGGCAAAATTTCAGGCGGTGCAACTGATGAGGGTTAACTCCAGTCGTGGATCTATCGCAGAAATCCGATGGCTTACCTCAGCAGGAAGAGGAAGACTCAGAAAGTAGCTTTCATCAGTAGATTAATAAGCTGTACTTGGTATGGCAACATAGAAATTAGTTTGTAGTAGTGTTTGACCTAAGGGGAAAAGAAGCACAGTTATTTGCGTTACATTCACACTCGGTAAAGATAGATGGTTATATCTTTGTTACATTTGCGTCATGTGTTGTATGTCGGAGTCGATTGTTGATTTTTGAGAAACCATACAAGTCATGAAGCCATAAATATTCGTATTGGAAACATACATACATGTTCCTGATCTACTATTATGGCTTTATGCTAAGAGATAGACTCGGAAAGATAAGTCATTATGACAATGCAATTCCATTAGAGTTGGGCAGATTTTATCTCCGGAAAAGCGAGCGCCGCCGCAGCTAAAAGGGCACGAAAGTTAATTATCGCCGGCTAAAAGCAGAATTAGCCGAGCACATTATCTCCGAGCTAACATAATCTCGGAGAAAAGCAAATAATACTTAGTTCCAGTCGGTTTTTACATGATTAAGGCAGTTGAACAGTTGACAAAGCCTTCGTGTTCTGAAAAGGTATATATTTAACCATTCCGCTTTTCTAAAGATTGAAAATACAAAATGCAAAATATATTACCTCACCTGTTAAATCACCCTTGAGTTCATTCTTTCAAACAAGCTATTTTGTATAAAATGAGTGATAGTGAGCTAGAGAAACAAACACCAGCTGAAGCTGCAATGCAGAAACGGTTGTTTACCTTTCTTTTTACCAAAAAAGTTCCTCCAATTCCTCAAGAAGATGAAAGAAAAGTTCTTCCTGAAAAAAGAGTCAACATAATTTCTCAATTCTTTTTTTTATGGATGAATCCCCTTCTTGTGGTAGGTTATAAAAGAACATTGCAATATGAAGATTGCTTCAAAATGGATGACGAGGAAAAGGTTGACAAATTGTATCAAACCTTTGTTGGTCATCTTGAAAGATTGAAAAACGGTGATAAAAAGGTCACAAAAATGATGCTTTTAAAAGCGTTGCATAGTACCTTGATTTTTGATACATGGACCGCGTTACTTATCAAAGTTGCCAGTGACGTTTCGACCTGCTGTGCCCCTTTGTTGCTAAAGAAACTCACCGACTTTGTTGAATTCTCCACGTTGGACGATAACGTTTACTATGGTAGAGGTGCTGGCTATGCTGTTGGAGTTGCTTTATTGATTACCTTTGGAAGTCTCACAATCAATTATTCCTTCTACCGAGCAACAGTTTTGAGTTGTAAAGTGAGATCCATTTTGACAAGATCGTTACTCGAAAAGTCATTCCATATCAATGCACACGGATTTCATAAATTTCCTTCCAGTCGTATCAACTCTATCATGAGTACCGACTTGAGCAGGGTTGATTTGGGATTAACGATGACTATAATTGTTTTGTTCTCCGTTGTTCCAATTGCCATCACTATTGCATTGTTGATTGTTAACATTGGAGTTTCAGCATTAGCTGGGATTGCATGTTTTTTTATTGTCTTTGTTATCCTTGGTGTCTCATTCAAGTCTTTAGTCAAGTTGAGAAAGAAGGCTTCAGTCTATACGGATATTCGGGTAAAGTTGACAAAGGAATTTTTGACAAATTTCAAGATGATAAAGTTTTATAGCTGGGAAAATTCTTACAGAGAACGTATTGAGGATGCTAGGAAAAAAGAAGTGAAGTTTAATTTATCAATGCAATTTATTAAGAACTTATTGATGTCTATTGCGTTAGGTTTACCAAATCTTTCTTCGATGGTGGCGTTTTTGACGATGTCCAGGGTTTCTCCGCAAAGAACTTCAGGTGACATTTTCTCCTCGTTCGCCTTCTTCCAGAATATATCAACTATTTTTTTCCAGCTTCCTATGGCCATCGGTGGTGCTGCTAATGTTAAGGTTGCATTTCAAAGAGTTGCAGATTTCCTATCATGTGACGATATTGATCTCAAACAATTTGAGTTGAAACTACTTGAAGATGAAAAGATCTCCATACAAGCAAGTGAATGCGACTTTGAGTGGGAAACTTTTGATGACGAAGAAGAGGAGGATGATAGTGATGGTGATAAAAAAAGTGACAAAAAGTCAAAGATCAAGAACAAAGAGATGATAAAAGTTGAGACCAAAGATTCAGCTTCGAGCTCTTTTGAGGTTAGCAGCACCACTAACCAAAAAGCTATTTTCAGTGGCTTGAAGAATGTAAATTTCCAGATAGCAAAAGGAGAATTTGTTGTTGTTGCCGGTTCAGTTGGCACGGGTAAGTCATCTTTATTGTGTGCTTTGTCGGGATTCATGAAGCGTACAAAGGGTGAACTTTCAGTGAGTGGTGATTCGATTTTATGTGGACGGCTCTGGATCAAAAACGATACAATCAGAGAAAATATTTTGTTTGGTTTACCATATGACTCAATCAGGTATCAACAAATAATTGACGTATGTTGTCTACAACCTGATTTCGACCAGTTTGCAGGTGGCGATCTTACCGAAGTAGGTGAGAGGGGTATAACGTTGTCGGGTGGTCAAAAAGCAAGAATATGCCTGGCAAGAAGTGTCTATGCTGACAAAGACATCATTTACTTGGACGATGTCCTAAGTGCAGTAGATGCCAAAGTTGGAAAGCATATTGTTGAAAAATGCATATGTGGTTACTTGAAAGGTAAAACAGTTGTTTTGGCCACTCATCAGATTAACTTGGCGGAGAAAGCAGATAGAATGATTTTTTTGAATGGAGATGGGACCCTTCAAATAGGTAAGCTTGATGAGCTGAAAGCAAATTACCCTTCAGTTTCCAGCTTTTTTGAGAAAGTTTCTGCTGAAAAGAGGAAGGAGCCAGAGGTTCGGGACATTGAGACGCAGCAAGCTGTAAAACAGGTCGATGTTCCTAATAACAGCGGCAATAATGAAAATGGCATTGTTAGAATAATTGGCGATGAAGAAAAAGCTGTGAATGGACTAGCCTTTTCGGTTTACAAAACATACTTTAACCTGGGTGTTGGCGTTTTCAAGATGTCATTTCTTCCACTTTTCATTTCTTTGGTTGTTTTATCCACTTTCACAACTTACTTTTCAAATGTATGGTTGGCATACTGGATTGAAAAACATTTTGCTCATAGATCATACGGATTCTATTCTGGTATTTACATTCTAATGAATATGATGTTTGTGATCTTGATCGGTGGTGAATTTATTATGTTGGGTTATTTCTGCGTCACTGCGGCCAAGAAATTGAATTTAGGAGCAATGAGAAGAATTTTGCATGCACCGGTTGTTTTCATGGATATCTCTCCACTTGGTAGAGTCTTGAATAGATTTACCAAAGATACCGATGTTTTGGATAATGAAATTATTGATCAAATGAGAATGGCAATCTATCCAATAGGAATGATGGTTGGTGTGTTTATTTTGTGCATAATCTATTTGCCATGGTTTGCCATTGCTATTCCAATATTGGTTTTCTTATACATTTTTATCACAGTTTATTACCAGGCTTCAAGTAGAGAGCTCAAAAGAATCGACGCTCTCAGACGCTCGTTAGTTTTCACTCAATTCAATGAATCAATAGAAGGTATGGAGACGATTAAAGCATACAATAGGAAATCATACTTTGTTACTAGACTAAACACCTTAATGGATAACAATAATGAGGTATATTTCCTAACATGGGCAATCCAGAGATGGTTAGCAGTTAATTTTTCTCTCCTTACACTCGTTTTTATTTTAGTCATCTCCTTGCTATGTTGTTTCAGAGTTTTCAGTATCAGTGCTGCCGATACCGGATTATTATTGAGTTATGCCATCACCATTCCAAGTTTCTTACAGTTGGCCGTCCGTTGTCTTGCACAAATCGAAACAGAGTTTAACTCAGTGGAAAGACTTGACTACTATGCAACTGAGATGGTGCAAGAAGCAGCTTATGAGATTCCAGAGAACGATCCACCTGCGAGCTGGCCGCAATATGGCCAGATCGAGTTCACAAACGTCAGTTTGAAGTACAGGCCTGAACTTCCTTATGTCATTAAAGATCTCAATCTATCTTTCAAAGGAGGAGAAAAAGTTGGTTTCTGTGGAAGAACTGGAGCGGGAAAGTCTACGTTCATGACATGTTTGTACAGACTAACGGAATTCGAAGGAGCTATAACCATAGACGGCATCGATATCAGTCAGCTAGGTTTGCACAAATTGAGAAGCAATATGACTATTATTCCGCAAGACCCTGTGTTGTTTGTGGGGAATATCAGATCTAATTTGGATCCATTCAATGAATACGATGATGATACCTTGTGGAATGCTTTGGTCACTTCGAACTTGATCGACGAGAGCGAGCTTGCTACAGTTAAGCCACAAACGGCAGAAGACAAGAATTTTCATAAATTCCACTTGGACAGGGATGTTGAAGATAACGGCTCCAACTTCTCATTGGGTGAGAAACAGCTAATCGCATTGGCCAGAGCTGTTGTTCGGAAAACAAAAATCTTAATTCTTGATGAAGCCACCTCCAGTGTCGACTACATCACAGACGACAAAATCCAGAGTGCAATTGCAACCCGATTCAACGACTGTACGGTGTTATCCATTGCCCATCGGTTGAAGACTATCTTATCATTTGATAAGATTGTGGTCATGGATAACGGCGCAGTGGTTCAGTTTGGTGAACCTAAAGAACTTTTCGACGACAAGAGTGGGTTATTCAGATCAATGTGTAATCAGTCTGGAATTGACGAGAATGATTTTATCTGACGTACCTAGTAGCTGTGTATAGTTTTATAGCCATTTTTATTACCTCATAATATTTCCATTGATTCTTGTGCATTTTCGAAGCTGAGACAAAATTCGGATAAGACGCTTCAGCCGAGAGCGCCTAACATTCCTGGTAATTTCCCACTGTATTTAACATTACCGATTAAAGCTAAGTGCACCGCAATCCCATTGGTAGCAACTATACATCAAAGATTGGCGGCAGCGTGCAGACAAGATGAGTCACCAGAAGATTGCAGCATACAACTTTTTCAAGGGTCATCCTTCGACTGATCTTCTTCCCGCCGAAGATATACTCAAGGCATCCGAGAAGGTTCTTACAACATTTAACAAAACTCTTGCACATTACGATGGTCAAAACGACACACATCCTTTGAACTACGGCCCGGATTTGGGCAACCTTGAAGTGAGAGCATTAATTGCCAAATGGAACGACAATTTATTCAAATTGGAGGAGAAAACGGACCCAGATTGCATAAATTTGACGAATGGGGCGTCTTTCGGATTGATGAATCTTTTATTGCAATGCACGACGCCATTGCACAATGTCACCAAGAGAATCTTTTTGATTTCTCCAACGTACTTCTTGATAAACTCAGCCTTTATTGATAACGGATATGCTGGCAAGTTGAGCGCAATCAGAGAGTTAGACAACGGCGAAATAGATATAGATGAGATTGAGAGACAATTGGAAAGTATTGAGTCCGAAACTCCGTCAAAGAAAGATATCACCAAGGAGGATGTCCCCGAGATATACGATCCATATCGGCCAGTGAAGAAATTGTACAACTACCTGATCTATATTGTTCCCACGTTTTCTAACCCTAAGGGAGGAACGCTACCGTTGGAGTCGAGAACCCGGTTAATTGCTATTGCGAGAAAGTACAATGTTCTTATCGTCTGCGACGATGTCTACGATCTCCTTGACTTTAATGCAGGGAAAGAGAACCACAGTTACCACAAGAAAATGGTTTACCTAGACAGAGAAACATTGCCTGAGGGGGAGGAATTCGGCAACGTTGTTTCGAATGCCACCTTCTCCAAGCTTCTCGGGCCCGGACTTAGAACTGGGTGGCAGGAAACCGCCACACCAAAGTTAGCCAACCTGCTAGCTTCTGGAGGTGCAAACAAGTCAGGAGGCACACCAGGACATTTCAACACCACCATCATCGCCGAACTGCTCAAGTCAGGTAAGGTGGACAAGATTGTTGCAAACTTGAACGCAGTCTACAGCAGAAGAGCGGAGGTTTTGAAGGCTGCAGTCAGGAAATACATGCCCGAGGGGACCTCCATTTCCCCTGTAGACGGCGGCTACTTTGCGTGGGTCACTCTTCCTGAGGGCTTTGATAACCTGAAGATCGCCAAGGAGTGTGCAAACCACGGCGTGGTTCTGGCCACCGGAGACAACTTTGAGGTCACAGGTGACCCGCTCGGGTGGGGAGAACACGGCGTCAGGATCTCAATCAGCTACCTGGACGAGACACAGATAGAACACGGCATCAAGATCTGGGGAGAACAGTGTCAGGCTTTCCGCTTTTAGACAGAGCGTGTATGGATTATCCATTGATACATAGATAGTAAAGTAGATGTAGGCATAAAGGACACACGCCGAAACCCGCGGAAAATTCCCGAGGCCACATGTTCCACGTAAAGCGGGTACGAAAATATAACCAATACGTTTGATTTCGTGGAGGAGGGGCTTAAAGAGACCAGAAGAAGCAGATCGAGCCCGTCTAGCAAGCGGAAGCTCGAGAATTAAGCACACAATTAACGACAGAGGTATATTGACAGAAACATAGATGTTTGTTGAGCTGGCCCCGGTGTTATTGGCTCTGCCGACCCTGCTCGTGTCGCAGGTTTTGACGGTGACAGTTCCACCAGAGAGTCCAGACTCTGTCACGGCATACCTGCTGCTCAACTGGGTGCAGTCGATGTTTTTTGCATCCCTGTCGCTAGTCACCATGATGGCGATCTTCAGCTACATATCTGTGCACGAAAGAAGCAAACCAGGAAACGGTGGTGAAAGTATTGCCAGTCCTAGCGAAACATCGTGGTTCGCTACTGTCAATAACATGCTGTACTTGTGGACTCCATTGGTGTTTTTCTTTCTGTCCACTCACTACCTTGGACTGCTAAGAGTGATATCCCTTTTTACGGTGTGTCAAATGTTGAGCACCACGTCCAAAAAGTCCTCTCACCGTTCATTTCAGATGGAAAACAATTACAGCGTCAGTGACTGCAGTTTTCTGTTGCTATTTTACAAAAAGTTCCAAGTTTACATTATATTCCTGTTGTCTTTCATTTTTGACCTAATCTACGGACTCTATTTTGAAAAAGAAAAGTTACTCTGTCGTCTGTTCGGCTATGTTCTATTTATTACCCCATTCTTTGCGCTGACAACTAACGCCTTAAACGACAAGATATCATCAAGTAACTTGGCTTTCGACTCGAACATAAAGATCCACTTGTTGATAGCTGCTGCCGCTTTGCTCAAGTTGGTGTATTCATATATGGACGTATACAATTTCAAAATGATGCTGGTTTCTATCGGGTCGCTGATCATATTATTATTCAGTCAGTTCGAAAGTACCACTACGAACAAGCTGAAACTCCAAGTATTGATAAAAGACATTGTCAGTCCGGATTTGCTACTACAGCACTACAAGCTGAACTACTTGACTTTGAACGCTGTTGTTTTAGTCATTACTTTTCTAAATGAAAGCGTGAATCCAGATTTTTCATTTGCAGAAGCATTCGCAATTTTTGTCGGAAACTATGCAGTAAAGTTTAGTTTCAACATACTGGTCATGTTTCTTTTAAATGTCGAAAATAGCTTAATGGTTGGAACCCGAAATGCCGTTTTTGATACAACAAAGGCAGATGCAGAAACAACTCTTTTTGGATTGTTTGTCCAGTTAATAAATTCAGACGAGTCCAAGTCCATTTTCAATTTTCTTCTTTTGAATGTCGCATTCATGTTTATTCAGTTGCTATATTCGTTCAGGTCAAAATCATTGAGTTTATTAAGTGACTCGCTTCACATGCTTCTTGACTGCACCTCTTTGCTTCTAGGGTTGATGGCATCAATAATCAGCAAAAATAACCTTAAGACGCCTAGCCAGAAGTACCCGTTTGGCTTGAACAGAATTAAAACATTGTCTGGATTTACCAATGGCTCGTTACTTCTAGGTATTGTTTTTGGTATATACAATGAGTCCATTCAAAGGTTTCTAAATCCAGTCAAACTAGAAAATACTACTGAATTGTTGATTGTAAGTTTTTTGGGATTTTTGGTGAATTTGGTGGGGATATTTGCGTTTAATCATGGCCATGATCACAGCCATGGTCACAGCCATGGTCACAGCCACAGCCATGGTCACGGTCACAGTCACAGCCCCGAAATTAGTCAAGTTCAAAGCCAGGACCAAAGTCATAGCCACAGTCATGGGCATGATAGTAGCTACAAAAGTTGTCCCTCGAAAGATCAAAGCACAACATGCACACATAGTCACGACCATGATCATGATGAACAACATAATGACAAAGAAGATAATCATACCCACTCTCACAACACTCATGAGACTGCCAATGAAAAAAAAGAGCTAGAAATCAAGATCCCAATCGAGCCTTTAGAAGATGACGACTGCAGCGGCAGTATCGATCATCACGATGACGATAATATGCATGGTATTTTTCTACATATCATGGCAGATACACTAGGATCTGTTGGTGTCATCATTTCAACAATTGTTGTCAAAATGACTGGCTGGAACTTTGTTGATCCCCTAGCCTCGATGATGATTGCTTCTCTAATTTTTCTGTCTGCGATTCCATTATTGAAATCGTCATCTGCAAATCTCCTATTATCGTTGCCTGATGACACAGAGGAAGAACTCAAATACCTCCTCAACGAGGTTCTCAAGATACCTGGTGTGAAATCCTACACCACCCCAAGATTCTGGCCTCAGGATGGCCCTAAATCTAATCTTATCGGTTATCTGCATGTCCAGTATTTTCGGACAGAAAACTCTACGCATATCAAAACCAACATTGATCGACTGTTCAGTAAAAGTAGTGCTGTCAAAACTTTCTATCTACAACTTGAAAATGAAGTGGACGAATGCTGGTGTCGTAAGGACGGTGTTTTCAGCACATACTAACGTCCCGACTTCCCATCTCACTTTTGCGCATCCTGCCTAAACTACAGAGTGTCTTCCAAAAGAGATACTCTAGGATTATCCCGCCCACGTATAGATCGATTGTGTACCGGTTACATTTTATCCTAGTGTGTATTTCCAAAAACGTTCGCTTCCTATACACCCGAGCGTTTCGGCCGAAAGAAGTGCGGAACTGATTGCGGTCTCGGGGCTACGACTACGATAAGCATTGAGATGAAGAGGTCCGGGGGAGACACTTTCTCGGGTGTATGGAGTCAGGAGGCACGGCAGCCATCTGTAGAGTGTTTGTATAAAGATGGGCACAGTTATCTCTATCTTTGCAAAGAAGTGTTTAGATTAAAAGCATTGAACGACTTCTTTTTAATTCTTTCCTAGGACTAACGGTTGACCTTTTGCGAAATGACTGCACTTGCACTTTCTCTCAATGATAATGATGAAAAACATCAATCGCAACCTCTCACTTTTAAAAAGTGGGCGTATGTCTTAGGTTCAATTTTGCTAGTTTGGTCTGCATTGGGTTTCTACAAAACGAAGCCGGCTTTAGTGACCAATTTTGAAACAAGCAGCTCTGCTCCGAAATGTCCTACCAGTCCAAAATTCGAAATTAAAGAGCACGAGCAAATCCAGTATATTTTACATGATGAAGGTTTCAGGAACAAGTCTGCAGGAGTTTTTGGTGCTGCTCTCCAAGTTGACACTGTTGTCTATGACGTTATGCCTGACTACAGTAAGTTTGCTAAATTCCATGAGTACTTGGAAAAACATTTTCCCCTGGTTTACAAGACTGCAAAAGTCCACAAGGTCAATCAGTACGGCTTAATCTTTGAATTTGCTGGTAAAAATCCAAATTTAAAGCCAATCATGTTGACTGCTCACCAAGATACTGTTCCTATCGGTGATCCTTCAGACTGGTCTGAGGACCCTTTCAGTGGCAGATACGACGGTAAGGAGGTCCACGGACGTGGTGCCTCGGACTGTAAAAATTTATTGGTCGGCTTGATGGAAGCAATGGAGAAGTTTATTGAAGATGGAAAAGTGGATTTTGAAAGAGGTGTATTGTTGGCATTTGGTTTTGATGAAGAAAAAAGTGGGTTCGATGGAGCAAGGAAGATCGGAGAATATTTGGTTGACTATCTCGGAAAGGATTCTGTTTTCTTCATTGTCGATGAAGGCCCAAACATGTGTACCGAGACCATGGGAGATTACTACGGCATGCTCATAACCGGTGAGAAGGGTTATGTTGACTTGGTTGCTAACATCGTCACCCCAGGTGGACATTCTTCTCTTCCAAAAGACCATACGTCGATTGGTATGATGTCATACTTCTTGACCTCGTACGAGGATGAGATGTATCAGAGTGTGCTGCCAGATCAGAACCCATTGCTTGCTACTTTCGAATGTGCTGCAGAACAAGGACATTTACCGGACAGTGTCAGGTCTGTCGCCCTAACGGCTAGAGACAACACTGTTGCAAAGGAAAAACTCATTGACTATATTGAGCAAGACTGGTTGTTGAAGTACGACATTCGCACTTCCCAAGCAATAGATATTGTCTACGGTGGTGATAAGGCCAACTCTTTACCTAGAAACGTCACTGCGTACATCAATCACCGGATTGCCTATGGTAACAGCGTCGACACTGTTTTCGACAAGGCATTGAAATATGCAAAGCTGACCGCAGAGAAGTTTGGCATTGGTTTGACCTTCCACGGTAGGCCAATTCTCCCAAAAACAGAGAACGGTCTGATGGTCCTCGACTACTTTGGAGAGTTGTTGAGTCCAGCTGCAACGACACCAGTCTGGGGTGACGCTTGGGATACTCTCACCGGGAACATGAGAGCCTTCTACGAGGAGGAGGTTTATCCGGGGAAGTTCCACCCAGGTGCTGCGCAAAACTATATCATTGCGCCATCGGTTATGACTGCCAATACCGATACGAGACACTACTGGGACCTTACAGGAAACATTTTCAAAAGCACTCCGGGTGTGTCCAATCTCTTTGACTATATGCCTCATGGACCAAACGAGGCTATTGACATGAACTCCCACTTGAACGTTGTTGCCTTTTACTATAACTTTTTTGCGTCAGCATTGGACCATTGATTCAGTCTGCTGCATTCACGTTTTTAAACTTTTTATCGATCTTTATTCTAGTTATTTAAAGTGTTAAGAGTTGGTGCTCTTCTTTAAAGTTGGTTTATGATTCACGGCTGGGGTTGATGGAGTAAAGACGGTTTTAGCAGCAGCATTTAATAGAAGCTAAACCGTTTCAAACCGTTCCGAGTGTAGTAGAATACAGCTTTTGTATAGAGAGCCCTTTCAACCTACTCGCGGTTACGCTAGCACTTTTGCTGCAGCGAAATGGGAGGAAGCGAGGAGGAAGTAGAGAGAGAGCGAGGGCAAACGCAATGGCGCCCGTCTTCTCCATCATGAATCCAGATGCTGTGAGCAGAAGACGGCTGGGCTCGTGCTTGGATGGAAACCACAGAGGGATTGTTGTAAGTAGCAGAATAGCCAATTAGCAGAAGATATATATAGACACAATGCAGAAAGCAGTGCCAACGACAGAGTATGCGAATGAGATACGTAACGAGCCAATTGAACACCGATTCAATCCTTATTCCGATAATGGTGGTACAATTCTAGGTATTGCTGGGGAAGACTTTGCGGTTTTGGCAGGTGATACAAGACAGACCACCGGGTACAGCATCAATTCGCGTTATGAGCCTAAGGTGTTCAGTGTTGGAGACAACTTGCTTCTCTCGGCGAACGGCTTTGCCGGTGATGCGACACAGTTGGTGAAGGTTTTCGAGAACAGGCTGAAGTGGTACCATTTCAATCACAACAAGAAGCTTGAAACCGCAAGTGCCGCCAGATTAATACAGCATATGCTCTACGGCAAGAGATTTTTCCCGTACTACGTGCACACAATCATTGCAGGCCTCGACAAGGACGGGAAGGGCGAGATCTACTCGTTTGATCCCGTTGGATCGTACGAGCGTGAGCAGTGTCGGGCGGGGGGTGCCGCTGCGTCGTTGATCATGCCGTTCTTAGACAACCAGGTGAACTTCAAAAACCAGATGGACCCTGCGAGCCACGGCACGAAAAAGAGAGAGGTGAGATACTTGAAGCTCGAGGAGGTCATCCAGCTGGTCAGAGACGCCTTCACGGCTGCCACCGAGAGACACATTGAGGTGGGTGACGGGCTCGAGATCTTGATTGTGACGAAGGAGGGTGTGCGTACCGAGTACTTCCCGCTCAAGAAGGACTGAGCTGCCGGACGGATCGGCGCACTCGTCGATGTGGAGTGTGCACCTGTACTAGTGCGTGTGTGGTGGTAAATGTAAGAGTATAAGAGTATATGATATATAGCGTGTTCTTACATACATACGGTCTCACAGCCCCGCAACCTTCACGCCGGAAGCTTCAAGGAGTTCTTGAACACCTTGTTGTAGTAGACGTAGAAGAAGTCGGAGTAGACGAGGGTCTGGAGCACACCGGCGGCGACGCTGATGATGTCCAAGCGCTCCTCGGTGAAGTATCTGTAGACCCAGTTGGGGATGTAGAAGGCTCTGTACAAGCCCAAGGCAAAGATGTAGTGGACGGTGAGCAAGTCGCCCTGGCCCTGGCTCTGGAGCACAAAGAGCTGCGGGAGGATGGCCACCGCCTCCAACCACAGCGAGAAGCTCCACGCGATCTCGATCACCGTGAACTTGTAGTTGAACACAAGCGCCGCCACGAAGCACGGCGCCACCAAGTACCCGATCTTGAAGTCGTCCACGTACTGCGTGATTTCTCTCGTGTACTTCTTGATGATGAAGATGGAGTAGAACGTCGACCCGAGGAAGAACAGCTTCATGAGCGTGTTGTACACCGACCCGAACTCCAGCTTCAACAGACTCAGGTACCGTGTGATGAACACCAGCGCGTACAGGAGCTGTGTTTTGAGCGAGATCCCCTTCGCCGACTTCTTTGTTTCCACCGAGTGGATGAGGATGATGATCGACACCAAATGGGCCACATCTCCTGAGATTCGGAAGATATTGAGCATTGCGCCGTGTCGCAGATCTGTCTGTGCCGTTTGCTGCCCTGCTGCTGCTTTTCACTTCTTGCTTCCCTCTCTCACCTCTCCTCCTGCCCTTTTTCTCTCTTCAACTGCTCCACCAAACGCCTCTTCCTGTCTCTGATGTGTCCTTCCATGCCTCAACCCCGCCAGCAAGGAGACGCGGTCTGGCCCACCCCCCAAAAACGGGGAAAAAAAATCGACGCGACGATTTGCTTCGCCACACCGCCCCACCGCCCCACCGCATCCGCCACACCTCCAATAATTTGTAATCGCCAATTAAGCTTATTTCCCCAAAATGGGTCCAGGCCCCGAGGCAGGCAGCGGCCACACACAGCGGAACAGAGAGGGGCCGCCGCCACCCGTGTTTGCCACGCGGGCCGGGGAACAAGGGCGTCGAATATTATATAAGAGCTGAGCATTCCCCTGCTGAGGGCGGTGGTTCGGGGTGTTCGGGGTGTCTGGGGTGTGGTTAGAATTGCATTGTGTTGAGAGTAGCTAGTGAATCAGTAAGCCAGTTATCCTTACAGTAAAACAATTGAAATCACAGAATGGTTAAAGCAGTTGCAGTTTTGAGAGGCGATTCCAACGTCAAGGGTGTTGTGTCGTTCGAGCAATCGTCGGCCTCTGAGCCACTCTCCATCTCGTGGGAGATCGAAGGCAACGACGCCAACGCAGAAAGAGGGTTCCACATCCACCAGTTCGGGGACAACACGAACGGGTGCACGTCTGCAGGCCCACACTTCAACCCGTTCGGCAAGACGCACGGTGCGCCAGAGGACGAGACCAGACACGTTGGCGACTTGGGCAACATCAAGACCAACGGCAGCGGCGTTGCCAAGGGCACCAAGACGGACAAGTTGGCGACCCTGTTTGGCGAGAACTCGATCTTGGGCAGAACCGTGGTGGTCCATGCCGGCCAAGACGACTTGGGGAAGGGCGGACACGCGGACTCGTTGAAGACAGGTAACGCCGGCGGCAGACCAGCGTGCGGTGTCATCGGCTTCGCCTCGTAGGCGGCGTGGCGCTCTCTTCTTATTTATGTTGTATGCACAGAATGTCTATTTTGTATAAATGGCCAACGATAACACGATGAAACGGATTGCCCCGCCAGTCGCCTGGCCTGGCCTGGCCGGGCCGGGCCGGGCCGCCTCAGATGTCGTCGCCGCCGCCAAACCACAGCAGCCCCCCGCCGCCGACCCCGCTGTGCCGGCTGAAGTAGTCGAAGTCGATGGACACGGCGTTGGAGAGCATCACTGCCTTCTCGTCGAGCGTCAAGGCCTTGCCCGAGATGGGCCCGTACTCCGTCTCCCCGCCCTCGAAGCTGCTCGGGTCCATCCGCAACACGTACACCCCGGTGTCCGTCATGGCCTCTCTGAAGAGCCCGCTGAAGTTCCGGCTCACCTCGCCGTGCACCATCCCGTTTTCGTCGTAGACGGGGAACTCCCACCGCAAGAAGCCCGAGTCGATCTTGCCAAACTGCTTGAACGCCCCGCTTCCGTCGTTGATGCTCTCAAACAGGTTGTACCGCCGTCTCCAGAGGTGCCAGCTCTGCACGCTCTCCCCGACGACAATCCCGTCCGGCTCGATGTCCGCCGCCTCCTTCGCCAGCGGATCGCTCTCGTCAACCTGCATCGGCAAGATCGCCTTGATGTGCGAGTTGATGAAGCTGAAAGGCCGCTTGATCGTCAGCAAGAGATTTCCCTCGATGTCCAAGAGGTCCACCGTGAACGGTCTGTGGAGACGGTACACCTGCCGCATTATCGCCTTCCCGATGCCGAAGTCCCGCTCGATGAGCCACCCGATCTGCGTGCCCATGGCGTCGTACAACGCGTATTTGTTCGACTGCTCGAACCCCAGAAACAAGTTCATGTACTCGATCCGCCGCTCGATGACCAACGTCGGCTGCGACAGAATCGGGAAGCACGCATGCGTGCTGTTGATGATGCTGTTGCCCGACTCCTGGTATGTCTCGTAGTTGCCCTTGTAGCTGTTGCTGCTCACGCCGCCACTGCCGTTCCCACTCCCATACAGCGGCTGCTGCACGTACTCGTTGTGATGCGGGCTGTAGTCGTAGCGGACATCGGCCTCTTGTCCGTCTCCCGCCGGCTGCTGACGCCCTGTCCCGACGACCCGGTCTCTCCGGCCCCGTCTTCCTCTGTCGTAGTTCAACGGCGAATACCATCTTCGGCACGCCCCAGCCCGCAACAGCGGTCTTCTCCACAGCGTTGTAAGCATCATGTTTGGCTGCTATATCTTCCTTTCCACCTGCTCCGTCAATGGCTCCAACTCCTTCCTCCTAGCCTCCTCTGGGCCCGTCTTGACCCGTCTCTTTGCCTCTCCGACTGTCCTGCCCGGCCTCACCTTCTGCTTCCGCTTGCTGACGTAAGCACGCTGGGCTCTTTTTCTTTCTTGTTTTCTATGTCGCTTTTCCTCCTCTCGTCGAAAAGTGAGATGGAAAAAAAGCTCCATCCAGTGCCTGTTGAAGAAGGACAGAGGCCAGATCGTGGAGGTTCCAGGAACGTAGCAGAGGAAAAACAAGGTTTAAGACAAAGACAGAGACAAGGTCTAAGCCCCAACATGCTCTTTGGACAGGTGATAGCAAAAAGAGGAATCCACGTGGCTCCGAAGCTCGCTCTGGAGTCGTCCTTCAGGCAGGAAGGTGTCAGAGGATTGATGTCGGCAGAGCAGTTCAAGACCGCCTGGGTCGACTACCAGGACTTCTTGACGAAGAACTTGTCGATGAAGACAGCCGACACCGAGTACGAGACCCGGTCGCCAATGGCGATTGCAATGAGCACCTCGAAGAAGCCCCACCAGGCGCCGATTTTCCACTACGCATCGCAGGCACACAACAACCACTTGTTTTTCCAGCAGCTTAAACACAACGGCGCCAGAACCCCGGTGCAGGAGTCGGACATCAAGCCGCAGCTCTTGAGGTCGATTAAAAACACGTTCCAGTCGCTCGAGAACTTCAGAAACGAGTTTCTCTTGGCGGCAGACATCATGAGCGGTAACGGATGGGTGTTTTTGGTGGAAGACCAAAACAAGGAGTTGAAGATCGTCGCGTGCAACAACGACGGGACGCCTTACTTCTACGGCAGAAACCAGCTGTACGACCTTAACACCGTATTTGAGTACCAGAACTACAAGAAGCTCATGAAGTACAAGCAGGACATATTAGACAACGTAAAGGACTACTCGCTACCTTTGCTCTGTGTCAACGTCTGGGAACACGCATACATTGTGGACTACGGTGTCACGGGCAAAGCAGAGTACTTGGAAAAAGTCTGGGATAACATTGACTGGAACGTTGTCAACTCAAGACTCTTCTCGAACATTGAGATGTAACGAATCGTCGCACAAAAGTTTTACCCTCCATCTCTATCTTTCTCCCTGTATATATCACATATATCTCACGTATATATATCATCCTAGCTCAAGAATAGATCTAGTCATAGAGCAAGTCGTAGTCTGAGTAGTCGCCGCAGTCCATGAGGATCTCAAGAAGCCTTTCGTCCGAGGCCACGTTGGAACTGTTCAATGCCGCAATCAGATCCGTTATGAAGTGGCCAAGCATGAGGTTTTTCCCTACAATCTTCTTATACCGCATCTTTATTTCCGTCAACTCCTCTTCTGTGATTTGCCCTTCCTCCTTCGCAGAACGTACCTCTCGTCTCATCTCACGTTGTGTCCTCACAAGCTGCTGCATCTTCTCTAGCTTTGCAAGATTTCCGGTCCTCACTTCCTTAAGCTTGCGCAAATTCTCTGGAAAGTTCTCGACGTTAGCAAGCTTGGTCTTAGCTATTCGGTTTTTCTCCTCTAGCAAATCGCCATCGACTTCTTCCCCATCATAAGCATCGGTTATGATCTGTTGTTCGACAATTTGGTTTCGTATCTTGACCATGTTTTTTAAATACTTCTCCAACGCATCTAAGTCAAGTTCGCCCGTCGAGCTTAGCAAGACTGGATCAAAATCCTTCATGTCCAACATTTCCTTCTGTATAGCTTCATCAAGCAAAGAGTCCTCATCGTCCTCGGTTCCAGGGAATTCGTCCAGGATTTTCGAGTAGATCGAGCGGTAGATTATATCATCGAGTGTTTCCACAAGTTGTTTATGTAATGTTGCATCCTGGAATTCGAGCTGCACTAACTCATCAGATTCGCCTATGCCACGTCCCTGACTACCCATTATTGATAACTTGTGGTGCAAATTGGTTTGTGTGTGCTATCAGCATCCTAACCCCTAAGAAAAGAGAAAACATGGTAATGCATTTAAGTTACAATCTTCCGGTCATCAAATTCGCTGAAACATGTTTTATCAGTTTTCGGCGCAGATTTGATAACCGTAATGACCAACACCTCACTTCATCGAAGCTTCTTCCCTCTCGTAGACATTGCTTGCAAGACACATATTGCCATGGCTGACACAGACAAACAGGCAGGGGAGTTTGAGCTCCCTAGAATATACGACTTTCCCCCCTTTTTCACCGAACAGCCTAACTTGGACACTTATCAGTCCCAGCTTGAACAGTGGAAAGACGTGATAATGAAATACTGCGAGCATCACAAAGTGTGGGCGCTGTCTATTGTGGGGAAGCCAATCAATTCTGAGAACAACGATGCCGAAGACGAGTTTCTGGCAGATGACTATGAGTTGAACGAGATTGACAGCTTGAGAATGACGAACAACAGCAGCAAATCGAGCGATTTTTCCATCTTCAAAAACGACAAAATCAAGAGAACTGCGTCTAATGAGTTTATTGCAAAGATTTACGACTACCTCATCGAGCAGAAGTCTGCAGAATGGATTGACCCGAAGAGTAGGAATCATGGGATTCTCATCTACTGGCATTCGCTCGAAGAATGGTCGCAGCTTCTGTACGATTGGATCGACAACACGGGACAGCAGGGCACGATTCTGACGGTCTACGAGCTCCGGAGAGGCGACCTGGCGCTCAACCGGGAGTTCTACGGCATGAACTACCACATGATGGTGCGTGTCCTCGAGAAGTTGGTCAAGCAGGGCAAGGCCACCATCATGAAGGACGACGAAAACAACATCGGCGGTGTCAAGTTTGGTGGGGTGTAGAGGTAGTTCGAACCAACGGGGTTTATTAATATTAAATAGCAAGAAGGAGGGGGTGCAGACCCCACTTGCCAATTCCACAATTAGCCAGTCCGGTCTGCAGATTTATACAAATGTGCTGCATAGTAGACTGAATTAGTCTGCCTTTTTGTAGCTGTTCCATTTTGCCCAAAGCAACTCGTTTAACGAGTGGCCCGGCTCTCTGCCAACTCTCTTCTCGTAGAGATAGTAGGCCGAGATGCCGATGCCAACGGCCAAGATCGGGTCCGTCCATCTGTGAGGTTGGTTAGTATCTGCGAAAAAACGGAGAAAAAAGCAAGAAGTCTCGGCAACGAAACAGCATGTGTTCAGAGGTAAAAAAACATTTTGTAATCACGGCTCCGATGGAGACTAAGAGATTGTTCACTCTGTTTAACGTCATCATAAACGTGCTGTGTCGTCCACTGCGGCGCCGTCCGCCGTCCCCGCTGGGCTCGTCACCTACTTGGAGATGAGGTAAGGGTAGTGTCTGAACTGCTGCACCACCCTCTTTGTCTGTTCTTCTGTGTTCATCGTCTGTGGTGTATTCGGTACTGAACTATGGCTCGCAAGCGGTAGCCTCACAACTGCTGCAACGCCTTCACCGCTGTGTGCCCTCTGAAAACGACCACTTGCAAGGGCTGCGAGCCTTTTTTTTTCTCCTTTTCGTGCTCAGCGCTCGGAAAAACGGGGGGATCTACAAACACGACTCATTTTGGCGTCTTTTGTCTGCTCCGAGTCGTGCTGGAATTGCAGAGTGCAGAGTGCAGAGGCACAACAGAGCAACCACAGACACCATCTGCGCCATGTCCGTTTACAGAGTAGAAGCAAGCAGAAACGAGGCCGTCGGCGCCGCCACAGGTACGGTAAACGTGCTCCCGACAGCCGTCAACTTCACAGGCGTCGTCGCCAACGGGACGTCCAACTGGAATAGCTACAGAGAGACGGACCAGGACGGCAACCCTGTGAACTACCTGCGTGGCCGCAAGCTCGTCGGAACACCGCACAGCGTCCCGGGCCACGCCGCCGTCGTGTTTGAGCGGTCCGAGGCCGGGGCGGCCGCCCACGCCGAGTACACCAGTGTCTGCCTCTGCGACAGCGTCGTGCTCTACGAGCACCAAGTGAAGCCCAGCCTGCAGAACGATCAGGTGGAGCGGCTTGCTGATTGGGTCGGGCTGACCTCATACATTAGCGACGTTTGAGCAGCCTGACGGAATAACACGGTCGTCCCGTGCAGCCGTCCCAACATAGTGCTCCGTGCATCCCTGCCTATCCTCATGGAACCTTCCATCGGACACCATCGCCGTCGTCACCGTCACCGGCGTCATACCTGTGCCCCTCCCATCTCGTTTCCCACCCTGTGGGGAACCGCCCTGCGGAAAATGTGGGGCCCTGTCAGGCGCTCGTGCCTGTCCCCGGCAGTCAGCCCCGTTTGCGCCGTCTCCGAGGAAAGATGCCACGCCCGGTGGCATACCCTGCCCGCACGCCCCCGAGGCCCGGATACGAGCTATATAAAGAGCAGGGGTCCCCAGCTTTCGGAAGATTTAGCCAGAGTAGCAGATGGGTCCTCTTTCCTTTTTACCCCTTTCTAAACCATCCAACACATAAGACAAACACACACACAACACAATTACAATGGCTGACGCAGGTAGAAAAGATTTCTCATCCAAGCTCTCTGAAGCTGTAACCCCAGACTCCCAAAAGTCCACCTACGACAAGGCCAAGGAAACCGCCACCGACTACCTGGACAAGGCGGCCGCCAAGGTGACCCCAGACGACCAGAAGACCTTTGGCCAGTCCGTCTCGGACCACGTCCAACAGGGCCACGACGACGCCAAGTCCAAGCTCGACGCCGACTCCAAGACGTGGGGCGACAGCGCCAACGAGTTGTTGGAAAGCGGCAAGAAGACAGTCAACGAGGCAGCCGAGTACGTCTCCGGCGCAGTCACAGGCGCCAAGGAGGGTGCCGACAAGGGTGTCTCCGAGGTCAAGAAATGAGAAGCTCCCCGAGCAGCGGCTCGTCGGACAGACGAGACCCTTGAATTCCTCACTAGACCATTTTCTGTATAACTTATCTATCTTTAATGAACTAAAATGAATGCAAACGTTTTGTTATCTATCCATCCATCTTCCTGTCCTGTCATGCTTATCGATTTCGGTATATCTGACAGCTAAAAGATGCCGTATCAATCCGTTGCTTACGTAATACGTTTTACGTCGATCGTCCTTTTTCTTCTTTTTGCACCCGTGCACCTATATGGTCTCATTTTATTGCTCAGCTCTCTTTATTCCTTTTTTTCTTTTTCCTCTCCTCTTGGCCTTTTTCCATGTGCTGGTTGATTGCCGTTCTGCTCCCGGATGTGAACCTGAACTGCCTCTGATCCGCCTCCGATCACGCCTCCTGCTGTCTAAATTGGCCAGCAGCAGACGCAGAACCACCCTTCAGTGTGACCAATATGGCCGGAACGAGTGCATCGGGCTCCGAAAAAGGCCAGGGCGATGAAGGCTCTGCCAGACAGAGAACCAATCCTGCAGCTTCGCCTAACAGGGTCAACCACTACGAACTCCATCTGGTGGACGAAACATACGACGAGTCTGCAGACCCGGACTTCACGCTGGGCAACATCACGACGGTGAGCATGTCCGACTTTGAGATCGACGACGACGACGACGACGACGACGACGGCGCGGATGACTTGGAGGAGGAGGAAGACATCATCATGGACCTGCAGGAGTCGGACACGGACGTCGACAGCAACTCTATGACAACCACGCCGACCGCAGAAAAGGCGGGTACGCCGATTTTCAAAAATAATCCGGAGCAGAACAGCTCTCAGTCGTCGATAACGCTTCCGATCCACTCGAAGTTCCGCTCCTTCGTGCACAAAAATGAGATACCTCGTAAAGTGTTCCACCTCTCGATAGGCTTTGTCACGCTCTACTTGCATTGTCACGGCTACAAGACTGCGAACACGTGGCAGCCGGTCAGCGTGGCGGTCTCGTGCATCTTCCTTCTCGATATAATCAGGTTCAACTGGCCATACTTCAACAAGTTGTACTGTTCAACCGTCGGGTTCTTGATGCGTGAAAAGGAGGTCAACTCCGTCAACGGCGTCATTTGGTTCCAGTTGGGCTCTCTAATAACCTTCATGAGCCATAGCCAGGACGTGGCAGTCATGGCGATTTTGTTGTTGAGCTGGTCAGACACTGCCGCTTCCACTGTCGGTCGCCGATTTGGCCACGCCAGTCCTAAACTTGCCAGAGGCAAGAGCTTGGTGGGATCCGTTGCAGCCTTCTTCACAGGGATAATAGCATGCTACGTCTTTTACGGAGCCATTGCTCCAAGATACCCACAATATAGCCAAGGATTCGAGTACGACCCTAGCACAAACATGTTGAACCTACACACTCTCGCCCTCTTGAGTGGGTTCATCGCCGCAGTCAGTGAAGGTATAGATATTGCAGGATTGGACGACAACTTGACTATCCCAGTGTTGTCCAGTTTCTTCCTCTCCGGCGTCATTAAACTAGGGAAAGCAAACTAAACTAGACCAGATCACATACGTAAGCATACACCAATACTCATACATATACTTAAACACATACACATACATACATACATACATACGGACATCCCTGCATGCATGCATTACATTACTTTCACGTCTATCTTATCCTGATTTATATCAAACTATATTCCTTCCCCTTCGTTTTTCAATTTCTTCTGGAAAGAACCTTTGACCGATATTAGTACTTTATGTTTCTTCTTTTGTTTTCTGAGAAACTCGTCTCTCGTCTCTTTTTTTTTAGTCTATTTAAAATATAAGCGTATTAAGATTTAAAATTATGATAGAGTACTGAAGTTGAAACTTATACAGTCTTCAGAAGTCGTTATCACGTTGCTTTAGGTCCAACTTGCAGATATCGTCCAACACACCAGCAGATGCAGCAATCAAACCCAAGAATGGTCTTGAAGGGTCCAAAACCTTTGAAATGTATTCAGGGTGGTATTGGGTGGCAACGAAGAATGGATGGTCATCGAGTTCGAATATCTCCATTCTTTGTCCAGTCTCATCCTTACCAACAAATTTCATACCGTGAGATTCAATGTCGGCAACCAATTTAGGATTAACTTCGTATCTGTGTCTATGTCTTTCGTAAACTTCCGTTGAATCACCATACAAGGTTCTAATAACAGACTTTTCAGAACCCTCTTGGAAAACTGTTGGTCTCAAACCTAATCTCATGGTACCTCCCAATCTTTCTCGGTCAATTTCTGGCATGTAAACAACCGCCTGTTCTTCCTCAGGTAAGTCAATGTTGAATTCAACAGATGAAGCATTCTTTTTACCCAACACATTTCTGGTGAAGTCAATGACGGCAACCTGTAAACCTAAACAAACACCAAGATACGGAACCTTGTTTTCTCTAGCCCATTTGGCAGCTGCAATCATACCTTCGATACCTCTAGATCCAAAACCACCTGGAACTAAAATACCGTCAGCCTTGCACACTAATTGCCATGCAGTGTGGAAGTTCGCCTTGTTAATGGACTCAGTCTCTGGTTCTAGATCCGAAGATTCAACCCAAACAATTTCTAGTCTTCTCACACATTTCATGGCTGCGTGTTCCAAAGATTTGATAACCGAAAGGTATGAATCATGCAAATTGGTATACTTACCAACAATGGCAATGGTGACCTTTTCAAAGGATTTATCGTGTTGAACAGTCAATGACGTCCATTTGTGGTATAGGTCTTCACCTTTCGATTGCATATCTTTGTTGATTTTCAACTCACCAAGGTTCAATCTCTTCGACAAGTAATGGATCATCTTTTGCTCCTTCAACAACAATGGAACGTGATAGGTAGAGTTGACATCACGGATTGCCAAAACCTGTTCAGGGCCAACATGACAGAACATGGCAATCTTGTCAATTGTTGGCTTTTCTAGGGCAGTTGCGCATCTACAGCCAATCATGTCTGGCGTCAAACCCAAAGATCTCAAATCCTTGATGGCAGCCTGTGATGGCTTGGTTTTCTGTTCGCCATGGATGACTGGCACCAATGAGACATGGATCAACGCAAAGTTTTCATGGCCGACTCTGAACTGGAACTGTCTCAATGCTTCGACGAATGGTGCAGATTCGATGTCACCCACAGTACCACCCAATTCGATGATACAGACGTCTGGCTCTTCACCAGAGTTGTCGACAGGGATCTTCGAGACTCTCTCGATCCAGTCCTGAATAGCATTGGTGATATGAGGAACAACTTGGACGGTCTTCCCGAGATAGTCACCCTTTCTCTCTCTTTCAATGACTGCAGAGTAGATCTTACCGGTGGTGATGTTGTGGTCTCTGGTCAAAGAGATACCCAAGTATCTTTCGTAATTACCCAAGTCCAAATCAACCTCTCCGCCGTCGTCCAAGACGAAACATTCACCATGTTCCAGTGGTGACATGGTACCTGCATCGATGTTCAAGTATGGATCGATTTTGATGGACGTGACTCTCAAACCAAGCGTTTTGAGCAAGAGACCGGTGGACGACGCAAGAACACCCTTACCAATACCGGAGATGACACCACCTGAAACGACAACGTATTTCATTTTTATTCAATTATTATCTATGACTCTATTCGGATCTATAGTTTTCGCAAAAAATGGCTGCCCCCTATTAAACAATCGAACAGAACTCAAACCACACTAATATCAACAGAAAATCGACAGCAGAGTATAATGAAGACCTTCGGTTCAAATACGGGGAAAGAACGAAGCAAATTCAAGATTAGCATTTTCGTGTTTCTTGATAGAATGCTGTATCGTAGCATGTCTACAAGGGAGGAAAAAAATTTTCTTGTAGAGCAAAAAAAATTCAAGAGGAAAAAGGGAAAAGCCGATTACGTGATGCGACATGACATTGGTTTCTGGATATTTTTCGAATTTGTGTGCTCTATAAGATATAAAAGACTATAGAAGATGGTGATGAGGGAGAATTGATCACACTCTGAGGTCGAGGTCTGGCTTCTTTCTCGTTTGGATCCGTTTCTGTCTACGGGTTGTGTCCTTCCGGTGTTCCTCGCCGACGTCGATCAAGCTTCTACCGAAGTTGTCGAGGTCTTTGAGTTTGTAGATTCTGACAAGCCAGTTCTCGGTGGTGAAGACCTCTTCCAAGACATCCAAGTTGATGTTGTGGGCGTACTCGGCACCCAACTTCTGCTGTCTGACTCTGTCGACAGGGTCCCTGCCGGCGTAGAGGTCCCCAAACCCGTGGAAGGACATTTTGTACATGAGGCAGTCTTTCATCACCTGGGAAGCGTGTTCGTCGACCCTGTACTCTCCACGGTCGGTGAAGTAGGACCTTTCGTTCACCTCTTCCGGCCAGATACCTTCTGAGATTCTGACCATCCAGAGGAACTTGTTGAGGTCGTCTCCGCTGTAGCCTAGCATACCGCCGAAGATGACCAAGACGTAGTCCACGCCCAATCTTCTCATGATGACCTCGGACTTTTCTTCGCTGACGGCCATGGCTTTCCCGACGGTGGCAATGTGGGTGTTGTTCCAGGTGTTGTTGTCCACAAAGGTGGTACGGTCTGCCATACCGCCGATTTGGTAGCCATAGTCCCACCATGCCATGACTTTGGCGTCCTCCTCGGTGTTCATACGCAGCCAGTAGTAGGCCTCTCTGAAGTCGTCGATGAGGGCCGGACTGCCGTCTCTGTTTTTGGACGCCAACACGACAGAAGGTGAGGAGTAGGCGTTGGAGTTGACCCAGATGCAGTGCTGAACGTAGAAGAAAAGATAGAAGGCGAAGGTTGACGCAACGGCTAGTCTCGAGATCAAGTCCATGAGGTTGTCGTTGGGATTGATCTTTTCGTTGAGCTCACGTCCCTTCTTCGACAAAAGTTCCGTGAAGTCAAGGTAGATGTCACACAATTTGCCCACAGTGAGGGCTGCGCAGACACAAACGACAGGTGCAAGGGTAAGCATCAATCTGACCATGACACCGGCAAAGTAGGAGCCGAGAACCGAGTAGACAATGATGAAGATGGATTCGTCAGATAGGTCGTTGAAACATAGGTAGACCCCGACTGGGAAAAGCCAGATGAGGAAGTTCAGGTCGAAGTAGAAAGAGGACCATGGTGTAGGCTGATGCTCCGAGACAGATGCAATGATAGGAATGTGGATCTTGGCGTAGTTGGTGTCCCAGAGGGAGTAGAATCTGCCCGTCCATGGTGCAATGAGGCCGAGCTTGGTAGCAGCAATCAAGCCAGAGACACCCAAAACAAAGACGAGAGTCCCGAAGGCAATCATCAAGTTGTAGAATCTCTGTGGCGACAAGATGGTCTTGAAGTAGTTGGCGACAACTACCAACTGCAGCAAGCCGAAGACACCAAAGGCAGCCATGTGGTCGTTCGACTTGATCGGCAAGAAGCCCACAAACGGAATCTGCATCGACATCAAGGTGCCGAGTGCGTACCACGTGCAATAGCTGGTGTACAACTTGTAGTTGAACCTGCCCATCAAGAGGAGGATAAAGATGTGGAGCGGGATCATGTTAGTGATGAAGACGTATCCACCCCATGCGGACACCATGTAGAAGTAGAAGAGCGAGGTGACGGAGGCGTACAGCACGGAGCCCAGTCTGACGGACTTGATCCAGAAGTAGAAGGTGACCATCAACAAGGTGATGGCGATCGCCTCGTTGTCGTACGAGCCGGCCACCGACCTCGAGATGTAGCCCGGGACAATCGACATGAAGGCGGCGCTCAAAAGAGCCGGCGTCTTCTTGCTTCTCATCGAGGGAAGCGTGCTGGTGATTTCCAGCGTGAACAGGTACGTCGCCAACGCCGTGAGCGACGAGAAAGCCGGCGCAAGCATCACGCAGACGTTTCTGATGTCGACCGGCAGCCCCAGCCTCTGCAGCACGTTGTGTATCACCGAGGACGTCACCATCAACCCCGGGTACAACGTCCCTCCCGTCACTCTCCCCAACGGGTACCACGTTTTGTCGTCAAACCAGTTCAAAAACTTGTAGAACGAGTGCGTCACAAGGTACTTCGTCGCCCGGAAGTTGAACCACGGGTCGAACTCGTGGATGATCGACTCGAACCGGATCACCGAGAACAATCTCGACGCCACCGCCGCCCCCGAGATGCACACGAAGATTGACGTCTGCACCAATAGCTTCACCACCGTCAACAGCTTCACGTCCATCTGGACGTATCCGTCGTCGTCAATTGACACAATCATCTTTTTCCCTGATCCCTTGTGTCTGTTTTTGTCGTCCACTAGTTGTGCTTGCCCTCCAGACTCCGCCCCAGCCCTCCTCTCTTCTCTTCAGAGCCTTCTTGGCCCGTGTCCTCTCTTGCAAAACGTGTTCAGAACCACCACCCACGAGCGTTTCCGCAAACGGGGCGGGCCGATCGGCTGCAAAATTTTTTTGGTTCTCTTTCCCGCAGGTGGTGAAGATTACGGGAGGCCTTTAGGTAGCCCTGGGAAGGCCAGGAGGAGGGGAGAGGAGAAGGACATGGGGTACAGGTGGAAGGTAGGAAGGAGGCAGCGACCAGTAGGACGTGCAAGAGTGACAGCAAGATGGCCTCGAACAAGACAAACTGCTCGCTGAACCTACAGCCGATGAACAGCGGGAACTACACGGCAGCCATCGCCGGTGTGACGAGCTCGGACACAGACGAACACACTGTTTTCGGGAGAAACGCGGACGGGGGCGGCGCTGATGGGGTGGGGGCAGACGGTGGGGACGGCGGGGCGGAAAAGGAGGCAGCGGGGAAGCAGTATCTGCGAGGTGGGCAGGCGGGGAACCGGGTGCTGGCCGAAGAAGACATGATTCCTCCGTACGACAGCTCGATGTGCACGAACAACTCGCTGATCAACGACAGCTCGGTGCTGTTGGCGAGCAGCTCGCTGGACCTGAAGCCGCAGAAGAAGAAGGGGGCGCAGGAGACGCCGGCGGAGCACCATGCGGCGGACGCCGACGTGGTGGTGGCGCCGCCGCTGCTGGGCTCCACGGATAACGGGGACCACCAGAGCAGCGATAGGACGGAGTCGCTCAAGTCGACGGTGTCGGCGGAGTCCCGAGGCACGGAGGAGACAGAGCGGACGTCGGGCACCTCGGCGACCAACAACACGCACGCCACAAACGACCTGAACGAGGAAACGAGGCAGCTCTCGGACTCCTCCTCCGGAGCCAGCGAGCGCCGGGGCCAGGCCAGCAGCCAGTACCGTAAGGACACTCTAACAGACAACACGCTTGTGGAGAAGCAGTTCGACACAATGAACTTGCGGGATGCCGGCGCCCTCACGCAGAAGAGCGAGCAGGTGGAGGACGGATCGTCCGAATCACAGTCACAGCCGGAGATTCCAGCCCCATCGCAGGACCAGCCGCAGCGTCCTGGGCCTTTGCAGCCGATCCAAGAAGGCGTGCAGTCGACTGAACAAGGCTTGCAGGGCAAGCAACAGCAACCCCGGACTCAGCAAGGCGTCTACAGCGATGACTGTAAACAGCAACGCCAGGCCTATGAGCAGAGCCTGGAGCAGAAGAAAATGGAACAGTTTAGGCGGCTGAACATGCAAGAGAAGTCGGAGTCGAGAGGCTTCGCCAAAAGCGTCTCCCCAATGAGTCCAAAAACAACAGCCCCTTTTGCACAGAAGCTACCAGCGGCAGCCAAGAGCGGTGCCCCGCTGCCTGTGATACCAAGCAAATTCTCCAAACCAGTTGTCGAAAGCAGCAATGCGTCTTTGTCTTCGACAAAGCTTACGGGCTCTAAGACAAGCTCGACGCCCATAACAGCTGCATCCCATGCGACGAGTAAACCCGGAACAAACACAGGTTGCAATAGCCATCTCCCCGACACCAAGCTAATCAACTCGCAGACGAATAATCCGCATGCCGGAGGAAACTCAATCTCTTACAGCAATTTGTCCATGTCAAGCAATCTGGGAAACGACAATAGCAATGGGACTTTCAATGTAAGCCCGCAAGCTGCATTCAGCCCGCCAAAAAGAACTCAGTCTCCATTTCGTGATCTATCCAACCCTTATTTGAAACAAATAAACAACCAACAGCGGCCATTATATACCCCTGCGGTTTTACGTGTTATGAAAAATTTCGGCACCTCACCATCCTCCGAGGTCGGGTTTGATGTCCATCAGCTACCATCCGAACGCCCACCCTTGTCCCAATCCAGTTCAGCCATCTCTGTGCGATCAACCGCATCCTCAATTGTAGATTACTGGAACTACATGACCGGAAGAACTCCAAGCAAATCCTACGAAGGTCCCACCAGAGAACATTGGAAGCCGGACAGTTCACGTTTCAACTGTGCCCAATGCGGCAAGTTGTTCAACTATATGACGGAAAGTCGTAGGAAACATCACTGTCGTTCATGCGGTGACGTGTTCTGTGGCGACTGTTTGAAAAACTACATCTATCTCGATCGTAGCGCACATTTTACCCTATTTGGTAGCAATTGGGACGAGCATGAGGCAGAGCAGAAGCCAAACGGTCTGGTCAATTTGGTAGATGAAAACGTTGGCAAACCGAACAATACCCCAAAGGTTGCTGTGGAAGATGACAAGAAATATCTTTGCAAAGTCTGCCTCAACTGTTTTCAGCAGTACGAAGAATACGTTTTGGATCATACCACCAGAGATCATAATCTAGGTGCTGATGGAAAGGATATGCGCAAGAACAATGAGCACAGGGAAACTACCATGGATACAAAAAACATACCCGTTGATTGGAATTGGAGTTCGTTTTGACATACCATTTATAAACGCACGCTTTGGAAAATAGGTTTCTTCGAGTATCTAATTAAAATTATATAAAGTGGGATAATGGATTGTAGTAATGCTTTGTTCTATCAAGTAGTAAACAAGATTATCAGAATTGAAGAGATAAGATAAAATACAGTCAAAAAGCATAGTGAATAGAATAGAAATAAAAAAAAATGGTTAACAGTAATATGGTCATGATAATAGTGGTAATTAGAGCAAGGGGTAGGTTCGGCGTTATTAGCCTGTAGTGAAGCCAGGGAGATCGTAGGTGACAAAAAGATCAATTAAGCTCATCTCTTTCTCTATTTTCTTTGATGATCTGATCTTTGATGAGACCCAACGTTTTATACTTGTCGGATCCAGAATGGCTGAATTCTGATTCTGAGGAAGTATCATCGTAGTCACTTAAAGAGGTACTGGATAAACCGGCACTTGAAGAATTGTCATCGCCATTGATTATTGGAGTATTCTGAGTCATCCTGATCTTCTTATCAGTTACAGAGCCACTGTCAGAAGTAGTGTTGGCCTTTTGATTCAACTTCTTCTCAGTTCTACGGCGTCTCAACTCTTGTGTTTTCATCTCCTCAATGGCTTCCTCTTGTGTCAATCCTTTTTCAAGTTTTTCTAAGTGTCTCTTTTTCCTTTCATCTTTCAATAACTTCTTCATCTCTAACTTCTTTTCATATTCCAAAATGCTGAAATCTGGGAAAAGTTGTGGACCAAGTTCATTGATTGTCTGAGTTATATCCGAGGCTAGTTTGTCTCTTTTGGTTTTCAAATCTGTAAATCCTTGTTGGTTAGTCAACATTAACCAAGCTGCTTTACTCTCTTTGAAAAGGTCCATACCCTTGTCACCAAAAATCAAGGCTGAATAAGTCACAGAAGCAGAAAACGCATAAAAGGTTAGGAATGCAAATATTTTGGATGCCGATGGGTAGTAAATGTGAACAATTCTGATACCCAATAAAGAGTATAGTGTGTACAAAATCGGAGCAAATCCCATACTAACCAAAATTTTCCATGTGGCAATAACATCATTCCCTTTGATTTTGACAGTAGAACCAGCCAAAGCTTCCTTTCTCTTCTTCTCGGATATCTTCTTGGTAGCCACAAAAACAGGTGAAAAAAAGATAATACCAGGAAGGGCTAATATCCCAAGAATGATTACTTGAGAGAATGTTTGAACAAGATCCAATAATATAGAGAGCTTGGATTTCACAATTGCCTTTCCCACTAAATGATCAGGAACTTTCATGCTTTTCAAGTCCTCGTTATATTTCAAAATCTCGTTCTTCAAGGATTTGATTCTTGGATCATCCTTGAAATGTAAGAACCCATTTAGTAAGCGTCTGTTCATTTCAACAATAGAAGCAATTGACAACTTATTTGAAAATTGGTCAGAGTATAATCTGCTTGCTGCTTGGACAACTGACAGACTCTCAAAGTCAGGGCACGTAACAGTAACAGCCTTGACGCCCTTGGTGATTTCACCCAACAAAATTCGAACTGCCTCATTCGAAGTTTTGCTGTCTGCATACATATCTGTTAGTGATTGGTCAATCTCGATTGGGTCACCAAACTCTACGAGTGCTCTGGATCTAAATTTGTGGGGATGGAAATAATTCATCCCAACAGGAATAATCTTCACATTCAACCCTGGGTTTGCATCCATTGCACCAAGTGCCATCAAAGCAACACCCGCCTTTAATGGTAGTAAGTCTGGTCTATCGTGGGAGCCACCCTCAGAGAAAACACCAATGCAATGACCATGAGCTAAATGTTCAAAAACCTGTGCATAAACTTCTGACTGATCAATCTTCTCAGCAGCTTTGTAAATCGAACCTGATTCCAAAAGTAGTCTGGCTTCAGCTTCGGCTTTCTCAGAAGCAAATTTTATTGGTTTCTTCAAATACAACTCAGTATCTGAGTCCACTTTGTCGATCGGTCCTGTCCCTAAAGATTTAGGAAGTGATAACAAACCCTTTGGATGACAATCTTTGAGAAAGCTAGTACCTTCACCAATTATGTGAAGCTCGTTCTCAGGATCCAGCTTGATAGTACCTTTTTTCAATTTCAAGTTATCTTGAGCACGCTTAACAGGAATTGACAACTGGGATCTGGACACAAGACCTATAAACTTACGTCTATGAGACTTTTCCGCAATCAAACAAGAGATACGTCTCCCGGAGGCCTTTTTGACTTGGCTCATCAAAATGATAGGATCGACAAACTGGTTGGCGTGAGGTGCAGCAACAAAAATAAGTGAGTCTTTTTTCGGAACTTTGAAACCGCCTCTGGATCTTATTTCTCTGAAGAAACAGTCGAACACAACGCAGAATGCCCATAAAATAAGGTCGTAAATGAACAAACGTGCTGGTGTCGGTTCATGGTACATTTTTCTCAGATTTTCGTAATGTTTTTGAGCAGCAGAGTCATTCGCCTTTTTTCTTTGGGCAGCTTCAGGTCCAGCTTTCAGCCCCTCTGGGGCGTTGTCTGAAGATAAGGTTCCAGACATCAAGCAAGCCAACAGCTGTTGTCTCTTTGGAGAAGCCTGTATAAGTACAAATGTGCCGCAAATTCCGTACTTCCTCCTTGCGATCCAGATGTTTTGCACTTCCTTGGCAAATTCTGCTTTAGGCTCAGACGCTGATTTTACAAAATAGCGAGGTGGTGATTTTGGATGTTAATATTTCGACCTTTCCGTATTGCCTGCCTAGTGATTGGCCATTCTGGTGTTATAGACGCAATAAGAGAAATAGTGTGTCACATCAACTCAGCCTTCAGTGAGTGCTCAAAAATATGGCCAACGAACCAAGTCCAGCAGAATTAAGGAAGCTTCAGAGGGAGAGGAGGGCTGCTAAGATGGCCAGGGGAAGCACCAGATTGAACAAAATCCTAGGGTCGCCTGATATAAAACATGAAAGTGAAATAGATGATACTAAGGAAAATGGAGCATCTTCAATCGGGAAAGACGATATAATAACAGCTGCTTCCACGGGCAAAAGTGATCACCAAGAGCAGAATGTAAGATCAAGATCTGACAAGAATAGCGGAGATAGAATCAGCGTCATACTGAATCAAGACGTGGACGATGATCCACCTGTGTCTGGATTGGATGGGCTTGAAACTATTGAACCAGAGATCTCCCTTGAAAGTGTAGACTCTCCGCTACAAGAGTTTGGGTCTGATGAGAATATAGAACAAGAGATGGAGAAGCTTTTGAACAAAATACTACAGAACTCCGCACATGATACATCCCATCCGCATGCGCATGGTCAGGGTATAACCGATAACACAAATGCTATGTTCAATGGAGACATGGCGTCTATGTTCCCTGGCTTGAAACCGGGTATGGGTCCTACAGGGTTCGGTGCTATGCCTGCTCAGCCTGCTAAATCAAAATTGGATATTGCCAAAGCAAAAGTGTATCAGTCAGGCTATGCAGTGATCAGGTTCATTATAGTGTGGGTTCTCGTTTCTAATCACATTGAGCGTTCTTCATTCACTTCGGGATTTGTTTTCCCCCAAGGTTCCCGTCTATGGCTCCATTTCCTAAGTACAGAGGCTGTATTAGGTGCAATCTACCTACTTTTGAGTTATCTTCATATATTTCCAAGTCACACTATCATGTCATTTGATATTAGTGGATTTGGATATCCTAATTCCATATTAACATCTTACGGTTTGGTCAAGAGCTTTTTTACTGACTTTTGTTTCATGATAGTCGTGCTTGGCTTCTACTTCTATTTCGGCGCTTGAAGACGTGTACCGATACAGTTTAAGGTTCTTCTATTTCTCAGCTTTCGTTTATAGAATAGTAAGATATATAGCGAACAATGTCCAAATCAGGAAAATACTTACTTTTGTATTAATATCTAAAACACAAAATCAATATGTCTTCAAAAGAAGAACAATCTATTTGCTGGTTTGTAGTTCCACCTTCTCTCATTTATCATCCGAGCCCACAATCTCCATCCAAGTTTTACCTTCCTTCTTCAACTCGGCGGTGACCTCATCCTTGATCTTTCTGGCCAAACCTGGTCCCTTGTAAGCAAAAGCCGTGTATAGCTCAACGTAAGTAGCACCTGCTTTGGCAAACTCGATGGCATCCTTACCAGTGCTGATACCACCACAACCAACAAGAACTAAATTAGAGTCCTTGGTGTATTTTCTTAAAATTCTGAACGCTTTCAAAGAAATTGGCTTCAAAGGTTTGCCTGATAGTCCTCCAGTCTCTTGGACCACATTGGACTTAGTGATCATTTGATCGACTGGTCTTTGTATTGTTGTATTAGAGAGAATAATACCATCAATTTTAGCATCTTTTGCAGACTGAGCAATGGACTTGATCTCTGGTTCGGTCAAATCAGGTGCAACTTTGACCAAAATAGGAGGTTTTCTGGAAGAATCAATCAATTCACCATCGAGGCTATTTCTTTCTGCAACGACCTTAGTAAGAAGATTAGTCAATTTCTTTTCGTTTTGTAAATCTCTTAAACCTGGAGTATTCGGAGAAGACACGTTGATGACTAATGCATCAGCGTACGGGCCAAAACTTTGTACACCTTTGATGTAATCTTGGACCTCATCTCCGGTCTTATTCTTACCCAAATTGATGGCCAAAAACTTGTTGTCTCTGAAAGAGTTCAAGGTTGCATTTGGATGTGCGACGTGTAATTTGGTGAATCTTCTCTTCAACTCCGCTAATACTGCCAAATGGCCAACCGAGTTGAAACCATACCTGTTGATGACAGCGTCATCCTGTCCTAGTCTGAAAAACCTTGGGGTAGGGTTACCAGGTTGAGGAAGCGGGGTGATGGAACCAATTTCAACGTATCCGAAACCTAGGTTGAACAATGGGTCGATGACTTCACCGTGTTTGTCAAAACCTGCAGCCATACCGATTGGGTTGGATAGTTTTTTCCCGAAAACATCGACCTCTAGCACTGGATCATCGATATCAGAGAACAAACGTGGGTATACACCTGACTTTAACAAATCAATACCGAGTTTGTGGCCTTGCTCTGCGTCGGTAAGCAAACGGATCAGAGGACACCATAGGTATTCATTTGCTGCGGATCTTGCATCCAAGGAGTATGCGCCCAAACCAATTGCGCAGACAAGAAGGAAGGTGGAACTTGGCAATGGCAGGATCTTAGACTGTAGCGGAGTGCTTCTTCTGGAGTTGAAACATCTTTTCAAGGCCAGGGAGGAGTAGAACGGCCTTGGTGGCACTCTTCTCAGGGCCTGTAGAGGTAGCATTGATTTTGCAACAAGTGTTACTGCTGTACAGAGTACTCTTTGTGGGAGTGGGCCAACCTCTCCTACTTGCAAGTACCGTAGATGAAGAAAGCCAGCTTGCAAAGTTGACATTTTTTTCCTTCGAAGCGGCTCGCCTCCTATTGGCTGCAGGTTATCCTCCGTTGGACTTTATACAGCATATACAACGTCTCTTTACTCCTTCTTCTCCACCGTTTGCTGGTTCTGCGCCCTCACCTTCTCCCAGCTAGATCCTTTGGCAGTGGCAGGGTTGTCCTCAATGAGGTGGTCCTCAATGGAGCGATGGCCAAACGAGACGTTGGCGTCCACAAACTCAACGTCGTTGTCCGCTGCGGGCGGTTTTGAAGGGTCTTTCAGTCTCACGGTCTGGTCGAGTATGGAGTTGTTAAAGTACTCCGACCAGTAGTATGAGTACTCTGCGCCCTCTGGTGTAACCTCCACGACCTTGTATACCTTGGAATCCTTCCCGAACCGTTTCTCAAGCTCCTGAAGCTTGCTCTGGTATATGGTCGGCGTCATGTAGCTGAACACGAACGCCGAAATACCGATGCCTCCCGCCATAGCGTAAACGGGACTGATCTTTCGCTTACGGCGGGCAAGCCAGACCATCGTTAGCCCTGCCGCAATACCCACAAACGACTTGGCGACCGTGGTCGTCTTGTACGTTCCCTCGAAGAACTGATGCAACTCCTGTCTCTCGTCCGCCGTCAGGTCGTGTTCTTGCTTGTAGAATGCCACAGCATCCTTCTTGTCTGTGCTAAAAAGTCTATTAATGTCGATCATGAATGCTCCGGGTGCCTCACTGTCTGCAAGGCAAGGTGCACAGTCCGTGCCCATGGTTAACTTCTTCGGCTAACCGTCATGATGAGGTCAAAAATGGGGCGGTGCACCTCTATCTCGGGAGGAAAAAAATGTGTATATAGTGAAGTTAAAAGGTATACAGGGAGACGGGTTGTGGGGGTGGCAGCCGATCAATGGCGGCCAGACTGCTGGCGGACCTTGTCCCAGGCACTCCCCTGGGCACCCTGGTCCTGAATGAGCTGGTCGTGGTCCAGCCGCAGAAAGTCGGAGGGCTTCTCTGCCGCACGGTCCCCACCGTGCTGGGAACCGCTTTCATTAGAGTCGTAGGAATCGCCGATCGAACGTGGAGAGGAGAGGGTCGCCGAAGACAGCCCGAAGTCCGGTTCATCGTGCTGGTCGGACTGGTCCGGCACTGCTAAGGGGGAAGAGTGCTGCGTCTGCGGGTCTGCGTGCCGAGCCTTCTGCAGGCGGACTTTGTCCCATCCAGACAAGTACTGCTCGTTCAGGGTCCTTGGCGTGCCACTCTCGTCGCTTTTGTAGTACCCGGGCTTCCCGTACGGAGGGAGCTTCGGGGTGTCCTCCATGGAAAAAAACTTGGTGGAGTTGACCACCGTGCGGGGGTCCTTCATCCTGAAGTTCGGGTCGCTGCTGGACTTGCGGAAGTAGTTGGACCAGAAAACAGACTTGCTCATCGGATCCGGCGTCTTGGCTATGGTCCGGCAGATGGCCGAGTTCTCGCCGTATTTCCGGTTGAACTGGTCCACTTGCATCGTGTATATGCTATGGTTGACCAGTCCGGGCACTATCGTGCCCCCCAAAACGGCGCCCACAATGGGGAGCGCCGGGTGCACCAAGGCTCCTCTTCTCCGGACTATGAACGGAGCCGCCGTGCCCAGTGCCACCCCCACAGAGAACCCAAGTAGCATTCTCCGGCACTGCTGTTCGAAGAACACGTAGAGCTGCTGCCGGTCTTCGGAGCTCAAGTTGTGTTCTTGGTCGTAGAATGCAATCGCCTGTTCCCTTACCTTCGCCACGTCTTGCTCGCTATCCAGGGGCGCCATTGTTCGATTCATGCTGGCTGTCTGCGGTCACAGTGATCTGCTAAATAATTTGTTGCTCCTTATGCAGTTCCACAAGTAGAACACTAGCAATGGGCAAACCGGATGTGCTACATGGGAGGGAAGACAATGTGACGTCCCCTCTAAGGCAAATTTCAAACCCCGGCGGTCGATCGGCCCAAAATGGTGAAGATTGCCGCCAACATGAATCGTCGATAAAGGGTGTCAAGAGACCAAGGACGCCGGGATGCTGGATGTGCAGCATACAAGGAGACAAGACAGGGAAAGTCGACGCTCAGATGTGTGCACTGCTGTATGCCAGGTGCGCTGGACGAAGGTTGGTCCAGAATTCGCAGTGGCTACAAAGGCTGTGTGTGAAAAACCAGATAAAAGGGTATCGGGTCCTTGCGATTGAGACATCCTGCGACGACGCATGTGTGACGCTCATGGACAGGTATTCGCCGGATGAAGCACCGAAAGTGGTCGACGAACGGAAGGTTACGCTGGACTCTGCGTCGGCGGGTGGTGTCGTTCCCACCGACGCAGCCAACCACAATAGGAAAAACATCTCCAAGCTGGTCAACCAAATGATCATAGACAACAAGTGGGGCTCGGCAGAAACGAAGCCTGACCTAGTTTGCGCAACCAGAGGCCCGGGTATGGTTGGATCGCTTGCAGGAGGGTATCAGTTAGCGTGTGGTCTGTCCATAGCGTGGCAGGTCCCTTTGGTGGGAGTCAACCACATGCTGGGACATTTGATGGTTGTGAGAATGGAAAGCAACGGGAAGGAACCGCAATACCCGTTTTTGAGCTTGCTTGTGAGCGGGGGGCACACCATGTGTGTTCTATCCCACAGCTTGACGCACCATGAGATCTTAGTCGATACAGTGGATATTGCAGCTGGAGATGCTCTCGACAAGTGTGGGCGGGAGCTGGGCATTTCGGGAAACATGATAGGGAGAGAGGTTGAGAAGCTGCTCGATCAGCACAGGGAGGAGTGGGGCAAGCCTGTCGAGATCATGGTCAAGGAGCCCATGTTGAACCAGTGGGACCGGAAGGACTCACTCCAGTATTCTTTTGCCTCTTTCAACTCACAGGTGAAAAATACCTTGAAGAAGTTCTACAGCTCTGAAATCCCGCAAGACGAAACGATCAAAGCCAGGTTGCTCTTCAGATTCCAGCAAACCATCTTTCAGCACATGATATCCAAAATAAAGTTAGCAATTAAGATACACAAACTAGACGTGAAAAATTTCATTTGTTCTGGCGGGGTGAGCTCTAATCTTTATCTGAGAAAAATGCTTAAGGATCAGTTGGGGCCTGCAGGAATAGAAAACTTCTACTTCCCCGAGCCCCGGTTGTGTACAGACAACGCTACCATGATTGGATGGGCTGGTATAGAGCTGTATGAGCAGGGCTACACTACCGATATTGGCACTACTGTAATTAGAAAATGGCCAATCACAAAATTGCTAGAGTTGGAGGGTTGGGAACGAAAACCCAATAATTTATAGACTCGAATTCTCAGTTCTTGTATTGACACTTGTATAAAGCTTATCTATGTTGATTAACCAACAAAAGTATTTCATGTATCTGAGTTTGTGAAAAATGGCTCCTTTATCTCGTAAACATCAACTAATTGTCTCCATGTGTCTTCGTCAAGGCTGAATATTATATGACTTTTCCCATCGTCGTTATCTTTATATCGTTGCTGTAGCTTGACGTTATCTCGAGTAGCTAGCTCAATATAAGGAATGCCGTTTTCATATTTGCCCATAATCAGATGCCCGTTGTTGATTAGAAAACTGCAAACAAACATGCATTCTACAGTTTTTCCAAAAGATGTTGGATGAAGTACCGCCTCAAAAACTGAAATTTTCTGTCCATATTGCTGCAGTCTTTTGTACAGTCTTTCTGCTGCTTTTGAGGTGTCATCTTTAGTATCCTTGTTGACGACGTCGTCGGCGTTTTTAAGATTTGCCGTCTTAGTTGCATTTTTCCTGGAGTCATCGAGAAGTCGTTGCCTCACTACCCGTTTCTTTCGTTCGATCTCTAAAGGCCCGAGTAGGAAATCACAACCCACAACGTGTTTGCTTATGCTGTTGAAAAGAAGTCCGGCATTAGACCAGTTGTATTCCGGTGTATCGCTACTGTCCACATCAGCAGTGGTCAATCCTTGTTGCTGTCGGATAGTACCAAAGCAAGACATCCAGCTTGTAACAAAAGTATCCAACTTGAGCATTTTTTCACTCTGTCCAAACTTCACATTCTGTGTCGCAATTTTGGCTTGCTCACCGATTTCCTTTAACGTTGCTGAATCTTTGGCAATTATAACTGTGCTTGATGATGTCTTCATTCCCTCGAATAGTTCTTCTGCAACACTTAAAGTCTTCTTAACTATATTCACACCGTTCTCTGTAGTAAGCTGTGGCCGTTGTTCCGCAAGGTCTTCGTTCAATTGGCGGTATCTGAATGAAAGCTGAAACTCCTCATCCTCATTGAGCACTTTTTTTTGGGAATCAAACTCATTATTCTCATCACCACTCTCCTCCTCCTCCTCCTCCTCCTCCTCCTCCTCCTCTTCGTCGTTTTCGTCATCTTCTTCACTGTCTTCTTCGTTGCTATCCGTGGAGTCTCGAACTTGTCCTCTCGTTTCGGCAACTTCATCTTCAATATTAGAATCATTGACGCGTCTTCTTTTTGTAGGCGGCTCACTTGAGCTGTCAGAATCACTGCTGCTTCTTCTTATCGTAACCATGATAATTCTATTGTGTCAATCGCCCCCCCTGTACTGTAACTGTCTCTCTGTTGACAACGCCTTTTGTAGCTCAAGACCAACCTAAACATAAAACTTATCAACCGTCTCAAAAATGGCTACGCGCTAAACTTATCGCCGTCTACTGACTGCCCTCCGGCACTCTTAAAAATACAGGTCGTTTCCAAATTTTACATATAGGTATACATACATCATACACAAGTTACCATCAGTACACGATACACATGAAAAGAGTTTGAGGGCTCGAAGCAGAATGTTGAAGGTTTCAGAATCCTAATCCATTGATCCCATCGTCAAGAAAGAAATTGTCATTCTCTTGCTTGGCGTAATCATTATCTGCTCCAGAAGTGTCTAGTAGCTCGTCTCTGCCTCCAGCGGCAAGTAATATCGGATCACTTGTGGTCATATTCTCGTCATCTGCCTTTATTATAACCTCTTCGCTGTCGTTAATATGATCTTGACGGAAAATGTCCAAATCCGACGATTCCATTTTTCCTTCTCCGGTATCACTATCCACACCTGCAGAATTGAATATACCTTCCATGCCAATAGTAGAAGATAACACCGAATTTGAACCGTTGTATGGAGGGCGACCACCCGATTGTTGTAACTTCTTTTGCTGCATCTGGGACATGAACATAGTCCGCTGGTTTCCTAGTTCATGAGGAGAATTCTGAAGCTGGTTATTCTCCTGCATGTGTTGATGGTGCTGAATATGAGGTTGTGATTGAGGTTGAGGTTGAGGTTGAGGCTGCTGATGGTTAGGCAATGGCTGCTGTTGTAGATGAGACTGTTGGGGAGTGTGTTGTTGCTGATGTTGTTGTTGAATGTGCTGCTGCTGGTGGAGCTGGGGCTGCTGCTGATGCTGATGCTGTTGCGGCTGTTGATGCTGCTGAAACTGTTGCTGATGCTGATGATGCTGTTTTGGCTGCTGTTGCTGCTGCTGGACATGTTGTTGGTATTGTTTTTGTATTTGCTGCATCTGCAATTGCGACTGAGGTTGGTATTGTTGTGAAGGATGTAAAGAGCCCGCAGACAGATTAGAACCATTTCCCAGTGAATAAATCAAGTCAGATCCCAAAATTTCACCATCGTCATTTAGGCCCACACTGTACGAATTCTGTGGGAACCCAGCATAGCTCGGCATCATGTTGATGCTTGAGGGTGTTGAGTTATTGGTGGACGAGTGATTCAAAGGAGAGAAATGGCCTGGATTCATGATTTGGGACTCAGGAGCTGGACCAGGGAACCCTGAAGTCTTAGTTGTGGCTGGAGCTTTCGATATCGATGTCTTGTTTATCGAAGAAATCAGAGTGTTGAAATATTTGAGACGGTTCAAATCGTCAGATAGGATGTGGGGCAAACCTGTTCCCCCTTCTCCGATAAAAGCTGTTGCAACTTGTTGGCCTTCACTGAAATCCTCACAAATCGACCATTGGTTAACATTTTCCTTGCCTGTTGCAGGGTCACGCAGAAAATGTACCGCAAACTGAGGTGTAGCCCCTAGTTCTATTTGTAGCAAAGTTTCGTTATAGTCCGGATTGTAATTTTCATTGTTGTTCATCTGCTGAGTTTGATTCAAGATGGAACATTTTAAAATGTTAACGAGAGGGTAAAATATCCTGAATAGGACTTTCTCATTCTGGAAAACCCCTGAGAAAAAATAGTTCAGTTCTTTATCCTTCTTCGACAGGATGACCAATAAGTCTGTGGTCGCCATAATTTCACTCAAAAGTCTTGGCGAAAGATTAGTCAGGGACTTCAAAGAGTCTTCCTTGACGTAGCCGGACCTTATTCTTTGCCAATTACCGACAGATAGGCTTTTGCATTCAATGACGTAGTATTTACCATTTATTTCTATTGGAAGAGTGTTCATTTGAGAAAGTGCGCCTTTCATATCATGATGAGCGGAATTCGGGCTATGGGAATGAGTTCTGTTTAGAGGCTGCGATAGTGGCTGTGGTTGACTGGAAGGTTTGTAATGGTTTTCGTCCAAAAAACTCATATTATCTGTATTATTGGAATCCCCATCACCAGTAGCAGATGGCGGGTTGCCATCTTTTTGGTTCAATTTTTCCATTTTCCTTGCCTTTGCTCTTCTGTTCTGGAACCAGATTCTTACCGATCGTTCGGGCATGCCTGTTTTGTTGGATATCTCTTTTCTCATTGCTGTTGTCGGATTCGAGTTTTTCGCAAATTCGTTCATCAAGTACTCCAAGATTTCGCCTGAGGCTCTGGTCCTTTTCTGCTGGTTCCCCGCCTCGTCGGTGGAAAGACTGCCTCGTCTCTTGTCGAGGGCTCTCTTGGGTGACAACTTCTGCTTTGCCGAAGATGAGGAGGTTGCCGTTGTCGTCTTCTCTAGGGGCGATGTGTTGTTGGTGCTGTCACCCTCGTTGATGATGTCGATGCTGGCCGCTCCACCCACGTCCGAGTTCTCACTCGTAGGCCTGCTTATGGAGCCCGCTTTGTTGCTGATGCCATTCGCCGGTATCTGGCCTTTTGTCAAAGAGTCTGTGTTGTTCACCTTATCGCTGTGGGAAGCGTGGCCCATCTGGCCCTCCATGTGGTCCATGCTCATGGCGTTCATACCGCCGAGGCCCATGCCCATGTCCATGTCCATGTTGAGGCCCAGGTTCATCCCGCTCAAATTCATGTTGCTCATGTTCATGTTCATCGTTCCGGCGTGTGTGTTCGTGCCCAGCAGATGCGCCACTCCTTCGGTGTCGTTGCTGTCACTGGTGTTATGTACAAAGTCGTTGAAGTTATCGTTCTCACACGAGTCAAAGAAAAAGTCGCTGTTGGAGATGTGGTCCATCCTGAAATGAGCCTCTGAGTCGGCTTCCGAATCCATCTCCCTGTCTGTGTCTGCGTGCGTGCTTCCGGTGGTCGTCGTTCTTCTCTCGGCTTTTCTCCCGGCGTCTTCCGCTGCTTGTGTCTGCCAGACTATGCCGTTCTGTATCCCTCAATCCCGTGGTCCTGGAATCCAGCCGTTTTCTCGTGCTGTGCTTCGTCCTCTGCCGCTGTGTCTGTGTCGATACAGGTTCAGAAACGCTAAGTGGATACAGGTTTGTGTGTGTGTGTGTGTGTTTTCAAACTAAAAGCCAAACAGCCGCCACGTGAGTTTTGCCGTTGCGCTTGCCCTTGCCCTTGCTCGATATCGTGCTCGTGCTCGTGCCGTTGCTTGTGCTCTTGCAGACGCCCTGCTCTGTCTCTGTGCCGTCTCTGGAGCCCTGTCCTGCCTCTTGTGGCCGTTCCCGGCATCCAGTAGCCCGCCATGAGCCCGCAGCCGTCGACTGTGCCTCTGCCGTAAGCCGCCGCTGTCTCGTCTCTCTCAGGCCATCCGCCCGTCTTTGTCTCCCGCACCCGTTCACGGTCTGCACCGCCCGTGTGGGGCGTGCCGGCATGTATCCGTGCTCTGCCAGGCGACGTCAAGGAGGGGTTATGTGGCTATCCGGCTATATATCTACGTCGGCAAGGCGCTCTGGCTCCGGTTAGTCTACACGTAGCGGCCGCCGCAAAAGACGCACACGGGGCTGGCCTCTAACACGGTCTCGAGGACCCGACCGTGGCCACCACCGACCTTCACGCTGCCGCAGTGCGTACACCGCTTCACCACGGGACTGAGGATCGGCAGCAGGGTGACGTCGCAGAGCTTCCAGGGGTGGCCCTCTAGCGACCGCACGACGCCGCCGGCCTCGATACAGCGGTCGATGTCCAGCTGGCTGACGTCGAAGCTCTCGATGAGGCTTGTGCCGTAGACACGCATCTTGCAGATGGACTTCTCCGGGATCTTGCGCTCCACGAGCTTCGAGAACTGGAAGTAGATGAACATGTCTTCCTCACTCTGCGTGTCGAGGACGTCGGCGTCCATGAGCGCCAGGACCTCTGTCGCAATCATGCGCTGGATCTTCCGCCGGAAGGCCTTGTTGAGGGACGCCCCGCCTATCACATTAGCAACCCGCTCCTTGTCGAGCTCCGGGCTCAGAAACAGCTCCTTCAGCAGACTCGATCTGTCCTTTGTGGCTGGCTCGCCACCGTTGCCGAGGACGGCATCGGCCTTGCTGGCGGCATCTGCATCTGCATCCGCCTCCTCGACTTCCATCTTCACATCCACATCCACGTCCACATGAAGCCCTTTCATTATGCTGCTCATGCCTTTCCAGTATGTCGGAGACGAAAGAATACTGTTGAAGTTTGAGACGTCCTCGAAATCCACCCTCCTGTTCCAGTCCGCCTTCACAATGGCAAAACTTATCGGGTCCTTCTTGGAGTTGGTGAACTCGAAATTCGACTTCAGGTGACTTGTCGAATGTAACATGTATATGAGGCTCCCTGTGGGGTCCGTGTTCAAACTGTCAATCACGAAAGAATCCAGCGAGTTCAGGTCGTTCAGTTTTTCAAAAAGTGGTAGCTCTTCGGACTCAATTATCTGCTGGTAGTTGTACTTACCACTGGAAACAACCTCAAATTTCTCCATATCCAGCTTGATGTGTCGCAGTTCTCCTAATCTGTTTGTGAGAATCGAGTGTAGAACTGATCTATGTCTTGAATCTGCAAACTGAATGAAGTTGTCCATCACAACAACGTTATCGAGACTTATATCCACCACCTTTGGATCTTCGTCCAAGGTGACCATCTTGATCGCATTCGGTAACGCCACACTCAGCATATTTTTCCCACCTATTGATTGAATCCCTATATTCACAACAGAATCATCAAACTCTAATCCAGTGCCTCCGACTGCCTCCTCTTCTACTCTCCAGCTGTTTTCACTTAGGTCTACGGAGCACTTTCTCACAATAACCCGATTCTTCGACGTCACAACAGCAAACTGATAATAGAGCTCTGCCTGCTCGGTGTTTTTGTTCACGAGCCAGTCAGAAGCCTTGTAGTATAGCACGTGTTCATTCTGCACTGAATCCAGGTGCAGGTCAAACGAAAATACTCTGGATATAGAGTTAGTAAAACAGTCGTACTTGTAGACCCATGTTTCGCTGGCTTCGGTGAAGCAGATGAATAAACTACTTGTTGCAAGCGGCCACACAGGGTTCTGCAGGTATTTGTAGTCAATACCTTTAAGCCAGACCAAATAATTTATTCGTAGTTTGCGCATATCGTTCTCGGTAAGCAGCGAGTCTGTTTCAATGCTTTCAAGTTCAGCTATCTCATCATTCAATATGCATATCGGATTCAGTGACCCCGTCTCATAGTTGAAAATAATTCCATTGTAAGCATCGGTGACAGTTAGGTACAAACATTGCAAGTTTTCGCTGACGCCAGAATCAGAAACCGACACGCTCGTGAACGAAATTGGCTCATTAGCACCTGAATTCACTTTAGCTTCTCCGAGTTTAGGCATTCCCTCATGCGCTACATTCCTGAAAAAGTTCTCACATTTGAACGACGGAACACTGAGTCGGGCAAGAGTAAACAGGTCCGAAAGACCTTTGGGTTTACCATGACAGTTCTCGTTCGTGTTCAACAGCACTATACCATTTTTCACCTGAATCAATATCCGGCCGTCCTTCGACCCTTGCACGCGATCTGCCCCTATCGTCGATAGCTCCCTTGTAATGACAAAGTCCTCCATACTTCTTGCTCTCTTGTTCCGCAGCTGCTACAATACCTAATGGTCCGGAGCCAGTGGAAGGTAAAAACAACAACAACTTCAAGCATCATCACACAAAAACATGTGAACAAACAAGCGTCAAATCTACACACCGCTTACGTAAACTGATGGCCGATAAGAGTACCAGAAGCACTCTGCATCTCCTCCCTCTTTTGTGAAGGTTTGAGACTGCAAGCATCTGGACCATGTCCTCAGAAAAAGGGTTTATCACCTTAAAGAACCTATCTAACAGCATGTCTGGTTACAATGCTACAGTAACATAAGCCGCCAAGTTACGCTTTTGTTACCGAATTTCGAAAAACAGAGGATCTCGCAATTTGTATGATTGAAAGCTCTCACTACTGGTTCTTGTAAAGTTCCAAGTAGACATAAGAGTGAAACATAGCTCAACATAGAAGTACATTAGCATCTTGAAAGCCCACGTCTAATGACGAGGCCCGAGGCTGGAAACTCGAGCAAGGCGGTTTCTTACATAACCCGATTTCACAGCGACGCGTCGTCATCTTCAACGCGTCTTTGGACTTGATGAAGTATTCTTCCAACTTGTTCTGTTTCCCTCGATGGAGCCCGGACTACACGATTTTCCCCCCAAGGATACGGCAAATGGTATATTGACATTGCAAAAATGCTGATTGGACTAGCAGGTACTCCCGGTAGCGGGATCGAAGAAGTTGTGAGGGTGTTGTGTGAAAAGCTGAAATTTAAACTACTCGAAATAGATGATCAAAGTAAGGAGTTAGATTTGCTTGGCAGACCTGATAAAAGAACATTTGCGGACAGCACGGAGCTGTTGAACTATGTCACAACAAACTGGAGAGATGATATGCTTATTTCCAATGTCAGTGATCTGCCCAACCTCGATCTGTTTTTGAAGAGGCCCTTTGTCCTGCTCGTCACTGTCGATGCGTCTTTGATGATCAAGTTCCAAAGATACAAACTCAAACATCAGGATATAACCCTAGAAAAATTTTGCTCCGTTGCGGATGACCACTTACTTTCGGTCAACAATAGGCACTGTAAGATTCAAGACCAAGCGCAGATAAGATTGATCAATAATTCTGTGAACTTTGACTCGCTATATCATTCAATCACACAAATCAACCTTACCGACCCTGAGCGTCTACGGCCCGAATGGGACTCGTACTTTATGCACTTTGCAGATTTGGCAGCCATGAGGTCCAACTGTATGAAACGAAGAGTTGGCTGTGTTATTGTGAAGAACAAAAGAGTTGTTGCAACCGGGTATAATGGTACTCCAAGAGGCTTTACCAATTGTAATGAAGGAGGATGCTACCGCTGTAATCACCCATGTGTTGAGAACAGCGGTGTTGGACTTTCAACCTGTCTCTGCCTACATGCAGAGGAAAATGCGCTTTTGGAAGCAGGGCGGGCTCGAGTTGAGGGAGATTCCATACTGTACTGCAATACATGTCCATGCCTCACTTGTTCTATAAAAATTGTTCAGATGGGAATTACCGAGGTAATCTATTCCCAGAGTTACAGCATGGATGCATTCAGTGAGAAAGTGTTCAAACAGGCTGGTGTCAAATTCAGGCAATTCATACCTCCAACTCACGGTACCGTCATCTTGGAATAAACATTGTAATTATTTTACTATATTCTTATACATTTATATACCTTACATACAATAACTACACACACCCGGTCAAGAAAACATCGCGGTACGTTCTATATTTCGTGAGCTTCCATCTACAGGCTCTTCTTTTAACTCACTATTAGACTCTTCACTCCCCTGCGGTTTAGTATCTGGTATCTTAAGAGAGTCTAATTTCCTTCGTATGTTTTCAACGTTTGAATCCTTGGCAATCTCTTCTTCTTCTTTCACACTGGCTTCCAGCTCAAGAAGTTCCTGCTCAATCTCCTTATCATTGTTTTCGCCAATTGCTCCTTGAGCTAATTTTTCCGATACGGTATTTGTATTTTGTATTTCTTCGTACAATGAGTCAAATACTACGTCTAAGTCCTTATCTGTAGCTTCATCATTCAACAGTTTCAAAATCTTGGAATTATCTTTCCACACTTTAGATATCATGACATTATTATGAGCATCTTCCAATTTGAGTTTCAAGGTATGCAAATTCTCCAAACTGGATAAAGTTTTTTGCACCTGTAATTCCAACATCTTCTTAAGTTTGAGTTGACTTCTGGCGGTCGCTTGACTCTTATTCTTTATAGACTCACTGATTTTCTCACTTAGCTGTGTTATTTCTTTCGATTTCTCTTCATTGTACATATGAAGCTTGTAAATCGTGAAGTTAAGATCCGTTAAATTTTTAAGGCCCTCTGTATCAACTCTTGCATCTTCTTTGGGCAGGTCAGAAGGAAGAATATATAGGACTTCCTTCTCGACATTGATATTCGGCATCTGGTTTTTCAAATAGAGAAGAACATTGATTAGATCTGATTTTGAAATGTTGAACCTTTCATGAATCAAAACATCCTGTAAATGGTCCAAGTTCACTGGGCCTTCTTTAAGTAAAGGTAACAAAAAAGATTTCACTTTCTCTGCATATTTCTGAAGTTTGGGCATAAAGATCAATAACTCTTTCTTGTATTCTTTGCTCCGAATGTCAGGATTTCTAGAGCCAAAAATTAACCATTTTATCGTTTCCAAAAAGTCTGATTTGCCTTCTTTCGTCTTATCAGCTTCTAATTGTGATAACAAAATTATACTCTTCTCATTTAACAGTTCATTGATGGCTATATATAACCCCTCTGGGACATAAGATCTGCTAGCTGTTTTGTAAACTAGTTCTCTTGAAAGAAGTTCATAGTCAAAGGACAATGGAAGTTGAGATTCAAATAATGTCGTTAAGAAGTGTTTCCAAACATTGAGATTGGCATTATATCCTTCAGGATTTGACTCTTTGAGACTAAAGTAATCTGAAAAAAGAGATTTTAATCTTGATTCTCTAAAATCTGTATTTTTCTTGTATAGCTCCTCCACACTTGTCATCGTTAGTCTCCATTAACCGATGTTAAACAAAGTGCCATAAAAAAGTTCAAGATCAATGTATCATTTTTAACGGACTCAAAGGGTGTTTTTTGTTCGCTGTGAATAACATTTGTTGAACACTTTAACTTTTTTGCTCTAAAGTGCCGTATCACATTTCCACATTGAAGAAATAACTTGAACAAGGTTTGTCCAAACAGACAATATATGACGATTGCAGACCCTGTCGTGCAGCAGTTTGCTGAGCACTTGAACGAATTATATGATGATCCCTATGTGGAACCAGATAATCTTCTAATTAACGAACTCGAAGATAAAATACGCTACGAAAATCTTGTCCAACATGACAGCTCTATTCTTGTCCAATTAGCACCTACATTACTAAGAATAATCAATTCGAACAATACCACTGGAATCACAAAAAACTATGCGATAAAGTTTTTAGATATTTTATTGCCACATTATTCGTTTAACCAAATATTATCGGTATTTAGTGAAGATCTTTTGGTAAAAGCGTTTCAAGGGAACGATAACTTGAAACGTGTTATTGCAAAAACTCTGATAAAAGCCGATCCAGCTAAAGTATCACACGGACCATTGTTCCTATGTTTGTTCAAAACCTTTGCCAACCCTTCAACTGAACTATCCACAATTAATGAAGTGCAAAAGGCTATTGTTGCTTTGACTTTAGAAAGTGACGAAATTAGACAAATGTACCTTAATAATACAGAGATAGTACAAATTCTTGAAGAGATGAAACATAATAAGGTCGTTCAATCTAGGGTAATTGATTTGGTATGTGATATCTTGATTGTTATTCCACAACTACCGACTTCGATATATTTAGTTGGAGAAGAAGAATTGGCCCGTTCGAATGATCTCTTGTTTTATCGCTTTTGCGTGGGTACTTGGAGGACACTTTTACATCTGATCCATCAGGACGATTCTTTGCGATTTCTGAAGGAAAAGCTGAGGCCCCAAATAGATTTTGGTAGCCGAAGATTTGTGGGTGCCCAGACTTTGCTTGATGATAAGGATATATTTGTTGACTATGATGATTTTGGAATAGTATATTTCTTAGTTACATTATCATTCGTTTTTCCAGACTTTTTCAAAGAGTTCGATGAAAGATATCATCTGGTTGATTATGCTGTTGAAACCTACCGTCACTACCTAAAGTCAGTCAACTTTCTCGCTAGCCTCAATACGATATTTTTGAGGAACAATGAGGGCTTGTACCGAAATTTCAAATTGTGCAACAACTCTGTCAAACTTTTTTGTCACCTATTAAATGACAAAATAATTTTGGAGCAGAAACTAACTTTGCATGAATTTCCACCCTCTATTTTCGACAAACTAGTTTTTGATGATCTTTTCACAATCTTTGGAACACTTTGTGACTCGGAGTGGAAAATTGAAAAAATGGTTAATGATTGGAGTAATATTATTGAAAAAGTCATTGACGTAGACATAGTGAACGATGTTAACATCAACTCACATCATCTCGAATCCTTTTTGAAAGCTATTGCCAAGTCGGGAATTCCTTTAGGACGTCTCGAGTATCCAATAGACGAAAAACTTGAGAAATTGAAAAAGCAAACTGGAGTATCGGTAGAAGAGCCACTAACTGAATTGATGTAACTCCTAGTTATGCTGACAGACATTTTATTTAAGCGAAAAATATACAAATATCAGGGTAATAATATATAAATGCTGTAACTATAAATACAAGGAATTTGCTGAAATGATACCTCTGTGAATTAATTTTTCAGATTCACTCATTTTTTCCTCTAAGGCAGTATTACCGATTGTTTTAGCAGCATCGACAATCTGTTTCAACAATTCTTCTAATCTTCTGAACGTTCTGATTAAGGAGCCCTCATAAACATCGGTCATCTGGCAAATCTCAGTGAAGGTAGCACCTTCGCACCAGCGATACACAACGTCCATTAGTTCTGATCGGAAAGATTCCACATAAGCTTTTTCTGTGATTTCTATTTTAGCCTCTTTGGTAACTTTGGCAATTTTGCTAGCCATTTCTGCTAAATTCTTGTATGGTTCATCCAAAAGTGGGTTAGGCTTTCTAGTTTCCTTCGACCTTTCCTGGAAAACAAAACAAGATAAAAGAGAAGCACATTGAGATGGCGTAAGGTCGGTGAATGTACCGTTGAAAATTAATTCTGTGAGAAGAAGCTCATCACCAGTACTGATTTCACAAGCAACTTTACCTTTCAAGTCAACAATATCATCCTGGGAAATGAAACCCAACCGTCTTAGCACCCTTTTACGGCGCTTTAAGTCGTCCAATTGAATATTCGATTGAACTGCGGCAATCTTCAACTCGGTTTTTTTGATATTTTCCTCTAACTCAGCCTTCTTCGCATATTTTTCATACAACTCATTTAGCTTCGATGAATGGAACAAGGGACTCGTTTCTAACTTTGTTTCTAATATTGAAATTTTCTTTAAGAGCATCGCAAAATCTTCATCCTCGATCTTCATCTTTTTGATAGGATCCAAAATCGGTAATCCGTCAGGATGCCTTTTAACAATTTCCTTCAAAGCCTTATTCAAAGTTTTTCTGGATTGTTTGCTGTTCAAGTCTTTCGGTAAAATGGATCTGCAACTACTGATATTTTGGATAGAATTCAAGGTTATTGGTATTATCTCGGTAATTGATTCCTCTCCTTTTCTAGCTGGTCTTATTCCAAGGGGAAGATTGGTGTCAAATTGTTTAATAAGTTTAACTGGGGCATCCGCAAACATCGTGTTGACAAATACTTTAACGATATAACTATCATGGTCTGTAACACTTTGAATGGAGCCGTTCACTCTTCTGTTTTCAAACTTGGAATAGCTGATTACAATACCCCAACCATAATCCTGACCGGCAACACTCACTCTAATCATTCTTCCACTCTTAAGGTGAGGTAAAATGTTACTTGGATGGGTGATGATTTTTCTGCAGTCTTCTTTATAGCCCAGCATCTGCTGTTTAATATCATAGTATTCCTTAACAGTATCATAATCTTCAATTTCAATGGTATCAATTTCATCTTTCATCTCGTCTATTTTCTTTTCAAGAAGAGGAACTGCTACTATGTTTTGGAAGTGAAAAAAAGAGTTTTGTAACATGAATTCTGGGGAAACACCTTCAACTCTCAACAAATTCAAAATCATGTTATATCCCAAGTGAAATGCCGAGTCCAATCTATCGGCAACACCCTTCACCATACCCTTGGCAATTTGCGGTTCCATTTTTTCGTCAATCATCATGATAACAATACCACGATCATCCAAACCTCTACGTCCTGCTCTTCCTGACATTTGAATATACTCACCTCCAGATACCCAACGGAATCCAATACCATCCCATTTTCTAACAGAAGTAAAAACAACAGTTTTAGCAGGCATATTCAATCCGATGGAAAATGTTTCTGTAGCAAAAAGCACTTTTAAGAAACCTTCCTGAAACAGAATTTCAATAATTTCCTTCAAAATGGGTAATAAACCGGAATGGTGAATACCAATACCTCTTTTGAGCAACGGTAGGATGTGTTTGATTTGAGGTAATTCTCTGTCATCTTCAGGTAACATTTGAATCGCATTATCATAAATTTTAGTTAGCATTGACCTTTCCTCATCTGTGTTGAAGTCTAATTTAGACATTTTCATAGCAAGGGCCTCACAATCCCTCTTTGAGAAAGAGAAAACAATAACTGGGTTATACTTCTTCACCCATATCATTTTGACAATCTTGTATATGTCTGATTTCCCATCCTTGACTCCACCTTTCCAAGACTTTCCGCCCTTTCTCGAATCAATCGACCCAGAATCATCACCCATACCATTGCTAATTGAAGACATAGCTTTTTGAAAGTTTTGCTCCTTGAAAGTTCCCTTCTCATCCACAACTAAGTGAATACCTTCACCACCTGTTGGAAATAGATAATGTTGCAATGGGGTAGGTCTAAAATCGGTATAGACAATGTGACATGGTTGGTTATGAATTTTGCAGATCCATTCAGCAAATTCCATGGCATTAGGGATTGTAGCTGATAAGAAAACGTGGTGTACATTGTCTGGTAGCAAGATAATAGTCTCTTCCCAAACCACACCTCTGTTTTTGTCTCTCATGTAATGAACTTCATCAAAAATTACCCAACCAACTTCCCTCATAATTTCCGAACCCCGGTACAACATACTCCTCAAAATTTCTGTTGTCATAACCAAACATCCTGCATCTGGGTTTATAGTCACATCACCAGTCATTAAACCAACATCCCCAAATTCGGCCTGCAATTCTCTATATTTTTGATTACTCAATGCTTTGATCGGGGAAGTGTAAATAACCCTTTGATGATCTTTGAGTGATTGAGCAATAGCATACTCGGCAACAACAGTTTTACCAGCAGATGTATGTGCAGAGACTAACACTGACTCTTCTCTATCAATACATGATATTGCTGTATCTTGGAAGGGATCTAATGTAAAGGGGTATGTACGGGCTTCCTCCTTACGTTTATGTTGGCCAATTGGCACATAATCATAGCCCGGTGGGACTGCAACTTGATGACGAACCTGATGTTTCAATTGCACTTTATTAGCTGCAGTTCCTTGATTCTCTGTCTGAAGAGTCGTAGCATTGTCGGAATTATCTCCTTGTGGTCTAGACATCAATCCATCAGAGGCATCCACTTCACGAGACGCTTCAATTTCCAAATTGTCCGCTACAACCGGTATCACATCCTTGACATTTTTCTTCTCTTTGTTCTCAATCAACTTCGCCTCGTATCTTCTTGATTTTTTGCTATTGTTCACCTCCTTTTCCTCCTCTTTCTCCTCTTTGTCTTCAGTTTTTCTCTTTTGAGAAGATGAGGTGGCACTGGGATTTAAATTTCCCTTCTCTAACACATCACTGTTAGGAACTTCATCGAAAACGTCAAATAAATCATCCATATTTTGTTTTCTGCCTGAATTTGAAGATTTGAGTTGATTTCTTTAAGAAAATGATTGAGTTAGTAAGAGTTGATGGTTAAATGAAAAGTGAAATAATAAAAATTTCATGCAAAATTTTTGTAGCATTTCTCATCTGGAAAATTTTGAAAAACTGATAGTGCGTTACTTCAGACTCATACCTTAACACTTACGACGGTTTACAGATATTGAAACTTCGTTACACTGAACCTGACATCCGTACATATGATGTCTAAAATTATAGAGCTATCATTAAGAACCTGAAATTGTGCTGTAGAAACTCGGTTCTCTGTAAAAATTCAAGCCCTCTTACCGGTAACAGGATCTGAACTTGCACCCTTGCAAGGCAGCTACCACTTGGCTAAACCAAAAAATTTTGAGCGCAAAAATTATTTTCCGCTATAGAGCCACCCTACTTGTCACGTGCTTTTTTTATTTTTTAAGGCTGGTCAGTTTTAAGGTATTAATAGAGTATGGTAAGAATTCAACACTTAACAATTAGATAAAATCAAATTACCAATCACGTGACCTAAATATAACTGGAAGCTTACAATTCTTTTTTGATACTTGTTCACATATGAAAGATTTTACAAATTAATCATTTTATATAAAGTTGCAGAAAATGATGGACAATAAACAGAGAAATGAAAATGAGAATAAGGAATTTACCAGAGGATAATACAAAATGATGTACAAAAAAAGTAGTATGTATTCCGAAGGTTATGAGTTTATCCGATCAGTGCCCGAAACACAAATCTTTCTTTGGAATTAATGAAGTGGCAAATGTCAATGGCAAGCTTGCAGTCTTTTGTAGTAAAAAAGATTTAGGATTGGGTTCAAACCTTCTGGAACATTAAAATATAGGCAGTTTTATTGATATTGGAGCCCAGATTTTGATCGCTCACTGCATCTGATGCGGTGATATTAGTAATATTTGTATCATCAATTCTGATCCATTGATCAGACTCTGTCAGGACATCAGCAGTGTAATGTCCGTTTTCAGTCGACCTGCCGTGATGATACACTACACCTAACAACTTGTAGTTTGGTTCCTCTGAGACCATCGTTGATATGCAAGATTTAGGTAGAGTTAGTTTGTGATCATATTTTATGAATTTGTGGATTTTCTCTATGCGGCCATCCAGCAGTCTTGTCCTAGCTTGCTGTGCAAGATTCGCCTGCTGTAATTCTTTGTTATTCTTCTTATTTTTTCTATTTTTGGTAACGAGTTCATAGTCACCATTTTCTGGATTGGACTCATCATTAGTGACGAATGAAAATCTTTTCAAGTGTATTATTAGAATGGACGGTAACTTGTCTATAAAGTTTTGCTTTTTGGCCATTGTGGAACCTAAGGAAATTTCCTCATCTTGCGAGAACTTCTCAAATGCTGTAATCAAATCATCGGTTTCAGGGTCACTGATGTCTAGTTGCACCTGCATGAATGGGTCCAAAGTTATTGATGATTTCTTGCTAGACGCTTTCAAGACGGACTTGAACTGTCCGCCGAAAAGATTGACTATCGGAGACAGCTTGACTTGAAAACTTCTTTTGCCAATTGTCTTCATATTGGAGCCTACCTCATTCCAGTTATCATTACTGTCTAAAATAGATGCATTCTCTTTACTCGCATCTTTGATAAAATCAACATTTTGAATAATTTTCCTCGTAGTTTCTTTATTGCTGAAAGCGTTTGCAAAAGCTGTGACTTCGCTCGTTGGTAAAGTTTTTATACTCTCAACGAATTCCTCATGTAGACCATCCAGCAAAATGTTCAAAAATTCTTCTGCATCTTCTTGACGCCCCCAACTCAAATGCGAGAATCTAGGCAAAGAAGCGATTGAATAGTAGAATCGTTCTGGATTTATAACGTCGTATTTACTAGGGGTTTTAGATGCGATTTTGAAGCTGTCTTGTAAATCCAATAGGGCGTTCAATATTGGAGTGTTGTTTTTTGTCTCATCCAATTCTCTAATAGTTGTTTCTCTAATAATGTTCAGGATTTGCGAGAAGGGTTCACAGTAAAATAGGAATTGAAGAATAGAGTTCATGTAACATATATTTCCAGAGTTTTGTAAACCATGTCTGAAAATCAAGCTCGTATCATCTTTAGTATGGAAAATTTTATCTATGTACTCTGAGTCAAACATGATTCTAAGAAGCGTTACACCTAGAGGTTTTGGTGCATTTGAGGATAAGAATTCAGAGGAAACGGTATCAAAAACAGCCGCCGAGGAAGCCGCCGGAGAAGCAGTATTACTCTTAGAGCTTGATTTTGAGCGTGATGCTGGTGATGAAGATGCCGATCCGTGATTCAGTTGGGAACGCTTCAAATTTTCAGCTAGGGAAAGAGTTTTTGTTGACGACAGTATGTTTGCCATTGTTGGAACAGGAGCGGGTTTTAAAGCCTCCTTAGGGCTGGCTGATGTGCTGGGAATTTGCTCTGATGCAGGAGTTGGATTTGTGACTTTTTCTTGCTTCTTTACCACATTTGAAGGCTTAGATGGGGCAGTCTGAGTTTGAGGCTGAGGTGGGGCCTTGGCGGTTGGTGCAGTTTCGGATTTCGATGACCCATTCACCGGCTTTGGCTGGATCGAGGCTGACGGAGTGTGCAATGGTGCCTTTGTCTTTGGTTGTTCTGCTGCGTGAGAAGGCTTCTTGATATTTCGCAGGTTTTCGAGGTATTGTGGGGTATTATAATGTGCGTCTCTCACCAGTCTCTTTTGGCGGAGAGTCATCTTTCTATGTGGATTGATTTCATCTTCGGTCGTTCCGAAATACAGAGGAAACCTTTGTTTTACCTCTTTTGTTTTGGACTTTGTTATCAAAACAAACTGCTTGTTACGCAACAAGTATTCGTCAAAAAGAGCCTCATCCTGTGGGGACAGTATTTGCTCAGTGGTTACTTTTTTGAAATTGGACGACTGTATGTTTTGCACCATACTTGAGGGCTGAATCGATTGAAATTTTGGGGAAATTGGAAGACGTACGAGGCAAATGAACGAAAGTGAATTTTCAAAGGGGATTGGGGTATGCGTTCAGACGACAATACTGCTGCTGCTGATTGCGGGAAGGCCAATATGGATTAGTATACGGAAACGGAGTAGCTCGTACTACTTGAATGCTTCAGTGAGATGGGTTTAAGCAACGTAAGTTACGGATGAAATACGGCAGCAGATCTGTCAAGATCGGTTGGAACCTAAGGCCACCACCAGCCAGCTATTGTGAGAAGTGGAAAATGGACAAAACGAGATTTCTGTCCTGTGGCTGATGAAGGAAAAGGAGTCGTGGGGGGTAAAAAGCGAGGGTCCGGACTATTCCTGAGCCGATCGGCCCTGCAGAAGGAGCCAGTCAGATTCACTCCAGAGCACCACCTCTTGCACAGCAATATGGTGGCGCAGATGAAGATAGAGCAGCAGAAGGTGACAGCAGCATTGTTCAAGGGCGGAGAAGCAGCCGCAGGTGGAGCAGGAGAGCACGTCGATGTCCAGGGAGGAAACAGGAAGCGTGTTGCTAACGTCGTTCGGCTGCACACAGATATAGAAGGAGATTTCGGGTCGTAGCTGGTATAAGTACTTCTTCAAGCACCTCTTCTCAAGAAGGCGGAAAACCTCCCACAGAGTCTTGGTGTAGTCTCTTGCTAGGTACGTACTGAAAACCGCACGCGGTAGGGCAGTTTGTTGCTGTAGCAGGGTCTGTTGCTTCTGGCCATTGTTGAACCAGGAAGTAATTATCAACACCTTTTCTTCGTCGATGTTCAGCTGGGACACATCGACTGTGGATCTGGATCTCGTTGTGGCATCGGAGTTGGAATTTTTTGTGAAAACCGAGTCTAACAACGATTTGAAAAGTAGAGATTTTTCTTCCTTCGATAAAATGTCCGCATTGTGGATTTCGTTGCTGTTACCGTCTGTGCTCTTCTCTAGCTGTGCATGCATCATTGTTTGATGTCCGAAAGGAGGAGGGAGGGAAAAAATATGCTTTGTGGTTGCTGCTTATCTGCGAAAGCACAGCATGCCATCAGTGGCAGTTGGTCAAGTAGACGCGGTACTGCGTGAAAATCTAAAAAGGGCACGCGTGGAGTAAATCGTAAAAGCCGTTAGTATATGTTACACAAAAAGTATACAGAAGCAAAAAGAAAAGGGAAAAAATGAAGGAAAATAAAGGGAGTCATGTAAACGGAAACGGAGGCCCATTAGGCCTGTTTTCCTAAGTTCATTGAATTTTTTGATTCTGGAACAATTTCGATATGCAGTATTGTTTCACTCTTTTCTTCATTGACATGTCAACCAAACGTATGAACAGACCGCTATCAATTTCATCACAGTCATGGGAGAGTTGGCTTTCCAGCAAAAAATTGTCATTGGAATGGTTTCTCAAGATTGTTCTTTTGGCTTGTTCCGATCTTCTCGCATGTGCCGGCATCGGCAAGTCCTCGGTGTCAAAAATTTTTGTCTGGACATCCTCACTGAAGGAAACTCGACAGGTGTTGGCCTCCGCCACTGCTGGCTCAGGATATTTATCTACAAAGCTTTGGTTTTTGATTAGAAGCCTCAAGCTCTGAGACGACGGTAACTTGGACAAGCTGAAATGGTTGTCCATGGCGACAACCAATTTGAGGGTTCGGAAAGTACACCCCAATGCGACCGCATCGTCTTTTGTATTTCTGTAGTAAACCTGCGAGGCCTTGTGTTTTGCCAGTATCCTATTGAGGTACAGCGCATTGGAAGGGACAGCGGGAGTAGGAGAAGGAGAAGGAGTAGTAGAAGAGGATAACGCATCTTCGCTGGGAAAGAAGAGAAGGTGCTCTTGGTCTTTCTTTTTCGAGTTTTTTTTGCGTTTCACTGAACAGTGTGGCCTAGAACGCTGCTTTGCGGCTGGTGACAATACAGGGTATCTCTGGAAAGAATTGTTTGGGTCCAAGATTGAGGTCAAAGAGGTGACTATATATTGGTCGTTTTGCGTTTTGGCGATGCTGTTGTCGAGGTCTTCCATTCTGAATTGACTTCCTAACGCTAGTTGTACCGCTTTTTCCAAATTGCTTTTAGCTTTGTGTTCCTTGTAGGACTTTTTCATAGACTTGAACAGGTTTTCAACTCTTGTCATCTTATGTTTGATAACGACAAGGATATAGGGTCAAAGGCGAAGGACAAGCCACGCAAAGAGTCCATCGCACGTTCGCCAGAAAGAGCACACCACTACAAGCACAGAAAAGTGCAAACCTAGACAAAAGCTGCCTGAGTGTACTGCCCGTTGCAGACAGAACACGGGAAGGAGGTATTTTGGGAGAAACCTTCGGAGTTCAGAACAGTCCGTGAAGACGCCCGATGAGGGGAGAAAAAGTCCATTCACACACGTGACCGGCTTACATAAGCGCGCGGAGATGTTGAAAGCCTTTCTGGCTTGGCCGACCTGGAGCGGCGGCGGAGTCTACGTGTGAAGAAGAGCACGACAAATACGAAAAGCAACCACCCCAGACAAAAGCGTGTCTTAGACGAAGAGTTGCTCATGCTTGTTGTTTTGCTGATACTCGGGCCATTTTTACAGAGTGACTCGAGAGAAAAAGGAATAGGGAGACAACAAAATAAACAAAACAAAATAAAGCAAAACAAAACAAAACAAAACAAAACAAAACAACCAACAACCAATAACCAACAACCAACAAAGACAAAGTAGCAATCAAAGCCGGCACAGCGAAAGAATACCGAGGACCTTAACTAATCATATTACGATGTGTGTGACAATGCGTAATGAACAAACAGCACCATTCAATGATGAGTCCATGGGTGTAGGAGTTATTGTTGATGTTTGGTGCTAGAAAGCGTAACAGCGGCCGCTGAGCGAAAAAGAAGGTTTCCCCGCTCCGCGTCTGCATCTGCGTCTGCATCTGTGTCGCCGCCCCCACCGACTGCCTAATCCGGGTGTTGCCCAATCGGGCTATGGGGGGCAGTGTATATGTGCCGTAGAGTCTAACACTGGAGCTGCCGAGCCTAGCGCTGGGCATTTACTAGGCTAGTGCTGTGCCGAGAAAGCAGCAGCGACAGCGGCAGCGTTCTCGCGTGCAGGGGGATATGATGTAAAACGTATTTTTTAGCTTCGCTGAAGATGGATACGGCCGCAGCCCCATGGAGACCAGGAGCGGGACACGCTCGACCGTGCCGGGGCGCCCTTGGGACAAAGCGTGCGCCTGTCGCCATGAGCCTGCAAGGAGAGCAGGGGTGAGTTAGACGAGCAGAGCGTGAGGGAAGGTAAGGAAGGGATGGGGAAAGCAAGGGGCGGGGTCGCCAGGCCGGTGCCGGCTGCTGCTCTGAGCCGTAAGCTTTGGCAGGCTGCCTTTGGCACCTTTGGCACGCGATGTATGGGTGGAGTAATAAGGGCGTGCAGGTACCCTGTGACGGTGCAAGAAATCTAGGGGCGGGCCCGCAGCCGTAGTGTCGCCATTATCTCATGTGGGAGAAAAAAAGCTGAGCATAATGGCCCGTAGGGCGATCGTGCACGGAAGGAACGAAAAAAGGCAGGGCTGGCGTGGAGTGTGGGCGGGGGACGAATTTCTACCCGTTGTGCTGCGAGCTAGAGCGAGCGCGGACCCCACTTGGTGCAACAAGCCCTGTCCGAAAGCGGCAAGATCGTGCTATCGCAGCGTAGGGCCGGGGTGCAAGGTGTGCAATTGTGCTGGAGCTGCCGAAGGAAGCTGGGGCCGGGCGAAAATGAGCACGAAGATCATCCGAAAAGGGCCCACGCAGAGCACAGACACAGACACACAGACAGATATCTGGTGCCTGCAAGCAATTAATTAGATGAGTGCACCGCGATCGCCGCTGCCATGGACGCCATGCACTAACGCAATTGTGCCGAGGATCTGCCGGCAGCCACGCACCAGAGACCAGCGCTGCTGCGGTCTGGGGGCGGACGGGCCAGAAACGGCAGTCGGAGGGCGTGAGTCAAGCACCAGGTCGCCCGCCTGATCTTAGTAGTCTGTCCCCGCTGGGCCCACCGAAGGCGTCCGGATCCTCGCTGGCGTGCGTCGTGCTACATGCGGGCAGCCGGGCAGCCGGGCTGGGGGACGAGGGCGAGGACGGGCGGGACAAATTTTTTGCTTTGCCGTGCGCTATTGCGGTGGGCTTACGTAGTGGTGGGCGGATATGAACACCGCCGAGGAGGATAACAACAAAAACAACAACAACAATAGGAGGAGCGGCAGCGGCAGAGGCGATCGTAGTGGCAACGACAACGATAATAACCCACGTATTATGTAGCGGTATGTGCGCTTGCCAGGCAGCTGCTCGCTTTGCCCACGCCCACGCACAGGTAAATATAGTAGGCTTTTGTTCACGCCCCATGCTCACCACGCCCACGCCCACGCCCACAGGCAGTGACAACAACAACAACAACTACTCCCGAGCCGTAGAAAAGCGTGGAAAAACAGCAGGCAGTACTCGCCGCCGTCGCGGGGCCGCCCCGCACATACGCATGTACCCTCACCAGACCGTGCCCGGGACTCTGCAACCGCCGCTGCGGGCTACTATTTTTAGCAGCCGCCGGCACCCGGCCGCTTTTTTTTTTCCTCTTCTGCATCCCGGCCGCCTGGTTGCCCAAGCAAGCCGGCGCGCCTATGCATCGCGCCGTGTTTGGGTTTTGCCCGATGCGGTACCGGTGACCTCGATAGAGTACCGCGTTGGGTGGAAAAAAGAAACAAATGGCACGGGAAAAGCTTCGGAAGAGGTGGTGAGCAGAGGTTGGGCACGCTGGAGGAGACCCGAGAGTGCTGGATGGAACTGGTCACACAGGGTCTCCTTTTTTCTATAAAAGCATGTGGTTCCCACCCTTTTTTCTTCTCCTCTCTAGCTTCCGTTTTCTCCCTACCTTTTGCCTTCTGTTTTTTTCTTCTCTTTCTTTCACAACAAACATCTAACTGTTCTAGTCTTTCGCTTATCACCCTCTAACAATGCAATTCAAATTCTTAGCTCCTCTTGCCCTTGCTGGTTCCGCTGTTGCCGGTTTCTCTAACGACACCACCGTCACTGAAGTCGTCACTGCTCTCACCACCTACTGCCCAGAAGCTACTACCATTGTTACCAACGGTAAGACTTACACTGTCACCAGTGCTACCACTTTGACCATCACTGACTGCCCATGTACCATTGTCCACACCACTTCTGTTGCTCCATCCACCGCACCAAAGTCTTCCGCTTCCGTCTTCACTGATGGTGCTGCTAAGATTGGTGTTGCCGGTTTAGCTGCTGCTGCAGGTGCTGCTGTCTACTTGTTATAAGTATAACAGTCTGTATTTTATTATCATAATAAACTAAATTTTGGGGTACTAATATTGCGTGAGCTATTATTTTAATTACATTTATATTTTAATCTTATAATTTTAATTTTCTATTACTATATAGATGAAGTATGAAAAATGAAAAAATGGCTTTAAAAAATTCCTAAAACCTGTATTGCATTTCTTTTGCTCTCATGACTTGAGGGAGAGATTTTCAAACCCTCGCTACTTTTAGTCGCTGCTAACGCCACCGACTTTTTTGTTTTGTTTTTGCTTCTGGGTGCTGTGCCCAACCCAACCTACTTGGGTCCATTTGGGGGCGGCTCGCGGATGCTGAAATGCACCGCTCGGCTCGGGAGACGGCATTACCACCCAATGCGGTAGCGTCAGTCGCTACTGGTCGGCGAGCAGGCGCACCCGCATGTGCAGGAGAGCTATTTTTGGCAACCCGGCCCAGACGTGCAGGAGTAAAATCAAAGAGCGGAAACAAATCTGCAGCTGTGCAAACTTTCTGTTCGGTGCACGGGCGCGCTGCCTTGTTTTAGTTTCTGCGACGCGTCGGCCCGTGCATATCCGAATTTTTTCTTTTTGCCGCTGCTGAGGCTATCGATCGGTCTCCACCCACTTGCTCTTGCTCGCTAGCACCGTCTGCTCTCCCCCCTCCCATCAGCCCCTGTTCGTTTTCAAGTGCCTTAGTTCTGCAGGGGTGTGGTTGTGCAGTGACATGTTTTGTCACCGTTTACTCTTTCCGGCAGTTAATACCTCTCATCGGCCCATTGTTCCACACTAGAGGCTGTTTTTCCGCCTCCTCCGCCTTAATTTATCCTCTGCTTTTGATTCCCTGTGCCCTATCATGTCTTCTCGGCAGGACCGGCAGCAAGACACCTCGGAGTCACATCTTGACAGGAAGCTGGAACGGCTTGCCAAGATATACGACCTTCCGCTTATTCTGAACGAGCGGTTGGCCATCATCAACTCAACCACAAACCTAGATACATACCAGGGTCTGATTCTGCCAAGACACGCCCTTTCAAGCAACAACAGCCATCTCTCTGGGCAGCAAGTCTCCCATATCGATTTTTTCGACTCAGACGACCTAGGCTCCGCTTCCGTTGGCGGTGCTATCGGCGCCAACAGCAGCAGCAACCTCAATGACGGCGGCATTGGAATTTCCAATCATACCCATGACGACTACGACCACGACATTGGCCACTCGAACAGCATAGACGAGTTTGGCGCCGCCAATTCCAGCCACGACAACAACGGACAGGGTATTTTGAGTCTAGCTGACGGCTCAGCATCGACCAATGCCAGCAACAGCAAGTTGAGAAACCCAACAGTGCTTGTCGGACATGGCATCGGCCACAATGGAGGAGTCCCCATCAACAACTTGTCCAAGATCCCCAGCTACCAATGGGGGTTCAAGCACGAAGACTTATCGTCCTCAAACTCCAGTAAATATATCCTCAATGCCCTCGGATCTCGAGATAGCTGCAGCATCTCCTCATTGGCAGGTAACATGCCGAATATCAACTCCTCAGGCTTGAACTCGAGAATGGTGCGATTACCAATCAAAAACGACACCTCGTCCAACGTCAACTACTACGATTCCCACAACGGGTTGAAGGTCCTCGGAGATACCATACAGGGAGGAACAGAGCGTTCGTTGATGAACGGATTGCCCTACTATAATATCGAGATGGCAGAGCAGTTAATCCGGAAACTGAATCTCAACAAAAAACTTGGGTTCAAGGCTTCGAACACAAACACCTCATGGTTCTCGGATTCGATGAACGAGACCATAGACGATATCGAGTACTTGCACGGAGAGGTCATCTTGAACCAGTTTGTGAATAACAAGCGCGTCATCAGAAACTATCAGTGGCTTTTATACTGGAACGATAAGCTGGGCAACAAAAAGTTGATCGATTCACTGAGGAACCAAAATGAAAATGTAATGAGTTATACCACATATGAAAGGCTAAAAAATTTGAGAAACAAAAAGTTCAGAAAATTGCAGCAAAAACGTTCCATGATAAGACAAGATATGGTCAAGCTGGACACGGCCAAGGAGGATAAGAGAAACGAGTACAGGGTGAAATTTGGTGCCGTGCCCGACAACCTGGATTTTCTTGTCAATGGCGAAAAGAGCAAAATTGCCAAGGAAATTTATGGGGAAGAGCTTCTGAGGCAGGAAGATGAACTCATTGAGAAAGAGAACGCCATACCCGAGTACGAGGAAGAGTTAGAGATCTCTCCCAGCGAATTAGAGGAGGCAGAGTTGGAAGAAAAGAAAGAGGCGGCAGAAGGTGCTGCGGCTGCCTCAAAAATGATACCATCTAGCAGGTTTGGAGGCGATTCAGAGTTTAATAAGGAGCAGGAAATTGTGCTGGAAAAGGAGTTTGCCGTTGATGATCCCAAGCTTTTGGCAATACAGAATAAGCTTTATGGGGTCCACAAGAGCATGAGGCTACAGAATGAGGCGAAAAGCAAAAATGGTATCATTACTTCAAAGGTAGTGAAGATCAAAAGGAAACCAAACCCGAACGCTTTGGGGTTTTCCAACATCAGAAGCTGCAAGCCTTCGTTTTTGTAAGTCTAGCCAGTTTACTAATTTCTATATGTATTACTATAATTATACTTTCCAGTACAAAAATAAGCTGTGATCGTTATTTTCATTTATTGTCTATAAAACTTTCGAATGTTTGATATCGTTTCTGAGTCTGTGAATCCATAACGCAACGAGAGCAACCAATGCTAACAAGGGCAAAAAAATCATGTAGATTAGCGATTTGAGCTTGCTGATAGAGTCTGCGCCACTATAATCCGGAGTCGAGTTATCTCTCATGGAACTCGAATAGTAGGAGGACAACGTGGACAGTTTGCTGTCCAAGCTATCTGAGCTCTTAAGCTGGTTCTGCATGACCTTGTCAAACGAGCGCAGGGTTGTGTCGTAGTTGTCGAGCAGATCGGACTGCTTCTTAAACATGTTGGAAAGCTCGTTGTATTTGTTGTTTAAGGTCCCGAATTGATCTTGCAGTAAAGCGAGGCTTTGTGACATTTTTTCTATGGTGTTAGAAAGCTGAGAAAACTCCTCCAGCAACCTTGCCTGTCCGTTTTTCTGAACCAAATTTATGATAGACTCAAGCCTCGTTTTGACATACTCAAGCTCTTCATTTGTGGAGGACGATTCGGAGGAAGGAGATGAAAAAGAGGATCCGGGGTCAACTCCAGACTTGGATGTAGCCAGTTTTTCCCTCAGTTTTTGCTGTTGTTGGAGGAACTTGGCTGCGCCAGTTCCATCTCTGCTGTCCAATGAGTCTGCGTGCTTGGCCACCAAGGTCTCGTCGTTGTCGTCCTTCATATCTGCAGTTGCCGAATCGTAACTGGTGAGCTTCAGAATCTCAAACTGTTCGTGAAACTTCAAGTTCTTCGGCGACGACGCGGCGATTCCTAGCTTGAGATCGCCACTCAACAAACTGGAGAGGTTCACCTTATCTGTTTGAAATAGCAGCTTGTTATCGCACGTAACCTTCAAAAACTTGTTTTCATACGCCACCTTCATCGTCAACGGAACATGGGAGCCCTGGAACTCGTATCTGTATGCCCCAAGGTAGTCCGTGGCAAGATTGATGCTCTTGCCATCATTCAAGTAGACCCTCAATACCGGGCCGAGCTTTTCGTCCATGTTGACTAGCAACTGAAGACCCTTGTAGACGACCGGCCCGCCGAAGTTCGACTGTCCCAGACTGGCAGAGCCTTTATCAACAAGAAATAGGGACAGTCCTGCATTCGTCAACCCGAAGCTGCCCAGCGAGCGGATCGTCAACTCGATTGTGAACGCATCCAACTGTGACGCCGGAGAATGCGCCGACCAGATCGACCCTAGCTGCACCCCTGTTTCGTCCTTCGAAACAATGTGCTTTGGCTTCGGAGTGAGCACTATACGACCTTCGTCGTACTCGGTATCCCCCGACCTTATCCACCGGCTCGATAGCTCTTCGATCGACGATATAGACACCAAATTCGGGAGAGAAAACTCAGCAAGTTCACCCACTGCAGCACTTGATGCCGTGAAAAACTGGATAAGCAGCACCAAAGACAGACTCAGAACCGAAATACTCCCAACCATTGCCATTCCTTGCTTCCTCTTGTCTGTGTGTGTCGTTTCTTTCCCCCTCCGTGGTCTTCCGGCAGAGTAATCCTCCGTTTCTCTTGAACAAATGGCCCCTGATGATGACACGAAATCAACCCCTGTCCAGTAGCTTGACACGCCTCTCGAGGAGATGAAACAATCTCGCTTACGTCAGCGGAAAGTGACGTTTTTTTCTTTCCCTAGCTTTGCCACGGGCTGCGTAACCTTGGTCTTGCCGTCGCGGCGGCGTTTCCGTCGTCGCAATGGTGGGGGTCGTTGTTTTCTAGCACAGAAGGGAGCAGAAACGATGGCGACTACCAGATTCGCATCTGCGCATGAGTTGAGCCAGACAGGAGGTTGGAGCTGGCCCTGGCAAACCAACCATCCGCCGTCGCCCCGCCTTTCCTGTAACCACCACTAACATCAAGAGGACCTCCAGCACGCTCACCACATCCCTCCCCTATTTTCTATATACTTTTCCGCTATTCGTTCCACCAGCCAGAGGCCTGAATCAGCACTAATATTTACAGCTTCCTCCTTCACGTTACTACTTCGTTTTGACTTTTGTTAAAATCAGTAACAACAGAAAGGCGACTTCGCCTGATCCAATCAGCATCAATAACAGCGTGTCCACATCAACTACAACCACCACAACGTCACCCCTGTTCAAAACAAGCCCCCTATCGAAAGATTTGACCAGGGCCATACTATCTCAGCTTTCGATCCTAATAACAGAGCTAAACAAGGACAATTGTATCCAGATCATCCACCAGATACATACTATCCTCGACAAACACCAAGAAATCTTTCCTATTTTTCTCAGAAGATTAATCAACCAGATATCCACTGAAATAGTAGAGGACAAGAGCATCGACTACCAGCACTCTTACACTCACAAGGTCCTAAAACACGAGCTAAACTACCTCACACTAGTAGAATTAGAAAAAGTCTCGTTTATATCCCAGGCTTTACTAGTTCCAGAATCTCAGTTCCTGATCTTCACTCTTGACAAGTTTCTATCTTTCTTCAATTTAACCGAATTTCAATCCTTATTGATTTCCCTTTCTATTGAACAGTTCATTCTAAACAACCATCTAGAAGAGAAATACAGCTCTTTACTCGAAGATTTACCTACTATTTACGTTAAGCTTTCATCCGGCGTCGTCCAGTGGTTAGATTTATTAGAAAGTTCGAAATCCTCAACAAGAGACAATCTAGCGACATTCTTAAGACTTTTTCTAAGCTCAAAAGTTTTTTCTGCACCTCACAAATTCATTGTATTATCACATATCTCGGAAAGTTTCAAGAAAACAGGTACCGTTCCTGAAAAATTACCTTACCAGACCAAATTTGAAAAAGTCAACACAGTCATCAATCAATTCTTAGATACAGTGAAAAAGATGAATTATAAAGATTTAATATTGGAATTCTGCAACACAAAATCTTCCCCAGACAAACTACTATCAGATTTGCTGGCAATTCAACCTGAAAGTAATTTGACAGATTCGGTCGTAATCTTATTATCTGAAACGCTTTATCCAGGGTCCCAGAGAAGTACTATAGACAAAAGCAATGAACCAAGCACCGGCTCTTTACTTACTGCAACCAGCCTACCTGAGGCTACCGCTAGAGGTGCTAGGATGTTGCAGGTGATCAATAGAGTTAAAAGCCAAGTCGACTGGGATGCATCTTTCGATAAAATACTCCAGATGTTTGATTCAACAAGATACACAATCACTAATATATCATTGTCACAATTTTTTGCCTCCATACAAACCGATAATCTCATTGATAATTTCTTGAGCAAACTTTGTAAGTTCTCGAATGTTCAGCTTTTGACTCAGGTTTTTGTCCAGTTGAACAACCTGGATCCTAACGCAGGAGCAATCGATCTGTTCAGCCTCGAATTGACTCCAATTTTGCAGACGGAATCAAACGTGAGACATTTATTGCTGTATTACAAATATATTGTTATGCTTGAGATAAAAACAGTCGCTTTATTAAGCTTCTCAAGGCTAAATGATAATATCGTTTCTCAAATTTTTAACAAAGATTTGAGAGCTGCTTCAGAGTATATGATTTTAGCATGTTTACACCTTTTGCATGATAATCCAAATGGAGAGGAAAATGAGATCATCATAAACATCATGCAAAACTTCTTCATCAATTTGCTAGATATAAACTCCCCATATTTGAGTGCAATTTTTGCTTTATTCGAGGAGTATAATGCCAAGGAGTTTGGTAAGCTACTACTCAAATACTTGGAGTTAAGAAAGAACCAAGAATCAATACATAAAATTGCAAGTTTAACAGCTTCTTTCAAAGACGATACTGTCATCATTTCAATTTTGCAAAATTGCTCTGATTTCCAAGAGGGTTTTACAATCTCAGTTATCTTTTCTCAATATGGTTGGAAAAATTTCAAAGCATTCATTGATAAACAACTGGAGCTAAATGCGAATTTAGTATCAGCTACGATTGTCGACTATCTGGAGAAACAAGCTAGAGTCGAATATGAAAATGCACAACAAGGTAAAAGAGCCCTTAAATCTCTGAATCTTGAAACAGTTTACTTCTTACTAACTACCTTGTCATCGGAGCAATTACCAAAAGAGTTGTTTGAGAAGTTGAGAAACTTGCAAACTTTGTGTTTACAAGCTTATCCAAGATTAATCAATTTCGGGCAAGGCCACGATGCCGCTATTTTGATGAATAGTTCCACCAACACTTTCTCAGTCGGCGTGGAAAAGGAGATGAAGTTATACTACCAGAAAATGTATAAGAAGGAAATAGAAATTAAAGACGTTGTTCACATGCTTCAAAGGTTGAAAAACTCAGATAACCCTCATGACCAAGATGTTTTTGCATGCATGATCCATTCTTTATTAGATGAATACAGATTTTTCCCCGAATACCCTGTTGATGCATTAGCAACTACTTCAGTATTATTCGGTAACACAATTGTTTCAAAACTACTTGAAGGTTCTGCGCTCTCTATTGCGTTGCGTTATATTTTAGAATCGGCCAGAGAACCGGCTCAAAGCAAAATGTTCAAGTTTGCCATTCAGGCATTGTATTCATTCATGAAGAGACTTCCTGAATTTCCAAAATTCTGTTCAATGCTTTGCGAAATTCCAGCATTAAAAAGTCAACCTGAATTGCTTGACGTATGTCAAAATATTGCATCAGGTAAAATTGTGCCCGCAGCAAGTGACTCTCCACAGGTGTCAGACAAGAATTTGAAAAATAATGCTCTAGATGATGATCCAGTATTGGTCTCAAAGTACGTTTCCATTGCTATTCCGGAGTTAACTTATGGCATTGTAACTCAGGAGCTTCCACCTAATGAGGTTTCTGACCGGTTGTTGTTTATGGTTAATAATGCCAGTGTAACCAACGTGGAATCTAGAGTTAATGAGATGAAGGGCTTATTGCAACCTAACCACTATAAGTGGTTTGCTAGATATCTTGTTAACCAAAGGGCAAAATTGGAACTCAACAATCAGGAACTTTATGCTGCTATTGTTGAAAAACTTAACGCTCATGATTTCTATACCTATGTGTTGATAGTGACAATCCGACAAATTGTGTCACTATTGAACAAAACATATAGCGACCCTTCTTCATCTGTGTCTGATTTGACTTCCACTGAAAAAACTCATCTGAAAAACTTGGGAGCGTGGTTGGGTAGAATCTCATTATCAAATGATCATCCAATTTTACGTAAAGATATTGCTTTTAAGTCCTTGTTAGTAGAAGGTTATGATCAAAGAAAACTTGAATACATTGCTCCTTTTGTTTGCAAAGTTTTGGATCACACGAAAAACTCAACTGTTTTCAAATACCCAAATCCATGGTTATTGGGCATATTACAAGTTTTAAAGGAATTGTATGACGTTGCAGACTTGAAATTGACATTAAAGTTTGAAATTGAGGTTTTGTGCAATGACTTGAATATTAAGTTGGATGACATTGAGGCTTCCACTGTAATCAGAGCTCATCAACCTGGTGCTTTGGAAAACTTGGTCAATTCGCAAAAGATTCTTGTGAACATGGCTAAGATGGCACTAAATGAAAAGAAAGGAATCCCTCCTATTACTCCAACTGTTGAAATGGCAAATCTTGGAAACGCTCTGTTGCAGAGACAACAACAGCAGCAACAATCAGCTTTACAACAGGTGCAGCAACAACGTCTTCTCAATCGTAATGGTCTGCAAAATTCTCCAGCTATAGCCAATATAGCTCCTTTGGCACAGCAGGCTGCAATATTGAATGCACAACAGCAACAACAGCAACAGCAACAACAACAACAGCAGCAACAGCAACAACAGCAACAACAATCTTCTCAGGCTTTTGAGAACCTGATTGGAAATACCATTTTCATAACACATCCTGCATTGAAACGTATTTTGCAATTGTCTATCACGAAAGCAGTGAAAGATCTTTTGCCACCTTTAGTCCATAGAACAAACACTGTTTGTCTTGTCACGACCAAGACCTTGATACAGAAAGATTTTGCTTTTGAAGTAGATGATTTTAAGATCAGGAAGGCTTACATCAATACCGTAAGATATTTTGCGGAATATTTGATTTTAGCCTCTTCTACTGATTTAATTCGAGATACCATTCAAACCAATGTTCAACAGTACTTACAGACGTACATGAACTCTCTTAACACACCAGTTGATACTTCATTTGTTGAACAAATACCAGTTGCAGTCAACGACAATTTGCAATTGGCACTTTCGATTATCCAAAAAGCGGCAGTTGAAAAGGCAGTCCATGATCTTGATGATGCAATGCTTCCAGCTATTGCTTTGCGTAGACAATTCAAATCAACGTCTTCAAATCAATTGTTCTGTGATACGCAAAATGCCTCCAAATACGCTATGACTTTACCTGAGCCATTAGGTATTAAGCCGGGCGGTATTTCACATGAGCAGTACCGTATATATGACGAATTTGGTAAGGCGAGAGGAGCTGGAGTTTCTGGCCAACCGGAAGGTTTACCTGCAAGCAATTTCAATAACGAAAACCCACTTGCTGGAGGAGCAGCTCCAGACGTTAAGCAAAGGCTCTTACAACAACAATTGTTATTGCAGCAGCAACAACAAGCGCAACAGGCACAACAGGCGCAGGCACAACAAGCTAAGCTACCAGCCCAAGTGCCTGGTACTATTTTAGAGCAATCAATGAATTTCATTAATCAACATTTGGAGACTATCATAAAGACCATTAACTCTATTGACAACAAAAATATAAGGCTCTCAGATAATCTTCCTGAAACAGAACCTATAAAGTCCTTGTTAGTCGAAGTAATCCAAGCTTTGACAAGATTGGGCCAACAAGAACTTTACATGAAATATGCTCAAATAGCTCTTAACACGCTATTCGGAGTCGCTGGGCCATCCCAATTACTGATTGATTCTTTTGTTTTCATGTTAGGGAATATCTGTGATGTTTCATCTTTTGTCGTTAGATTTATTACTGCATGGTTATTCAATTCTGATGATGAACGTAAGTTAGATGTCAAGGTACTAACCACTTTCGTCCTGGAAGGCTTTATTTCTCTCAACGATCTATCATACTCTCTATGCAAACGTATCGAAGCAAACAAAGACCAAAAAGTTATTTCGTTCACCTGCGATTTAATTGAGGAATTGGTTTTTGGTGAACAACCTATTGCTTTGAGATCTGATTTTGTAAGAGTCATCGAATTGTTAGGCAGTGCAGATGAAACCATCCAAAGTATGAGTAAAGTTAAAGAGTTATTCGAGAAGTTGGCAAGCCCAGAGGGAGATGCACTTTCCAGGTTAAAAAACGGTATTCTGAAGACATCCGATGTCAAAGATTACATGGCTTACATGTTTTCTGAATGGGTTAAGCTGTATAAATTTTCAAGTGGCTCCGATTTACAAATTGCATTCATTGAACAGTTGGTCGGGTCAGGTATTATCAATAAGCCTGAGCTTTTCACTCAATTTTTTACTGTTGCAACCGAGATCGCCGTTGTTTCTTTTGTGAAAGAGAATGACAATTTCAAGAAATCATCGATTGAAACATATACAGCTGTTGACTCATTAGCCAAACTAGTCGTGACATTAATGATGATTCAAAGCGACAATGCTGGTGATAATCAAGTGAAGATTGCTTTCTTGTCCAAATTCTGTTCGGCATTTTTATTAGCATTTGCGAATGATCATGAAACCAACAAGGCCTCTTTCAATGAGCGTCCATACTTTAGATTCTTCTCCACATTAATTTGCGAGCTTTCAACATTGAAACAAAACAAATATGCTCCATTCGCTTCTTCTGTTGGAGAGGTAGAATCTCAAAATAGACTATTTGTCCAAATCTATCAATTATTGGCAGATGTTTTCTTGTGTTTACAGCCTGCAGCATTCCCCGGATTCACATACGCATGGATTTGTTTGATTTCTCATCGTATGTTCATGCCAACGATGCTCGAACTCGATGATGGGGAAAACTCATGCAGCGAGAAGTTCTCTCTTCTATTAGTTGCGTTGTTGAGATTTCAGAGTGGGTACGTGAAGGGTAAGAATATTCCTGAATCCATTACTGTCATTTACAAAGGTACCTTGAGAATTATGTTAGTATTGCTGCATGATTTCCCAGAGTTCTTGACTCAATGGTTCAACCCATTGATTTGCGCTACTTCTTTGACTTTCATCCAATTGCGCAATATTATTTTGTCGGCCGTTCCATTTGACATGGTTATCCCAGATCCATTCCAGCAAGGGTTGAAGGTCGACAGATTGCCGGAAATAAGCACTGCACCTATCGTTTCGTCTGACCCAAGTCAGCTGTTACTGAAAAAGAATATCAAGAAGACTGTCGACAATTACCTGAGAATCCCTTCAAACTCGTTGTTGAGACAGATATTACTTGTATTGGAGTTGAGTGAACCTGTAAGCGAAGGTGGGATAGGTTTCAGAAAAGTGAAGTATGACATCCCATTAATCAACTCGTTAGTCTTGTACACGGGTATTTCGTATGTTGATGAGAGGCCAAAGAACAGTTTGAACTTCAATTCCAAGTCTTCGCAGGTTTCGTTATTGACCTCGCTGATGCAAGAGGGAGACGTGGAGTTGCAATTTTTGTTGCTGCAAGCTATTTCTAACAACCTTAGATATCCGAATGCACATACTCATTGGTTCAGTTGCGTCGTCCTCAACTTCTTCAGTTCGAAGACATTATGGGCTGAAAAGAAACAAGACGTGCAGCAGTTGATCACGAGGGTGTTGTTGGAGAGGATCATCTGCAACAAACCACATCCGTGGGGATTGTTGGTTACCTTCATTGAATTGTTAAAAAACAAGGACTACGAATTTTCCAGCTTGTCATTTACCAAGCTTTCACCGGAAATCGAAAAGTTGCTCACCACGTTGATCACCCATGTACGGGGCTCTTCCTCCAACTCCGGAACCGTAGCAGCCACCCCAATTGCCGCTGAAAACAGTACATGAACCTCGTGTTTGTTTAGGCTTGCACTTCAGGTAATGCAAGCCAAAGCAGCTGTTCATATTTATTAATAATTATGTATCCATTTTTTATATTCAAACATACCTGTAGTTTACCTAGGAAAAAAGCCGAGATGACAATTTCATGCTCTTGAGCGGGGCGTGTTTTGCTTTTTGCATGAGAAAACGAGAAACTTTGGTGACACTGTATAACACACCGTTTGCAGGCTTTGACGGCAGTGGATAGGAACTAGTTTGTCGGAGAATTGTCGACAGATCAGCACAGCACAGTTGGACAGCACAAAGATGTTCAGCAGGATACGTAACCGGTTCAAAAGAGCTTCTGATGACGACGACGTGGACGACGACTCGGAATTCCGTGAAAGAGTGGCGAGGAAGATCCACTCAAGGAGACCGCCCAACACTGCATTCAGACAGCAGAGATTGAAGTCTTGGCAGCCAGTTTTGACAGCCAAGGTAGTTCTTCCCCTTCTTTTGGTGGTGGCGGTGATTTTCCTTCCGATTGGGATCGGAATATTTCTCACGACGTACCGGGTGCAGCTCGTGCAAATCAACTACAGCAACTGCGATACGCTGGCCTCGTCGGACCTTAGTGACATCGCTAGCCGCAACTACCACTACCATTTTAAGGGAACAAAGAAGTCATCGGCACAGTGGTCCTACGATGGGGACTCGAAGGTGTGCACCGTGCAGTTTGAGATTCCCGAAGACATCAAGGGGAACCTTTTTATGTATTACAAGCTGACTAACTTCTACCAAAACCACAGAAAATACGTCGAGTCGTATGACTGGAACCAGCTGCGAGGAGAGGCGGTGTCGTGGGATGACCTTTCGGACAAATGCGAGCCTATGCGGTATCGGGACAACAAGATCATCTATCCTGCGGGCTTGGTAGCCAACTCGCTCTTCAACGATACCTTCTCGGACCTCGTGAACGTCGACGATCCATCCAGGAACTACAGCTTCTCTCACCAGGGAATCGCATGGAAGTCCGATCTCGGAATATACAAGACCAGTCAGTACAACGTTTCCGAAATCGTTCCACCCATCAACTGGCTCGAGCGGTATCCCTCAGGCTACACCGCGGACGATCTCGCCGAGATCTCCAGCAACGAGCACCTCATGAACTGGATGAAGACAGCGGCTCTTCCAAGTTTCATGAAGCTATACGGACAGAACAAGGAGAAAGACAACGTGCTACATGCGGGGAAGTACCAGGTCAAAATCGGAATGAGGTACCCCGTCACCATCTTCGGCGGCACGAAGACGCTGATTGTCACCACCTCGAGTGTCGTTGGCGGCAGGCACATGGGTCTAGGCATTTGCTACCTCGTTGCTGGCGGCCTCTCGGTTCTGTTCATGATCGTCTTCCTTGTCAAGCAGCTCTTGACCAGAAACAGACGGGAGCATGCGTTTTTGGACAGCTTGAACGACGGCCATCCGTTGAACAGCGAGTCTGGTGGCTTGAGGCAGGTCCTATAATGTAGCGTACTGTGTATGAGAGCACCCGAGCAGATCGGATAAATGATACAATACATAACATTGTAAACGCAGCTGCCGTGGCAGCGAGCCCGAAGGGGAAGTGAGAAGACGGGGCGGTGCGTCGGGGGAGCTTTGTTTGGGGGAGAGAGGTAGGGGTCGGCGGGAGGTCAAGCGATCAAAGTGGGTCACCTGGATGGGTGGACAGGTGATCAGAGAAGGGCTTTGGGTCGGGAGAGGAGGATCAGACTCGACACAGAGACACAGAGACATAGCACGGAAACGATGAGCAGGGCCAAGAGAATTGCCAAGGAGCTTGAAGACGTGAGAAAGGACAGATTGTCTGGGGTGACGTTAGAGATGGCGGAAGACGGTGATCTTTCACACCTCAAGGGCACGTTTGTAGGGCCCCCGGGCACCCCCTACGAGGGAGGTCTCTTTGAGGTGGACATCAAGATCCCGGAAGAGTACCCGTTCAAGCCGCCGATCATGAAGTTCGACACGAGGGTTTTCCATCCGAATATCTCGTCGCAGACGGGGGCAATCTGTTTGGATATCTTGAAGGACGCTTGGACACCAATCTTGACGTTGAAGAGCTCACTGATCTCGTTGCAGAGCCTGCTTCAGAGTCCGGAGCCCACCGATCCACAGGATGCGCAGGTGGCCAAGTTATACTTGACCGATCCAAAGAAGTTTTCAGAAACAGCCGCTAATTGGACCAAGATCTATGCTCCCAACGACAACTACAAGCCAACCGGGAAAACAGACTACACCGATTTCACGAAGCTTGTAGAGAGCCAGCAGCTCGTTCAGGGCGACATTGACGAGTGCGAGAAGTACGGGATCAACAAGAACACTGTCAGGATTTTCGAGGACATGGGCTTTCCTAAAGACAAGATCATATTCGCCTTGAGGAAACTAAACTTGAAGTCCGTCAGAGTGGACGACGACGCTACGCAGCAGAAGGTTCTTGACGAAATTCTCAGCTAGCTAGCGTTTCGCATTCGTAGCTAGACATATATACTTGCGTATAGATGTACAAAGCTCCCGCCGGTTGTATGTAAGATATAATACATGGTGCATGATCTAATCAACAAAAGCAAATTTGAACAAGAAGAGAAGCTTTTTCGTTATACTATATTACATTACATTCAATTTATTCACGCTATAGAAATGTATATGCAAAGGTTGAAACAATGAATGAAATGATCAGTTTATAGCGATAGCTATCGAAGTAAACACGCTATTAGGATATTGAATAGTTAAAATTAAGGGGATGAAGAGCTTTTGGTTTTGAATTATAAAAAGAGATATCAAAGATATATGAATATTGTAAGGAAACATTCTATGCTTGCTCTGAGAACCTTTCATGTGTGATATACAATGCTATTTCACTTGCTTTTTTTGATTTTTTCTAGTTTTTGTCAATTTTTTCTATTTTTTTCTAGTTTTTTTCTTTTTGTTTGATATTTCTATATTTTTTTATAGTTTTGGTCTGGTTTGCAAATGCATCATCCTTTTAGTTCTAAATGATATACAATTGGACCCAGCCGTAGTCCTCTCAATTTCTCTTGTTGGCATTTTTGAAGGTGCTCGACCTTTTTTTGCCATTGGTTTTTTTCTCCCTTTTGTCTATACCGAACTGGGTCTCACCTTGGATAATCTTACCCAAAGCCAATGCTCTAGCTTGCTCTTCTTGAGAATTAAATCCCACAATTGCTGTATTGTTCTTATTTATTGTAACAATAGTAAAGTGTTTAAACTTATTGCTTGAAAATGCAGATTTTAAGTCAATTTCATCAACAGGAACAGCACTGTTTTTGAAGTTCACGTAAATTTCATACAGCTGCGGTCTGTTGAGTTGATTGGCATTCCCAGAAGTAGATGCAGAAGAAGTGACAGTAGAAGATGATGCTGCAGAGCTGGATAGTTGAGTGGATGCTGATTTTGGCGAAGGCTGAGAATGCGACTGTTGCGCCACAGTTTGTGACTGAGACAGTAGAGGAGATGCAGGTTTATTAGTGATTTTGAGTGCACTTGCCCAAGTACTGCTTGCTGAAGATGCCGGTTGAGATGCTGCTGGTGCCTTTGCCTCTTGCGCTGGTGCTGCTGGTGATGATGATGATGATGACGATGATGCTTTTTGCTTTACCGAAGGGGCTGAAGAAGGTGGCGGCGTTGGAGATGCAGAATGTAATTTTGAGGCCTCTGTAGAAGGTTTGTTAGATTTGATTGTAGTGGTGCTTAGAGGAGTGTTGGAGGATACTGGTGTAGGATTTTTGTTTTCTGTAGAAATTTGTTGAGGATGAGTTTGGTTTTCAGCTCCTCCAGCTGCTTGTGTACCATTCTGGGCTGGAATTTTAGTAGAATTGGTGGTTAAATCTTTCTTACCTGGTTCAGAAGATGTAGTGGCGGTAGGGTTGACACCATTTGATTTATTGGTTTCGGCCGATCTCGTAAGCGTGTTGACGGATGTTGCTGTTGTCGATGAGGATGGTATTTCTGATGATGATGAAGATGGGATTGTGATAGGCTGGGACGTTGGAGTAGACTTCTTCTGTTCTGTGGTGTTATTTGCAGTAGCCAACGAGGATGGCGAGGATGGAGATGACGACGTTGGGATGGTGTTTTTGGTATATTTCTTGCTGTCAGAGCTTGTTCCATTTTCTGCACCGTTGAAGCCGTTGTTAAGTTTAGATGTGGGTGGCGTTTCAACAACCTCTTGTTGAATTTGTTCTCTTGACTCCGTTGGCTTCTCCTCTACAGACTTCTGGAAAGCATCTGCCGAATGTGAGTCCTGTGAAACAGAAGTAGACACACCGTTCAACTCAACGTTCATGTAGTCAGAATCCGGTATAAAAGTGAGTATATCGCTTCTTATATCGTAGTTATCCTTCGATGGATGGGGTTGAAGTATGAATGTTTGGGTAAATAGTCTGGTTGGTGAGATCACACTTTCAATTTCGTAATCCTCCCTGAGAAGCAGTTCACCCACAACGTTCGTCACAAGCGAGTTGTCTGAATTATGGATTGTATTGACGGTTAATATTACAAGTTTTGCGCCTGAGAGACTTGGAAGCGATTTCCAGTACTTCTTTATATTGTCGAAATCATGATAATTGGTTGATATGGCCTTGAACGGGTCTGACGTGTGATCCATATGTTTCAACACGGCATCCGGAGCGTACAACTGATAGAGTTTTGAGCAGTCAGAGCTCAACTTGCTGTAGTAGTATTTTATAAAGTCATTGGTGATATGATTAGGGTCTTTCTCGTAATCTGCAAGAGTCATTTTTTCATGTGGGGGTGTTACTATTCAATCTATTTTCTTCACGATTGCGTCGCTCTATGTGCCTCTATCTGTGGTTTTTTCTTCGTTTCTGTGCCAGGTGCTTTTATGGTCGTGACTGTCTTTGTATTACAACGAGATCGGCTCGGGGTGTTGCGATCAACCCTGATCCACACACTTGCGGAGGTTACAGAACACCACCCACCTCCTCTTGCCACTCAGAAACTTCCTCGTCTCGAAAAATCGAGGAGCGCTCCTCTTGCTGGCACGGGCAGCGGGGTGGCAGAACAAGAATGAACCAGATCAAAGTGAAGAAGGTTACAAGGTGACAAAGGTTACAAGGTGAAAATGTGATTGCCACAAAGGTGGATCAGTTATACACGAGTCTAAAATAAAAAGGGGAGGTTTCAACGGTTCACAAACATCATTCTAGGAGAAACCATGCTTTTGGCGTCTCCGTTGAGACCGCCAGGTTGACCATTATTGGCCCCAGTGATGCCATTTTGGACATTGACCATGCTATTCATGTTATTCATGTTCGACATGTTGTTCATGTTGTTCATGTTGTTCATGCTTCCCATGTTGTTCATGCCATTCACGCCAGCAATGTTCATGTTCATATTATTGAGGTTGTTCATGCCGTTCATGTTCATATTGTTCATATTGTTCATGCCGTTCATGTTGTTCATACCATTCATGCTGTTGATGCCGCTCATGTTGCTCATGTTGTCCATGTTGTTCATGTTGTTCATGTTGTTCATGTTGTTCATGTTGTTCATGTTGCTCATGTTGTTCATGTTATTCATGTTGTTCATCCCGTTCATCCCGTTCAAAGCATTCAAGGTATTCATAGTATTCATATTGTTCATGCTGTTCATGTTACTCATGTTGTTCATGTTGTTCATGCCATTCACATTATTGATGCCGTTCATACCATTAATACCATTAATACCGCTCATACCGTTCATTCCATTCATGCCGCTCATGTTAGCCATGTTCATGCCATTTATGTGCATCCCATTGATCCCACTATTGATATTGTTAGGACCGTTGATGCCATTGGAATTGATTCCATTCATATTCATGCCCCCACCAGCCATATTACTCATATTGATATTATTCAGATTGTTCATATTGTTGATGTTATTCACATTCATGTTGTTCATATTAGAAAAGTACTGCTGGTTTGGATTGACTCCTGTATTTGCACTTGGAAGTTGACCCTGTTTGGCGGCCTGCCTTTGGAGGTCATTTTGACCTTGATTCTGTGATGCCTGTGAATTGCTATTTCTCGAAAGTAGGTGCTGGGCTTGAAGATGTGGTACCTGGTTCACGTTTGCATTAGACGTCGATTCAGTAGCTTGATTTCCATTGCTTGTAGTTGTATTAACAGTGGCAGTGGAGGTAGGAGTATTTGTAGAATTGTGTTGCTGTTGTTGTTGGAACAGCAGTTGTAAAGGCTGTAACATCGGTTGACCTGGCTGTTGTTGTGATTGGGTGGAATCATGATTCAATTCGCCATCCATCGTAATTGCTTGGCCTTGGCCATCTAATGATGAGGATTGGTTGGCTGTTGCTGCACCGACCAGATTATTTGAAAGCGCATGCTTCTTGAAAGTACCATCATCATTCAAACCGAATATTTGGTTCTTCAATTCCTCAAATTCGGCAAGATTGCTTAATCTCTTTAGTTCCCAAAAGCAAAGGTAAGTTAGTAACGACTGGCCTCCAACTTGAGTCAAGTTGCTCATATTAAGTAATCTATTAAACCCTAAATCATCACCCAAACTTTCTAATGTAACGCCATTTTTATAACTTCCAATGGAGTTCAAGCTTGAGATTAGTTTGATGTCATAAAAGTTAGAGAAGTATTTTACCATGATATTGTCGAACTCAGTTTCACTTGACGACATCTCTTTATTGATCATCAGAGAGATCAAAAACCCAAAATCGTAGCCTGCGTGGAAACTAACCCATGTGACATTATCCAAAAGACATAATCCACTGTCGATTAAGGATTGTGCAAACTCAAACCTGTCAATTCCACTCTTTTTCAGTTTGTCAAAATTCACACCTGTGTTTGTTAGCAGTTCAATAGATTCTTTGTTGAACATTTCTTTCTCGAGGTCGAAAGTAAAATTGAACTGCCATGTTGAAGGAACATCCTCCGGTCTCTTACCATCTTTATCACACAAGGTGATACCAATTTGTATCAAATTTAGTAGGTCTGCATTGGATCTCATAGTTTGATAGTGGTAATCTTTTGTTGATCTGAATGATCCTATTGGTCTAGCAATTATTCCTGCAAATTCAGTTGATAGGAAAATATGGTTATATCTCTCTGCAAGCTGTCTAATAACAACAAGCTCACTTTCCAGATTGTCTTTCCAAACTTCTCTGACCATCATTTGATACTGATATCTCTGTAATAACTGAAGAGAGTTAGAGTCCTCTTGCTGTGATAGGCTCGGTGGAGTGGATGTATTTGCTTGTTGTTGCTGCTGTTGGAATTGTTGTAGTTGTGGTAATGACAAGATTTTCTGAGCTTGGTTAGTTACATTAGGGTCAACCGAGTTGAGATTGAGATTAGGATTTGTATTAGGAGTCAAAGCCGGTTGATTCACATTCTGTGCCGCACCAACAACAGAGTTTTGATTCTGGCCGGGAACTTGGCCCTGAGCTTGCAATCTTCTGGCGGTCAAGAGCTCTTGTTGTTGGAGTTGGAGCTGTTGAAAAAGTTGCTGCGAATGTTGTAAGTTCGAAGGTTGAGCCTGGGATTGGGCCTGTGCTTGTAATTGCGATTGTGCTTGTGCTTGTGATTGGGGCTGGGCTTGAGACTGCTGAGACTGCGCCGCCTGTTGGGTTGATTGTTGGAGAGCCGCCAGAGCTTGTTGCTGCAAACTTCTATTTTGGAGCTGTGGAGAAAGCAACATCGACAGTGGTATCTGCTGATTTGCAGGCGTGTTCCCTTTCTGAACCTGGTTGGAGTTCCCACTACTATTACCGCTATTGTTATTGCTGTTCGTGCTGTTCTGGCTTTCCTGCTGCTGTTGCTGCTGCTGTAGCAGTGATAACAATCGTAGTTGCTGCTGTTGTTGCGCCGACAGGGTATGTTGGGGTTGGCCTTGCATACTGATTTGTTTTTGCAGCTGTTTCACGCCCTGCTGTCTCCCCTACCTTGTTTGTGATCTCTCTATGCTGTCCTTGTCGTCCAACGCTCATTTATTCCCGTCCAATTTCCTCACCTTCTCCCTGCTTTCGCCCTTAACACAGAAAGCACCTATTACGTTACGTAAGCATAGGATCACAGAATCTAAGGGCTTGGGCAAAGGCATTAGACGAATCCAGTTGCAATACCTTTGTGATAGCAGAATAATCAGGCTTAAGGACAGGTGAATTGCTGTTAGACCATTGCTGAACCACAGTGTTTCCTGAAAATGACCAATTCCGGTCTTTGCAACACTTTGGCTGGGTCAATCGATCAAAAAAAGCATCTGTGATCTTCAAGCCAAGATAGGAGATAACGATAGAGGGTAGGTTCATATGCGTCGAAAGAATGGGTTAATTGATACTGTAAATATGAAAGAGATAATTTACATGTTATAATATAGATAAGATTAGCAAAACAGAACGGCAAAGGTTGAACATTGCGAATGTAGCGGCGACAGAAGTGAAAATGAAGTGAAAGAGAGGTGGAATGGGGTCGGACCTAGATCACACCTTGGCCTTCTTAGTCGGACGTTCCTCTTCCTTGGCGTCCTCGGCCTCTTCTGAAGCTGAACCTTCAGCCTTTTCGAGATCCTCAACTTCATCGTTGTATTCTTCTTGTTCAGCCGCCAATGCAGCTGCTTCCCTTTCGGCTCTCTTTCTCTTGTGGTGGGCCTTCTTGTCATCGCCTGTTCTGACTTCAGTATCCTCAGGAGGAGGAACAAACCAAGGGATCTTTCCACGGTTAAAGTCCTGAATGACCTGTCTTGCAACACCAGTCTCGTCTGGTTCGGCACCGCGAAGGAGCTTACCTGTCTTTCTGGCTAAGATTTCTATGAAGTCCTCGGAGTCCTTCCAACCGCTTATCTCGTACGTTCTCTCCAAATGCTTCCTCTGGCACTTGGCTAGTAGGTCGGGTATGTACTGTTCTGGGTGGGAAACATGTTCGACTCTGACCACACCTCTGAATAAAATATCGGACTGCGAGTCCTTAGTTGACGGTGGAACAATACCTGGACAGTCAATCAAAAAGATTCTTTTCATCAATGTGATGTACTGCCAGACCTTTGTTTCACCAGGAATTGGAGCGACCTGGCAGACCTTCTTACGTCTCAAAGTGTTGATGATACTGGACTTACCAGTGTTTGGATATCCAATGAACCCAACGGAAATTTGCTTTCTGTCCTTGTGAAGAACTGAGAATTGTCGAAGTAACTGGATTAATGAACCCTTACCAAAGGAGTTGGTAATCGAGGCGTGGAACGCCAATGTTGGGTAATCTTTGGATAAATGTTTAACCCAGGCAGCCTTTACGGAAAAAAGAGAAAACAATAAATGGAAATTTGATGTTAGTATTGGTTACTTGGATATTGGTCAGTGGACATTGATCTCCAGTCAAAACAGTTCACTCATTATCTTAAAGTTAAAATTTTGGGTGTGTGATTTCTTACTACGAACAAAGAGATGGTAGAAATTTTCCAAAAGAAAACACTGCTCTAGGTTCAACTCATAGATTTCACGATGCGTCTAGGATGACGTCTCAAAACGAGGCATCAGTGGCCAAAAGAACCCAAAACGGGAAGATGGCCGGGCGACGATCTTGCTCTTCCAAAGATGTAACAGACAGACTATATATAGAGGAGTGACATAATAAGACGTCACTCAATAGAATATCCTGACAAAATCTTTGGGACTAATGAATAAAACTGTTCCTTCATGGGAAAAAAAATGTTAGCAACTTGTGAATATTTCATTGTGATACTTACGGCAACCCACGTTGGGACTAAATCACACTTGTTCAATACATAGATCAAATGCTTGTGAGGACATTCCTTTTGGACATATTGTTCAACTGAAGTACACCTTGTTCCTAATGGATCTCTTGCATCCAACACATGGATAATGACATCGGAAGAGTCAATGACCTTGTACAACTCATTCCAGATTCTCTTCGACTGACCCTTGGAGAAAATGTATTCTTTGGCTTCGGCCGTGTAGTCGTCGGTGTCCACTCCGCCCATCAACCCGAGAGTTGGTTTCAATATCTGCTCCTCTTCGAATTTCTCATTATCCTTGCTGGTGATATCAGCCAATTCTTCTAACGAGGATGCTGCAATGTTGGATTTCTTTCTCTGGGCCTTAGGACCAAACGTACTAGCGTAAGTCTCAGTTTCTAAGATTTTTGCACTAGGAGATTCGGTGGCATCCTTTTCGTCTAGCAAAGACATTGGCAACTTATTTCTCTTCAAAAGCACAGAGTAAGTGTCGTGTTGTTTGTCGGCCATTGCATCTCTAAAGTGAGACAATGCATCTTGAGCAATGACTCTGGTGTTTCCAAACCACCTTCTGTTTGGATCAACTCTGGCGGTAGGTGTTTTCGTGTCTTGTAAATAGGCAGCTTTTATGACCTCACCTTTAGCATTACGGACTGCACCTCCGGATTTATACATGTTCAGATGTTTGACCTTCTTTGCATCTCTGTAGAAATTCTCACCCTTGACACGGAGGTTACCATCTCTGAGATCCCCCTGTCTTTGACGACGTGCCTTCTCTGTCTTTCCGGTAGCCATTGCAGTTCAAGTCAATGCTGGTTTCAACGCAATTTACCGAGGTATATGTTCAGACATCAACAAGTAGAAGGAAGATGATATAAATTGAAAGAAAAAAATTTTCAGTTATCACAAAAAAAAAATTCAAAAAAAAAGCAGGGAAAAAAAAGGTCTCGCTTAAATTACTGCTTTTGGACGAACCAGCTTACCCGGGGAAACACGCTTTGCGGCATGAATGAAAGAGAGTTGCACCTAGATAAGGGTTTCGTCCAGTAAAGCTGTACACAAGGGGTCAAGAGGAGTCATTGGAGTTGAAGAAAGAGCGCCTATAGTAGCTGTTAAAATGGAGAACATTGAATGGGAAGAGTTAGATAACTTGGCGATGTCTTCTCCCAAGAAGAGACTTGTTCAGGCAAAGCCGAACCACGGTTCGACAGCACCACCCAGGGAAGGAAACAACAACATCGAACTGGGAGAATTCAACCTTGAGTTTTTTGACAAGCAGCTGGCCAATTCGAGGTCATTATCTCCCGTGCGATTGCCTTCAAGAAATGGGACAAGCATTGCAAACAAGGAGGAAAAGGTTACTAGCTTTCAAAAGGATCACAGTGGTAGTGGATTGAGCGGTAATTCCCTTGACAAGAGTACCCACAAACACAACAGCTCGGGGTCTTCTGATGAGGAGGTGGTCAACATATCTACCTCCTCTTCTTCTAACAAGTCGGAGGCTGAGATAGCCATACAAAAGGTCAAGGATTTTATTGAAAGCAAGAGGAAAATGATAAAAAAAGACACCAACGTAACAGGTCTACGAACGTCCTCGTCTAAGAAGGTGGGGAAAGCGGAACCAGGAAGGAGAGGTCCGGGAAAGGTGAAGGCGAAAATTAATCCTAGCCAGCATCGGAAAAATTTGAGAAGACTGATACATGAAATTCACAAGCTACCGTACAACTCCGATTGGAATGCCAAGGAATGGCATTTGCTGCAGGAGTATTTGAACGAATGGAAGCTTAGTGAAGACGATGACATGTTTCAGCCGGTTGTTTTGAGGGATCTTTTCAATTGCACTGTTTCGGAGCTGGAAATTCGTATAGGCAGCTTGAGGAAGTTTGTACGCTGGAAAAAGAAAAAAGTGCAAGAGAATGTTGCTAACTAAATGACACTTACTGTATTTAATTGTTTGTTTGCTACACATAATTCGACAAACTAATTTGTTAACTAAATAAGAGGTTGACCAAATGAAGGCCTTGCTCGTGAAGAGGGAAGGCTGCATCATTAAAAAGAAATGAAATCAAAACCTGAGAAATAAAACTAGTAGGAGAAGAAGAGGAAGGGGAGAGGAATAAAAAACATTTGAGTAGATCAGGTCGGATAAGAGCTGTTGGAGCCGAAGAGCTCAACAGGGGTGATTGATATGGATACCTTCGAGTATCTTTATCTTTTATAATGATTGTTGCTTCCTATTTTGTAATGTAATGCATTGTACTATATGTTAATCGATCTTGTTGAGATGATAAGGACGCAATATTAGGTTCGATTAGATTAAAGTAGGTTGTATTATGGTGACTGTATTATTATGATATAATCGTGGCACAATTAGATTATCAGCTTGTACTGTGATAACTATTATATTCCCTGGACAATCTGTTGGTCAGTGATGTACGGAATGTTGATTCTGAGTCTATGACTCGAAGGCAACTTTGGAATCACCACAATCAAGCATGCAATCAAATTTATGACAAACAAGGTGAGATCGTAGTTGGAGTAGTGTGTGGATATCAAGAACAAGCAGATTGGAACGCCCAACAAAAACTTCTTGACAGGGGTGAACTGGGCCCCGTTGTCGATTTGTTCCCACATGTTCAAGTTGTCAAACGCGCCGTTGTTGAAATCGAATGGCGTGCCCTTGACCTGGTGGAACATTATGTAGGACCCGATGACGTAGGTCACGTTGGTCAAGGTCCAGCTCACCTCATTGCTGAATATAGGCATCAAATCGTAGAAGAACTTCAACATCATGATCACGACAATATGAATGATCCATGCGCCTTTGAAGTGCACCCAGTTGGCGTTCATGTTGTCCATGACGTCCTGGTCCTGCTTCGTTTCAAACGTTTCCGGCTCGACTTTGGAGATCAAGGACGACGATCTTCTACGCCTGTGGCCCTTGTCTTGGGCATGGGATGTCGTTGGGGAGAGAGCTAATTTTTCAGGACTCGAAGGAGGGGCAGGGAAGGGCTCTGCTTTGATCACAGGAGAAGATGGTGACATTGCGTGTTGCTGTTAGACGTTGGTTCTGTTCCAGACTGGTGTTCTCTGGTTATTGCTGCTCGTTTAGGGTTAGGCGGAGCAAGGGCAAACGAGTATGAATATAGTGTGTAGAGGGTCTTTTTGCAGGGAGACTGACTGTACTGCACAACGGGTCTTTCTGGGGGGTCGAGTTCTTCACCGTTCTTTGTGTCGCTATGTGTCGGACAAGTGCTGTTGCTGGCACACGGTAAGGGGGCAGGTTAGTTGCAGGAGGGCGAAACGACACGACTACGCAATGGCACGCCTCCGCAGGAGAAGTGAAGTGTCATCCAGCACCGTGCTCTCTTGCTGGCGTCGTGGAGGCCAGGCAAGTAGCGTGAACATCTCTCCGATTTGGCAGATGCGCGCCAAGGGGCGGAGGAGGGCCAGTAGTGAGCCGGGTCTGGCACAGTCTGAGTTTGCAAAATTTGACAAATAAATAAGTGTTTATATAGGGATTATGGATGGGGGAGGACAGAAGCAGCTCCAGAGAGCCGTGCTGTCGTCGGCTGTAACAAGAAGTAAAAAAGGGGAGATAAAAACTGGCAGAAGAAATGGAATATGAATGGATGGAAAAGTGAGGTGGTGGCTAAGCGAACGGGCGGAATCTAAGCGTCGACCTTGGCCTGTTTCACCTTCAACTTGGCCAACTTGTCGTACTCGCCGGAGAGGATTCTCTCCACAATGACGTCGTCGTTCTTGTCGAAGCCGGCGAGGTCGAACTTGTAGCTTGTTGGGTCGTCACCGTATTTCTTGAAGGTGTCCAAGACCGCTGTGTCGTTTTCGTCCTGGGCCTTGGCCTTGACTCTGTAGAGCAACTCTCTCTTGGCCCATTCGGTGATGTCCATGTCGTCTCTGAAGAAGACGCTGACCGCAAGGAAGACGAACGCAGGAACAAAGAGGATGTGCGCCAGGTTCTCCCACCCCTCCTTCTCCTCGCCGTCTCTGACAACCTTCCACTTGATCTCGCCCGTGGCCGTGTCCTCGTAAGGGATCTTGTCAATGATGAGTCCCGACGACGCCTTCAACTTGTAGAGGTCGGCGTCGTTCTTCAGGTACAGGTCCTCGTACCGCTTAGGGAAGGTAAACAACTGCTCAAAGAGAGACAGCTTTCTCTCCTTCGAGTAGGTGTTCAAGTATGCAATGGTCTTCAACTCGGTATCGGATGGCGTTCTCTTCGACCCGTCCTCGTTCTGGAAGAGAAACTCGAAGGTAGGAAGCTTATCTAGCAGCTCACGGCACTTGACTTCTGCGTCCACGTCGACCTTGGCTGGCGCCGAGATGTGGAACGCTCTCGTCGAGGCTAGCGTGCATCTGGTGGTGTTCTTTAAGAAGGATCTAGCCAACATCGTGCTCGTGGATGTTTGTCTGTGTCTGGATGTCTCTGGTATGACCTGCCACTGCTCCTTTCTGCGCTGAGCTGCCTTTAACCACCTTCTTCCTGCCTCCTTGTCCGTATGTGCCTCTCTCTTCTCTGCTCTCCCGCTCTCTCTTTCTCGCTGAGTGGGGAAGAGTTTTTCCTGGCTTGGGCTTCCGTGCACCGTTTGGTAAAATAATGCTGACGTAATAATCCGGGGAGTCGACATGTTTCTGATCTTAGAAGGATCACGTCCAGCTCCAATGGTGTACCTACTCTTCACGGCTTAAAGGTGTTGGAAAAGGGTAGAAAGACCTTCTGGTGTGGTGTTCCTATGGCTGCAGTTCTGGTTGAGCTCGAGAAGTCCTTAACGCCGGATGAAAACTCTGAGTTCCGGGGTCCCTGTCTCGGCTCCTGCTTCGTTCCGGTGCTGGAACCGGAGGTCAGTCTGTTGGTTTCGTTCTACCCTGGGCATATTGTTGTCTCATCGACGGCGGCAGAGACTGTGGCGTCGTTCCGCACGCTGAATAGAATTGTAGCGTTTAACACGGTCCTCCCGGCAGGTCTGCAGACGCACTGGTTGGTTGTTCTCACGGAGATCAACGAGTTGTACGTGTTGTCGCTGAGCGGCGGCAGCGGCGGCAGCGGAAAGACACTGGACCTCATTGTGGTCCAGCATTTCAAGCTTACAGACTCTCTCCTGCGGAACAAGGTGGCTGTTGACGACGCGGCCAGGAAGAAGGTGGTCGTGGCGCAGAAGTGTTTCATCAGGGTGGACGAAACGGGCCGGTTCATAGTCGTCCATTCCTGCCGCCGGTTTGTGGTGGTGCTCGAGCTCAAGCCGTCGAAGAAGGAGCTGTTCCGCCTGGCGTCCATTAACAAGATCCCGCCGCACGTGCGGAAGAACCCCGAGTTGGCGGCGATCGGCAAGTACAAGGTTTTCGGCACCCCGGAGGTGTATGCGGTGGACGACGACATGATCATTGACGTGGAGGTGCTGCACAGCAGGGACGCAAACGATGACCCGGTGTGGTCGCTGGTGCTTCTATTGCGAAATAAGAGGTTGGACTACGAGTTGAGCTTTTACAAACTGTCCACGCGTCAGGGTGGCGGTTTGGAGTTGCAGACCCGACTTCCGGCCGGCGACACGTACCCGAACCTGATTATACCGATGAACAAGTTCGTGATGCTCATCTACGACACATACCACATGATTTACGGTTGTTCAGATATGTCCATGGTCAAGGACTTCCAACCAGCAGTTGACGGAACCTCCGCTGTCGAACTTGACGGGGACCGAAGGTGCTTGAAACAAGACTTGTTTGTCGACAGCGGAAGGAACAGTTTCTTTAAGTCCTACGCTTTGCTGGACGACAAAACCATCATGCTGGTGACTGCTTCTTTGGAGTACTATGTGGTCGAACTAGACTACGAGTACATCCCTTATGACACTTCTTCTTTGAGAACAAGAAGCAAGGTACTCATCGAAGACAGCGGTATGCAGAACACGCTCATCTTTAGGAAATGGGATATCAAAGAGGTCCATGATTTCAGCAGTCCTTTCCAGCCAGACGAGATTTTCTTCTTCCCCGAGAAAGACTCGTTTCTGATTGTCAGTAAACATGGACAGATAGCGTCTTTTTCACCTGGAGATATCAGCTCCCTGCCAACGAAAATGCAACATAGTTTGAGCTTGCCCATCACAGATTTGAAAATAGACAACGACTCAAATGTAAGTTTTACCAGTGGTGATTTGCAACTGGCACGTTTTAAATCTCCTCATTTGGAGCTTTCTTCGGCGAATGAAGTAATGAAGGATCATATCGTGATAGATCCCTTCACTATTATCTTAACCGAAGCAATAGTGCATGACATGAGCTCCTCATCGAGCCATGAGACCATAGAGAGACTCAATGTCTACCGCCCTGATGGCAGCTGCATTGCAACCTATGACATGGAGGAAAATGTCTCAGTAACATGCATGGTTCCACTGAACAATGTTAAAACATTTAAGTCCGACGACAACGATTTTCACAGAAACGACATTTTGGAGGTGGAAAGATCTCTTGAAAAGTCATTCCTTGTGCTCACTACGAGTGCTAATGACTATGATTATGAAAGTGACGACGAGTTTTTCCAGAGAAGAAGGACAGAGATTTTATTGATGGTTATTAACGCAGAAAATGATGAGTTGGAGTTGAAGACCATTTCAGTCTTGAAAGCCAAAGTCGATTGCGCAGAGCAAACCAATAAAATGGTATTTACGTTGTGGGGGGTGGGCTGCAGCTTCAGACTCGGTCTACAGGTCTACAAGGACGAGGAGGAGGAAAGCAAGAAGTCGTCCTTGCAGGTGAAGATAATCAAGATAGGTGAGAAGCTGAATTTGCCCATCAACACCGTTTCAATGGTAAGGGATTTGAAGAAGGGTTTGAAGTTGCTGGTCGATCCGTTCTTCGGCGTGTATTTGGCTAAACTTGATATTGACGACAAGTTATTGAGCATGCACGAGGTTTTCGAGTGGAACATGATTTCTGCTCTTGACGTGTACTCGGAAGATATGTTTGTTGCGGGCGATCTTTTGGGCAACATTTTCCTCCTCAACATGGACTATACGGGGAAGGATATTCCGAGCTGCGTGCTATTCACGAGTTTTAATTGCACACATGGCGCAATCGGGTGCATAAGCTGCTATCCTGAATACGCAAAGCAGAGAAAAGACTCGCTGCTCAAAGTTTGTTCCGCTGGGACCTCTGACGGGGCCATAGTCAGTATCCATGTCTGTGGAGATACTCGGGATACTGAGTTTGTGAAGGCTTTGAAAGCACAGAACACACGCATTTTAAAGAAGAGTGGCATCTACTTTGAGCAGGTTTCTCGGAACCTTGTTGTGCCGAAAGTGGACCTCCGAGCGGTTGATCCTGTTGAGGCATACCTGGAGTGCGAGCCGCTTATGGAGGACCGGTTTATCAAGGTGTCGCTGGCCTCCAACAACGAGCTGGATGAGGCAAGGGGGGTGCCTGTTGTGTTTCTCTAGACATTAGACTGTAGAAAAACTTTGTACCTTTATCACCGAAAACAAAAAGTAATAATGGACGAGACCGGAGTCGAACCGATGACCTTTCGCTTGCAAGGCGAACGCGCTACCAACTACGCCACACGCCCAGTAATAAAGAATGGTCCCTAGCAGGATCGAACTGCTGATCTTGGCGTTATTAGCACCACGCCTTAACCAACTGGGCCAAGGGACCATTTCTGTGCTTTCAATTTTTGGCATTTTCCATGTAGTCCCAACAGATGTCACGTGCTGGAAACATCTTCTGCTGTCAGCCTTGTAAAACCCATGTACACCTTGTTTCTGCTGTGATAACCTTGTCATCATTTGTGTGACATCCTCTTTGAGCTTGTTATTACATAAGCACAACAACAAAGCACACATCGCACGCACTTTCCGAAAACACCTGTGCACCAACACAAGCCTTGCCACCCATGGCGTTCGCCCTCCTCCCTTTCTCCTTTTCTCTTTTCCTTTACTCTCTCGCCACGCGTTTCTCTCACTGAGGGAGTTTGCACGCTCGCCCGCTGGCTGGGCGACACATCGCAGTGCGGAAATGCCAAAAAATAATATATACCCAAAATAAGACGAAGTGCCTTGTGGCTCGAGCTCGATGACGGTTCTCTGTGGACTCAGAGCTGGTTGTTTTCCTATCGGAAAGGTTTGGTGCTAATCGACACGATTGCCGACAACTGCGAAAAATACCCCCACTAGTGCATCTGATATTCTGGCGCGTTTTCATCCTGTGTTGAACTGTTTTTGCTGCTCCTAAAGTGTTATTTGAGCAGTTTGTGATAATAGGAAAAAGTGAACCGATTTGGAGTGTCTGCTCATATCCAGCGACTGCCAAACGCAAGACGAGAAAGAAACAACAAGCCAGAAATTGGCCTGAAGCATTCATATACAGAGACTTTTGCATTTCGCAAGATTGACAGAGAATTCTGGCGAGAACCTGCACAGTTAGTAGACAAGTTTTGAAACAACGAAAAGAAGAGAAAAAGAAGGAAAATGAGTGCAGCATCTGTAAGACAGTACGGCGTGACTCCTCCGATATCTACAGAGGGCCCGACAAAGGCGGAGATCGCGTTAAACGACTCGATGATTGAGGAGTTGCGTAACCAGAAGTCGTTTGAGTCCGAGGTGGAGACCGAGAAGAGGAGGAAGGTGTTGGCCATCTTGCAGCAGTTGACACAGACTTTTGTGTACACGGTCTCGAGGACGAAGAACATGAGCGAGGGCATGGCGAAGGACGCTGGAGGCAAGATCTTCACGTTCGGCTCGTACAGGTTGGGGGTCTACGGACCCGGCTCAGATATCGACACCCTTGTAGTCGTGCCCAAGCATGTGACGAGAGAGGACTTTTTCACGGTATTCTACGACATGCTCAAGAAGAGACCAGAGCTGCAGAAGATTCAGCCTGTGCCAGATGCCTTTGTTCCGATCATCAAGACGATTTTCGACGGCGTCGACATCGACTTGCTCTGCGGCCGCTTGGACATACCGCAGGTGCCTCTCGACCTCACGCTAGAGGACAACAATTTGTTGAGAAACATTGACGACAAGGACTTGAGGGCCTTGAACGGGACCAGAGTGACCGATCAAATCCTTCAGCTGGTTCCGCAGAAAACCGTCTTCCGCCATGCTCTCCGAACCATCAAGCTTTGGGCGCAGAGGAGGGCCATTTACGCCAACATGTTTGGCTTCCCAGGTGGTGTTGCCTGGGCAATGCTTGTTGCTAGAATATGCCAGTTGTATCCAAACGCCGTTGGTGCCGTCATTGTCTCCAAGTTTTTCCACATATACCTTCAGTGGAAGTGGCCGCAGCCGGTGTTATTGAAGCCAATTGAGGACGGTCCACTTCCGGTGAGAATCTGGAACCCCAAGTTGTACGGACAAGACAAGGGCCATCGGATGCCTGTGATTACCCCTGCTTACCCATCGATGTGTGCCACGCACAATATCACTGCCTCGACGCAGAAGATCATCATGCAGGAGATGAAGCGGGCGTTGGGCATCATGAACGAGATCCAGCAGGAAAAGAAGACGTGGAGCGACCTGTTTGTCAAGCACGACTATTTCTATCGCTACAAGTACTACTTGACGGTGATAACGTCGACACGAGGCAAGTATGAGGACCATATCAAGTGGTGCGGTATGGTTGAGTCGAAGCTCCGGTTGCTAGTGTTGAAGATCGAAAACATCACGGGCATAGTCTTGGCGCACCCGTACGTGAAGCCGTTCACGGTGTCGTACATCTGCGACACGGAGGAGCAGGTGTCGATAATAAGCCAGCTCTACGGCACGCTCGACGGCGAGAAGTACGCGCAGGAGCACCTCAAGGAGGTGAAGATTGACGAGGACACCGACACAGTCAAGCTCGAAGAAGAGGTCAAGAAGAGCGGTAAGCACTTTGTGCATCTGATGAAGCTTTACATCGGCTTGGAGTTGGACCTCAAGGGCAAGGAGAAGAAGATGAACATCCAGGTGCCATGCACGGAATTCGACCAAATCTGCAAGAACTGGGTCTTCTACAAGAAGGAGGTGTTTTCTTTGAGCATCAAGTACGTGAAGCTCTGGGACCTGCCCAACGACGTCTACGGCGACGCCGAAAGTCGTCCGTCCAAGACCAAAAAGCGCAAGACCGACAAGAACGGCAGCATCAACAAAAAGATCAAGATGGTGGAGAGCGGCAGCGAGAGCGTGAGCTCCACTCCGAACAGTTCTGCCGGCGGCCTCGCCGCAGCCTCCTCCACTTTCTCTTCCGCTCCCGGCGAGAAGGTCACCGGGACCGTCTCGATGTCCAGCTGACCGGAGGTGCCAGCAAACCATAGCATAGCATAGCAGAGAAGAAGAAGCAGGCCCTTTATACTATATAGAAGAACGTGTAACTACAATCATCACCACCGAGCTACGATAAGCCCGACCCCCGGGTGCGGGAGCGACGCGTCGGCCGCTTTGGTTCTGTTTTCCCCGGGCGGTGAGCTTTCCGCTTTCTGTAAGGGAGAGAGGGCAGGAGGGCAGAGGCAGGAGGAGGGGGAGGGCAGAAGAGGAACAAACAGGAGCCGGCTCGTCGTTTTTGTTCCGGACTGCAGTGGTGCTGGGAGGCATTGGCCAGCAGAGAAAGGTCAGGCAAAACACCGCTTGATAGAACAACAAGGCACAGACACAGACACAGCGTCACAATGCACTCATTGAAGTCGAAGCTGTTAGGTATGTATTTCCCCGGACGGCGGTGGAGCTCGGACACGGAGGACAGCTCACAAGCGGAGACGCTATGGAAGGTCAGCGTCAGCGGAGAGGGAGCCAGAGAACACGAATACTAACAGAAAAATATACCCACTGTTTTTTTGTTTGCGACAGGCAGAGGAGAGAAAGCTGTCCACCCGCCATCGTCGCACAATTCGTCGAAGTCTTCCGAGATGGGAGACTCGTCGGTCAACGTGGAGGACATCGACGAGGTCGACGACCAGGGCCAGTCGATACTCATGGGGATCATCTCCCAGCTAAGACCGGGGTGCGACTTGTCGAGAATCACGTTGCCGACGTTCATTCTTGAGAGAAAGTCCATGCTCGAAAGAGTGACGAACCAGCTTCAGCAGCCAGACATCCTGATCGAGGCCAGCAACACAAAGGACCCACTAGAGCGGTTTTTGCTTATAGTGAAGTGGTACATGTCGTGCTGGCACATTGCTCCACAGGCTGTCAAGAAGCCGTTGAACCCGATCTTGGGCGAGTACTTCACATGCTACTGGGACCTCCCGGACGGCACTCAGGCGTTCTACGTGGCCGAGCAGACGTCCCACCACCCGCCAAAGTCGTCATACTTCTACATCATTCCCGAGCATGGGATCAGGATTGATGGACTGGTGGAACCAATGTCGAGATTCTTAGGCAACTCCACCGCGGCAATGATGAACGGCTTGACGAAGTTGACGCTCTTGAACGTGATCGACAAGCAAACAGGCCAACCTGAGGTGTACACGCTATCACAGCCAAACATGTACGCTCGAGGCATCTTGTTTGGAGGGTTGAAGTTTGAGTTGGGCGACCATTTGTACATCAAGGTTTCCAGCTCCCCGCTCGTGGCAGACGTTGAGTTTAAAACAAAGGGCTTGATCTCCGGAACATACAACGCCATTCAAGGTACTATTGAGAAAGAGCACGAAAAGCTGTACGAGATTAGTGGGAAATGGAACGAGGTGATGGAGATTAAAGATCTTAAGACCAAAAAGACTTCCGTCTTGTTTGATTGCTTCAAGGCAAAGCCATTGAGACCAAAGGTCAGAGACATTTCCGAGCAGGGAGAATTTGAAAGTAGAAGGTTGTGGCTCAAGGTGACCGACGCCTTGGCCGAGAGAAACCACACCGTCGCCACAGATGAAAAGTTCAAGGTGGAAGAGGAACAGAGAGAAGCTGCCAAAAAGAGAGTTGAGGATGGAGTGGAGTTCCAGCCAAAGTTGTTCAGAAAGTTGACCATAGAAGAGACTGCTGAATTTGGTAACGAGCATTTGGAGTTTGTCATTTACAAAGACCATGCCTTGAAACACGATGCAGCCAAGCACGACGTCAAGAAAATGGAAGAACATGTTTTTGAGATTGCTCCCTTCCTTCCTGGACAGCAGTTCAATGACAAATTTGAGATACCAGCTTACGAAAAACTGAAGGAGCACGCATAATTTATCTCTCTCTCATGGTCACCGGCCAACCTCACGACCCTTTCCATCTCCCGACGCAACCTGAGCTGACTGGTTTGCTACACGTTAGTTTGATTTTTTTTACTCCTACCTTATTCTTTCCCCCTCCATCCCACATCCACCTTCCCTACTCTCCCATTACGGTTCCATTTTTTTTACGCTTTTATCATGCACATTTCCACACATTTCCGTTCAAGTTTACCTCTCCATTTATTTTACCAATAGCCCGCATTTATATCGATATACGAAATATAAATGGATCTACAGTTTACCCTTTTCGAGAACCCTCTAACTATCTTTTCGCTGCATGTTCATCGCAATGGCGTCCTCCCAGGCTCTCTTCATGCTTAATGCAAGATTAAAATCCTCCCGTAGCAGTAAATCGTTTTTTAAATCAACTCTCTGGCCTGTTGCGCAATCACGCAGACACTTTCTCTTCGTGTTGATCTCCACATTGTGTTCTGCTTCAAAATCCTTGAACGTCGTTACAATCTCTGATTCAAGGTTGTCCCATATGTTTAATCTGAAATTAAGTACAAAGGCTGCTAGCAGCCCACCGTAGCAGCCGGTTGCCAAAGCAAAATCCCTCATCTTTTCATATAACTCATTGATAAGTCTCTCGCAATTGCCCAAGTCCTGTTGCTTTTCCTTAGACTCCAACCTGGAGTGGCGCTTCCATTCTCTTCTATACGATGCAAATTCATTGGTTTTCAAATCTACAACAGAGCTGCATATGACCATCCATAAACTGAAATCTCCCGGGTTTTGCATGGCGTATTCAATTAATTCTTTAAAAATCTTTTCTCTCAGCTCAAGCGTATTAACTTTGGAAAGAAAAAATCGTAAGGAATTGCAAGCATAGTAGTTTCTAGGGTGTTGTTCAAGAGACCTTAGACATGTTTTGATCGAGAAAGCGATTAACAACTCCCTACCCCCACAAGATACCCACTCATCCATGAAAGTAACCATATCACCAGCTCCATGACTTTTTTCAGGAATAATATCATAAAGCCACACATGCAATCGCTTGAAATATTCCCACAAGCAGGAAGATTTGTTTGTTTTTTCGTAGTTGCATGTTAGATATCCCGCAACGAGAAAGTAAGTTTCATACAGAACATCTTTCCCATAATTGTTAAGCTCTAGTACCTCAAGGTTCATCCTCAAAGCACTGGTGTCTAATGATGTAGCAAACAATAACCCAAATGTTGCCTTCTTAATATCCTGATAGTTGACCAAGTTTACTTCTCGCCTAAGTTCCTTTGCACGGTGAATATATTGATATGACTCCAAGAATATCGTCGTGAAGACGGTCTTGCTCAGCACAATCTCGTGCGTCAACGTCAGATTGTCGTTCATGGATACAATATGAGTATTTCCCTCTGCCATAATGGCGCTGAGCTCTGGGGATTCATTTATAATTTCATCAGGTAACACTTGAATGCGTTTTCGGGCAGCTGTTTTTTTGTCCAAAATTGTGATAATAAACTCACTAGTGAAATTCAAGTCTAGCTTTAAACCTGGGTCCAGGCGTGTTCCAAGAGTTCCCATTTTTTAGACATCGCCACCAATATGCCCAATGTATCAGGAAATTCAGTTTGGAGATTGAGCTTACAAGATCAAAACATCACCAATTTTTCATTAAAATCATGCACCTCCGCGTTTACCACTGAAGCAAGAAATAAAAAAACCCCCTGATTAGAGACGATCACTCTATACTTTCAGAACCGTAACCAGATTGATTCAGCTCAGTGGCATGAATAAATTTGAAAAGCCAATGTTAGACTTGAAGATTGCAGGTGTGTCAAAACCACGTACTGCCGAAGATGCTTTCGTTGCCGAATGTATGTTTCCTTTCTGATTTTTTTCATTTCGTTCTCAGGAAGATGTACTAACTTTACCAAAATTATTGACTTTGTACAGCCATAGAAGGATACGTGCTAACAATGACCAACCTACACCCAGAAACATCTGAGGATCATATTTATGACGTATTTGAAGAGTATTGCCGAGTGGTAAATCTGCACTTGAATCTAGATAAGCGCACAGGATATGTTAAAGGGTATGCATTCATAGAGTTTCGAAAGCTTGAAGACGTTAAAGAAATTATGGAACTCCACAAGCATCAAAAGTTTCAAATTTTAGGGAGGACGATCGAATTGGATTATGCATTTGTGGAAAGGCCTGATTGGAGCGATATGGCAAGGCTCAAATCAAGAAGTGTTAGTCACAAGAACGTGAGGGAAAGATTAGAAGGACTCGATACACGAGATTTCAGTCCTACCCGTGGTTAGCAGTAGTGGGTCAAGCATTAAGGATAATAAATCTACTCCAGTTTATTATTAGGTTTCTTATTAGGAAATATATTTATATAAAACTTTATACACAATTGAATGGTGATTTGAAAAAAGGAATACTCAGTCTTCCATTTCAGAGGGTTTTAACAAACCTCCGACTTTACTTGCCTTTTCCTTTGCCAATCTATGCTTTTCTAGTAATTCAGCCTCTTTGTCCTCGGCAAACAGGTAATCTGTCGGATCTCCGCCATATTCTTTGATCTGGACTAAGAAATCTCTCAAAATACCTGTAAACTTAGCTTCATTATCGAAACTGCTGAAGAGAACTTGTAAAAAGTTCGAAACTTGTTCCTTTTGTAACTGGTTGAATGCATTCATCAACATGTTACCCAAGTATTCCTTTAGGAACAAAGCGTTAGGGGTTCCAGCTGGTGCAGCATCAGGTGGATATATGGTTTCATTTATTTTTTGTTTCACAACCAATTCTAACATCTTCGCCAATAATTTGGTTTGAAGCTTGAAGCCGGCTTTATGGTCTGAATCTGTCAAAACAAAGAAGACATCACTTATTATTGGGAAGTAATAGTGTCTGTAGAACCCAATTGCAAACTGATTTTCTGGACCCAATTTCTCTATATTCAGTAACAGTTCATAGCACAAGGTTAAGCCTGAGTTCTCAACGTCTCTATTGTTGTGCTTGAACGCCCATAAGATGGCATCAATAAATGCTTGGAATGATTCAGGAGGGAACTGTAATAATGCGTTGAAACCTTTCAAATCAATTTCTCTCAAAAGCTTGTAGAACTCAACTCTATGTTCTGGATATTCAGTAAAATCTCTGTTGATCATACCGAGAGTACATTCGAAGACATTTGCCAAGATCAAAACGATTTCATTTGGAATCATTGGACCCACTTTTTCAACTAAAGTTGACAAACAATTCAACACCTCTGCATCTCTAGCATCTGGAACGTTTGTCTTGTAATCTTCAAGAATTGCAGCCAATAAGTTAGGAACCAAGTCTCTTACTATTTCATGGCCATTGTCAGCCTTTGAAATATAAGTTTCCAGTAGAACCAAAATTTCCTTTTTGATTGTTCTCCATCCTCTGACCCTTGGAGTTTTGGTTGCAATCAGTCCATCTGTTGAGACAGCGGAGGAAATCAATGAACTAACTGCTTTATACAATGATAACATGTCGACATAGATTAGGCCCAACTGCGAATAGAAGCTTGGTCCTAATGGGGAACAGACAGAGACATTTGTTTTAATGATATTGGCAATAATTTTCACAATTTCAGGGTTGGACAACAACTCAGGGTCTTCACCTGCTTGTGAGACTACTGTTGACCATGCAATGTTAGGTAATTTCATCAAATCTGATAAAAGTTTCTCTCTGATCGGTGTTGAGTTTTGAGCTGAGATGATCGTTCCACAAGCTTCGTAGAATGTATGAACTTGTTGAGGTTGTAAATCTGAGGTTGTTTCTTGAATGTTTTCGATTATTTCCTCAATGAAAGGTTTGTTCTCGCCCGATTGTTGGATCACAAAGTGTCTCTTACACTTTTGGGTGATCTTGATAAAAGTGTCACATGCCATATCTTGAACACCTTCGTGAGTTTCATGCATGAATTCGAATAATTTATTAATGACTGTTTTTAGGAATTTCCAATGAGCTCTCAAGAATCTTGGGTATTGACCAACAATATACATTATATTTGAGGCAACAACAGCTTTGTTGTCTTTACCTCTTTTCATCTCTGTCAATGCCAAAAGGTCCTTGATGACTAGGACAAGAAATCTTTTCTCTCTTTCTTCATCCATGGAACCGGATATGGAACCGATTGCCCAACATAGGGTATTTATGTTATGCCAGGACCATTCTGATCCATCTATTTGAGAAGCCAATTTGGCAGACATGATTGATTCAGTATCATTCACGTCCAAATGGGTCAAGTAGACGAGAACTTCTCTCATGGATTTATACAATTGGATGGTGTCACTCTCCTTGACGAATTCTCGGACAATTTCACCTTCATCATTCTCGACAATCAAAACTTCTTCTGGTCTGACCATATTTTCGATCATCACAACTCTTAATCTCGACAATATTTCGGAGTAGATATCTTTACGCAAGTTTTTATTATTCAGCACTTCAGGGTTTGGAGCGCCACCTCTTGCACTGTACTGGAGTTGCATTAAGGCTGAAGCATTTTGGACAGGTAAATTTTGAATTTCGAGATATAGGCCACTAACGGTTTTAGTCCAATAATCTAAACAAGTTTTGAACAATTCTCTCTCTTCGATTCTTGACAAGTTAATCAGATACTTATGGGCTGCCAAAAGCAAATCTCTCAATTGCAAGTTCTGTTCCAAAGGGGTCAAATGGTTAGAGAGGAAGGTGACCAAGAACATTGCCAAGTCTTGCATGAATTCTTGATCGGAGGAGGATGCGTATTTGTAGGTTTTCTTCAAGTCCAAGTTGATAGGAATGATTTTCAGGATGCTTTCCATTGCGAGGCCGAACATATTGACGAATCTTGAGTCGTATTGTGGGGCGATCAATTGTGAGACTTCAGTCAAGCATTTGATGGTGATACTTTTGAAGGTGTCGACGGGCAAGAACTTAGTTGTCAATAGGGGTAGCAACTCTGTTTCGAAGTTGTAACCTGCGGGAATCCAGTGGATGTATTTCAATAGACAGTTCAAGGTTGCGATGATGAGGGAGGGTTTGTTGGCCTTGTCCAAGACCTCGAAGCAGAGCTGGAAGATCTGCTGGAACTCGTTGCTCATGCTTGTCTTCAAGTTTCTGGCCTTTGCCTGGGTCATCTGGTCTGCGGAGAAGTCGATGATCTCCTCGGAGAGAAGCTTCAAGATGATCATGTTGTTTTCGCAGACGTTGAAACCGGCCTTACTGGACTGGACGATTTCCGGGATGAAGTTCGGCCAGTTCTGGGGCCAGTCCTGCTTGACGATCTGGACGAGGGTGAGATCGCATTTGTTTATGAGGGCTCTTTGCGACTGGAACTGGTCGTCGCTGTCGCACATGGAGATGATCATGGAGGCAACGAAGTTGCGGATGCCGAGTCTCTGGTCGTCGGGCAAGGCCTTCCACTTGGTCTTGATGAGGTTGTTGAGGATCGAGAGGCCAATGTACTTGGTTTCCGTGTCCCTGGCGAACTGCAAGATCTGGTCCGCCCGGGTCCACGCGTCCGGGTGGTCCTGGAACTTGGTGAGTATGATCTGGGCCTGTTTCTGGTCCTCGCCCTTGCCCCGGTAGAAGGTCTCCACGACGGTGTCCAAGGCCGTGATGTCCAAGTCTCTCGAGAAGTCTAGAATCGAGTCCATGGTGGGTAGCTTGGTGGGTACGCTGCTGCTGCTCAGGTGCTGGTGTGCTATCGGTGGCTAATGCTGTGCTATCGGTGTGCTGTATCGGTGTGAGGGCGTGTGCACATGCAAGTCGGCGGTCCGCTGTCGGTGTGCGTGCGGGCGGGTGTTAGGGGTGTGTGTATGTATAGGTGTGGTGCAAGCTACTGCCTGACAAACTATAAACAGCGGGAACGGGCACGGAGGGGGTGGGGACGGACGGCTGCGGTGCTTGCTGTGTCTCTGCCGCCCTGTGTCGGTGTCGGTGTCTGCGTCCTTCCAGCCTACGCAAAGACGACAGGAGCACTGCACATGTGTCAGCACCAGAGCCACCTGCCACCTGCCACCTGCCACCTGCCTCCCCCTCTCTCTCCCTGGCCGGCACAGTGCACCGTCTTGCAAAAAAAAAAGGAGACGCCCCAATCCTCTCGCCTCGTCCCGCGCCACCGTCCCACCCGTGCACCGGCGCGGAGAAACGCGCCCTCACACGGTGAAAAGCTGGTTGCTCTGTTTGACGAGCCTCTCGCGGCGGCGCGCGGCCTTGGTGGTCTTGGCAGCAGCCGCCGACGCGTCGGTGGCGGTGGCGGCGGCGTCCGGGTCGAGGGTTTTGCCGAGCCGCGAGGGATGCGAGTCGACGCGTCGGCGCTCGGCGGCAGCCTGCTCGCTGAAGGCGTCCGGGCTCAGCTGGCGCACGACAGCCTCGTCTAGACACCAGCGGCCGAGCCGCCCCTGCTGGAACTCCTTGACGAGCTCGAGGGCGCAGCCCACGTAGTTGGTACGGAGCTTGCCGCCGTCGATCTTGCGGCGGTTGCGGTTGCCTGTGAGGCGGCCGACGCCGTCGAGGAGCTCGTAGACGTCGTTGGTCGGGTGCGGCAGGTAGCGCCGGTAGCCGGCGCCGGAGGGGTCGGCGAGGTTCATCATGTAGAGGAGGTAGTCGGTGGCGATGACGGGGTCGATGCCGCCGTCGGAGGAGGAGGAGGCGGAGACGGTGCCGGCAAGGTAGAGGGCAAGCATGGTGCGGACGCTGTCGACCTGGGGAAGCAGCACGCCGGGGGTGTCGTAGAGGAGCATCTCCGGCTCCGCGGAGATGCGGATGATCTCCGAGGTGTTGCGGGTGACGCCGGCCATGTTCCCCGTGCGGGCGACCTTGCGGAAGCGGCGCTCATCGCCTCCGGCGGCGCCGCCGCCGCCTCCGGCGGCGAGTCCGTGGCGGCGGAGCTCGTTCACGAGCGTGGACTTGCCGACGTTGGGCATGCCGGCGACCATGAGCCGGAGCCCCAACGGCGGCGGCGGCAGCATCGAGCGGTGCTTCTCGCGCAGCGCCCGGAGCACGAGGGCAACGTCCCTGTTCTTGCGGGAGTCGATGGCGAGCCACTTCTCGTTACGCGGGGCGTGCCAGCGCTGCAGCAGCTGGCTGCTCACGGGACTCATGTCCTTCTTCGTGTACACGATGAGCTTGTCCTTGCCCTTGAAGACCTTGTCGAGCAGCACGTTGGCCGTGGCGAGCGGCGCCCGGGCGTCCCGCAGCTCCACCACGAGGTTGATCTGCGGCGCCAGCTGCGCCATGCGGTGGAGCGCCTTGGTCTGGTGGCCCTTGAGCTGCGCAAGCACGACCCGGTAGTCGGGGAACTCCTGCCGCGGCTGGAACGCCCGGGCTGCCGTCTGCGCCAGGCTGGCCGCAGCGGCGGCCGTGTCTTTCTTCAGTGGTCCTGGCATGCGTGTTTCTGCTGGGCTGGTTGGCTTCGAGGATGGGCCGGCTCTGATAACAAGAACGGAGGTGTCGGACGTCCGTGGAGGTTTTTCAGTCACTTTTTTTTTCAGCTCCTCTGCCCCGCCGCATTTTTGCATTTTCGCATTTTCCTGGAATTTTTTTTTCTCTTTCTCTCCATCGTCTCCTACATCTTTCCTCCGACGTTGCAGTTCCCGGGGCCCTCTACCCCCCGTGCACTGCAGGTCTCCGCCCCACATCAGACACACAAGCAGCCTCCACAGACATGCCCTTAGTTCTTTTCGCAGGCTTCCCCTCGTCGGGGAAATCGACGTGGGCCCAGCGGCTCGCCGAGCAGCTGCAGAGCAGAATCAGCACCCTGGCACCGCACGAAGAAGGTGCCAACATGAAAGTGATCCTCCACTCGGACGACTCGCTTGGCATCAGACGCGAGATGTACCGCGAGTCCGCCACGGAGAAGGCTGCCCGGGCAGCGCAGATGTCCGCCGTCAAGAGAGACATCTCGAAAAACAACATCGTCATCCTCGACTCCATGTCGTACAACAAGGGCTTCCGCTACCAGCTCTTCTGCGAGGCCAAGTCCGCAGCCACCTCCAACTGTCTCGTGCAGGTCATCTGCCCCACCGCCGTGTGCTTCGAGCTCAACGCCGCCCGGGAAGACCGCCAGCACGCGTGGCAGGACGACCTGCTGGCGCAGATGATCGCCCGTTTCGAGGAGCCCGACGGCGCCAAGCGCTGGGACTCCCCGCTCATCTCCGTCGCCCACGACGAGGCCGAGCTCCCCTTCGACCGCATCTGGGAAGCCGTCGCCCTGAAAAAGGCCCCGAAACCAAACCACGCCACCGTCCTCAAGCCCGCAGTCGCCGCAGACTATCTCCAGCAGCTCGACCGCCTCACCAACCAGGTCGTCAGCGACCTCGTCGCCTACCAGCAGATCGACGCCTTCGGCACCCTCCGCATCAAGAACACAGACGCCTCCGACTGCTTCGTCGAGCTCCCGTCCCTCCACACCTCCACCGCCACCCTCCAGCGCATCCGACGCAACTTCCTCAACCTCAACAGGGTCCGCCAACTGGATCCGGACCGCATCATCCCGCTCTTCACCGAGTACCTCTCCAACCACCTCAGCAGCGACGGTGCCCCCCACTAGTCACTCCTGCCACCCTTCCTCTCCTTTCTTATCCTGTGTACCATCCTGTAGCAATCGTCTAAACAAGAAAACATTGGCAATCTAAGCTGAGCATGCTCAGCTTTTTTGCTTCTCTGTCTTTATCTCCTTCTTCATGTTCCGCTGAGCCCGAGCCCTCCCCCGCCCAGCCTCCTGCTCCCCGGCCGCCGGGGGAACGCCGGGCGCGCCATTCTCAGGCCCAGCGCAGAAAACGACAAGGGCGCCAGCGTCTGCTTACTCATTCTATCTGGCCCGCTGGAGCCACGGGCGGAGAGGCAGCAGCACGAGAGGCCTGCGGACGCTGCCACAGGACAGGAGGAGCATATCCTACACACACACCAGGCCCTGAACGCAGTCCAGGACAGAGCACACTCCGGAAATACTGCTCCGTATAGCCGTTGCACCACACAGCATTCGCCCCTTGTGCCCTTCCGTCGCCCTATCCGCCCGTCGCCCCGCAACAGCGACAGTACGTACCGTACACTACACCTCACTACACGCTTGCACGCCGGCGCACAGAACCCCTGCACCGCCTCCCTGCATCGCTCTTCTGCCGACTGCTGCGAAGAACACATCGACAGAGAGCCACCGAGAGCGGACGACCGAAACGCCCCCAGCTGCAACAAGCGACAGACACTGGAAGCTGAAACAGAACGAGAAAGCAGACAAAGGGTGATTAGAAAGCGAAGAAGAGGGAACTTACACCACACACGCAGACCCTTGCCATCGCCATTACCGCTGCCATTTCCGATAGAACGTTTGTGCACGTCTAGAAGAACAAGACCTGCGAAGACATTACGGAGTGCCCCTTGCATTTGCATTCCATTCCACAGACCACCCCTTCTTGAATCTTCTTATGCGAAGATCGCCGTAAGGTGCATTTCTTTTGCTCGACAAAACTCAAATGAATATACAAAACTCAGCTGCTAATACCATAGATAGTCCCAACACAGCTGCAAACCCTGATCTACAAATTACAAACGACAACCTGAACTCTTCCAACAACAAGGCAAACCTAAAACACATCCCAGATAGCACTACAACCTTCAACCCTTCCAATCTAAACACCCACGCAAGTAGGAGAAACAGATTGCAGGCTATAATCAAAACTTCTCCGCCAGTTCAACAGAAGAGACAAAGTTCTCATTCCTCCATCAATAACCAGTCGAATAAGAGAAGTGCTTATTTTCCGTTAACCTCCTCATCTTCCAATCTTTATTACATCCCCAACCAGCACATCCAGAGCCCGGTTCCATACAAGCAACCCTCTCAGCAACAACAGCTACAAAGACAGACGCCTCAAACACCACATCAACAGGAATTCCACACAAACCCGGTTATTGCATCCCAGTATCCGTTTTTAGCTCCTTTTCAGAACCAGCTGAACTCTTTTAAACCTGCCTACTATAGGCATAGCAACACACCGACTATCGCAACCACTTCGACTAACAACTTCACGACTAACAACGGAGCATCGAATAACTTGAATTTCACTCCAGCTTCTCAATTAACTCCGAAGCTGCACTATCAGATACTGCAGTCCTCTTTGAAGAAACCTTCCATTTCGGCCTCAAATTTAGATTTAACGGCGAAAAACAAGTTCTTACCTAGATCTGTCACTGCCGATTTGAGCTCAGAATATCCTGTTGATCAAGACCAGATTAATTACTACTTGAAAAACTACAAGCCACAGCAAAGTCCTCATCTGTCGAATTTTCAAAAGACATCTCAGTCTCCAGAACCATTAGACGACAAAATGTCTTCACAATATAACCAAACCAAAAACATGAGTAATAGTCCTCCACAATATGACAATACACCAAATCCCCAATCGCAACAACCACAACAAGCTCTCACTCCCCAACAGCAGCAGCAGCAGCAGCAGCAGCAGCAGCAGCAGCAGCAACAACAACAACAACAACAGCAGCAGCAGCAGCAGCAACAACAACAGCAACAGCAACAGCAACCACAAATGATAATGTCTGAAGAAGAGCAGCTACTCATTTCAAATTTACAGGAAACCTACAAATCGATACTTAAACTTGAGGTTGAAACACAACAAGGCTGTGCCGATGTGAACCAAAAACTACTAGAAAATAACGTAGGATCCGAACTAAATAACGAACTTTGGATTGTTTACAAACATGTCGTTCAGCTACTCGACAATTACTACGATTTTCTATTATATGCTCTATCACCAGCATCGACAAAAACCGGTAGACCGCTAGTATCCAATTATAGGATATTGAAAAGAATGTGGGTCTATGGAGTGGTTGCCTTTTTAGAGGTTCTAAAGAACGTGGTTGCAATTTTTGTCGAACATGAGGTTTGCGCATGTTTTGTTTCTTATTCTTTCAACATAATAAGTTGCTTGACAGATCCTGAACTAGGCATAGAATGTTGGTGGGCGGAAAAATTGGGAGATTTGAGCAGAATGGCAATTGCATTGTACCCTGCAAGATACATGGATTGGAAAACATCCTCCGTCTATTGGTATCAAGAAGCAATAAAAACCCAATTTGGTCACGGTAAAATTTATTACCACATGTGTTCAGTGGAGAACGACAATTTGGAAGCCTTGATGCTTATAGGTAAAGGTGTCAACTGTAAGGATCCATTTGTTCCAACCCAGCAATATTTAAGAATGATTGTTGATAATGTATGCTCTCAAAGAAACATGCTAACTGCTGTTGAAATGGCTATGATAGATTTTGTCAAGATCCACAAAATTCTACTCCTTCCAACTTATAGTATGAATGAGGAGATGATTAATATTGTTTCTCACTATTCTTCGAATTTTGGCGTAGATAACACCAACATTGATTTTTTCCAAATAAGGCCAGATTGCACAACTTCGGATATTAACGATAAGGTGACCTTCTGGTTCCAAAAAGGTGCGAATTTTGCATTATCCAACATATATCATTTGATGGGTTTTGGACTAAGCTCCAATCCCTTTGCTAAGCTTTTCGATTTACCAGATGCATTAAAGGAAAGGAAAGATAAAAAGGACCGGAGAGATAAGAGGAGAAGATCAAGAAGTGATTCGGCAAGTATATTAAGCGCAGGTCTCTCATCTGCGGATCCTAATGATCCTGAATTCCTAGTCAATTCCTCAGCTTCTCATTTAAATGAAAAGTATTGGTTCTTACTTTTAGAGCATATCAACAAAGGTGTGATTGAGTTGTCAATGAAGATGTTGAAACAATATTTATCTGGCCCAGTGCAGACATCAACTCCCCATGCAATAGTTTGGTTATATTTCCTAATAAGTGTATGCAACTCAATCAAGCTTTATCCTGCATCCAAGCCCATGTTCGTGAAGCTACTCCAGGCAATTTTCCCATGGAAAGTCTTAGTGTTGTATCTCAACGATATTCTCTGCATTGTCAGATCTGTGCCAGAATTGAGATCAAGGTACAAGACTTTATTGTGCAGAACCGCCTCAGGTAATAGCAGCAGAGAACTCTTTGATTATTTCGGTGAGGAAGAAACGTTGTGGGAAGTTTGGAAATGTTGGGGGTCTTTATGGTTTGATAGAGTGTGCCCAAAGGGAGATTATTCCACTGTATTTGAAACAGGCATCAAAAGCAATATTTTTGACACACCGCTATCCGGTGCGATTTACAATTCCCATGAAGATGGAGAGCGTTACATTAGAATATTGCTTTTAGGTGGCTATCTCTGCGATTTTTTTCCTGAGTTCGGATTGAAAAAGTGTGACAACATTTTCAAATTTGAGTTTCAGTCGGACGCAGTCTCGATCAACCCCTCCAACATGACGTACTTTACGTATTTCATCAGGGATTCGAGATTGCAACCCTTGTTGAAATTCTCGGGGTACGTTGAATCTAACAGTGAGTTCAAGAAAGTTATCACCGAGGGGGATAGGAACTTTTCATCGGTGGACAAATCTGACGACCTGGATGTACCTGCTATCATGGACCGCTCAATTAGTAAAGTTAAGGGTGGAGCTGACTCTGTGAGTCCGAACACCAACGAGGAAGAAGATGATGACGAAGACGACGATGAAGAGAACGACGACGCTGAGACCAATACGAATACTACCACGACGACGAATACTACCAACACCAACAAACACCCCGTTAACATAACGAATTCCATGAACCACCATACCAACCATGCTCAGAATAATGATCATAATAATAACAACCATAGTTTCAGCAATGTCGATCTCGCCAAATGGACAGGAGAGAACGACTCACCAAAGTTACCGATGTGGGATCACAACTCGTACGGGTTCATGACGGACTTTATAAACAACCAGTACCCTGCAGTGTTGGCGCACCGCTCATCGCTCGAGCTCCTTTCCTTTGGACAGACCGAAGAGGATAACGAGTACGAAGAAGACTCCGAGGAGGACTTTGACGAGAACGAGAACAGCGACGACCAGTACCAGGGTACGGACCAGTGCGACATTACTTCCGAGGGCGGGTCAGTGAGCGCAAAGGCTCCACTGTCGAGGAGCGGCGGCGGCAGCGGCGGCGGCGGGACGTCGTCGTCGGACGGCAACTACAAGCTGTCCTCGGTGAAGCCGGTGGTGATCAAAGGCGATCTTGGCGACCACATGGACACGTCGATCACGTTCATCTCTCTGGACACGAACGTGTGGTTGAAACACTGCGGCAAGATCTTCAAGTGCGTGCGGGCCCGGATCTTCAAGCTTGCCATCCCGTTGACCGTGTTCCAGGAGCTCCGCTCGTTGCGCAAGTCCAACGACAGTCTTGTGGCCGAGAGCGCCACGCGGGCCGTCATCATTGCGAGACAGTTGTACGCGGAGAACGTGGCGCTTGCGATCCGGGCAGACGGCACGACCGCGTCGCACATCAACGAGACGCGGGAGTTCGAGCAGAACGAGAACTGGCGCCTGAACTCGGACGAGTTGATCTTGCAGAGTGTGAAGCTCAACGACGCCTTCGGCAAGAGCTTGAGCTTGGGCTACGGCTACTCCGTGGGCGAGTTGCCGCAGCTGCCTCTCTTCGAGGAGCCTGGCTGCGTCGCCGGCGTCTACAACGGCGCCTACCGCGGCGGCTACTCGCTCTCGCACTTCCCCACGTCCCGCAACCCGTCCCCGGCCGCCAGCGCCGCCGCCGCCACCCCTGCTGCGCCGCCGACGGCCCCCGTCGGCCATACCGGTCTCCCTCCCAAGAGCGACGGCACCCGGGGCGAGGCCCTCCGCCCGCTTTTCGTCGCATCCAAACACACCATGTTGAGCAAGGCCGACGCCGCCGAGTTCCGCTACAACATCGTCGTCACAGACGACCACGACATGTGTCTGCGGGCCGAGGCGATCGGCCTCAAACACCTCCGAAGCTCCGACTGGTTCAAAACCGTCGACCGCATCTCCTTCGGCCGCTGCTTCGATTGATCGCCGGCCCTGCCAGGGCCCCGTCGCCCTGCATGCACGCCCCCCTGCCCTCCACCGGGCCAAGCCGCCCTCTCACGGCCTCGGCACACCCTATATACTTGTTCTCTACTAGCCCGAACCGTCTTCTGCACTACACCGCTTTCCCTTTTCGACCATCCGCTCCTGCCCCGACGACGACCGTTTTCTCGGGCAAGCTCGCTCGGGAATTTGCCTGCCGCATTCGGCAACTCGCGTGCTTATCTCGACCAGGGTCTGGATCGCTATCGGGGCATCGTCAGGGTTGCTATCTTGCTATCGGGGTGCCTCGGTGTGCCAGAAAAGACAGCCATGGACAGGAAGGTGGCCCGATATAAATAAGCTTGTATCTGCTTCCGGTCGTCGAGGGCGTTAAGGGCGTGTGAGGGTGGAGAAAGGGGAGAAGGAGTCTCTGTTGGCATCGCACCGCATCGCATCACCACACACACAGCACCATCGTCCGCATACAATGACTGTTGGCATCCAGACGCTCTACCCGCAGCCCTTGAGGGAAAACGGCCTGATCGAGTCGTACAAGGAGTTTTGCCCGGACTACAAGATCCCGAAGGAGACGGTGGAGGGCGAGCTTGCTGCGCTAGCAGCCTTGATCGAGGCCACGCCGGGCTTCGACAAGAACATGCCGTTCGACGCCTCGAAACACATCATCTTCAAGCCGGAGTACTACAAGACCACCAAGACGTTCACGCTCGACGAGTTAAACATCGACAAGACACACATCGCGCCAATCAACACCTTTGGCGCAGCGTTCCCCTTCAAGCTTCTTTCGCAGGAGGCGGTCAACATGCTCATCTGGGAGGCTGTGCAGAAGAAGGTGATTGAGAACCACGGCCGCCTGCCTAACCTGGCGACCGACAACACCAGACTCGACTTCCACGTCGGCGGCCACTTCAAGTACTCCCCCTTCACCACCGCGTTGGCCAGAAGCGAGGAGCTGGCCGAGATCGTGTCCACCTTTGTTGGCCACAAGATGAAGCCCGTCTGGGAAACAGACCTTGTGCAGTTGAACTTCTCGCTGGCCACCAACGACCCGCAGGAGCAGCTGGAGAACTTCCCGCAGAGCCAGGAGGAGATCGACGCCATCTTGGCGAAGCAGGACGCCAGTGACGGCCAGAACATCCCTTCCTCCTTGGGTGTCCACTACGACTCCATCTCCGTTCCGCTGGTGATCATGTTGGACCTCCCAGAAGAGGCCCAGGGTGGCCAGACCACCATCCTCACCGGCAACGAGACCGTCACCAGAGTCCCAGACCCTCCTATCGGCTCCGGCACACTCATCCAGGGCCGGGTCTTGAGACACTTGGCCTCCAAGCCGGTCACCAACCACAACAGAATCAGCTTTGTCATCAGCTACGCCACAGGTGTCGAAGGTGAGCTCGACAACTGTGTCACCACATCCTTGAAGCCTTCCGTCCTCCCTAAAAACGAGTACAACAAGTTTTACAGAGACTGGGTGGAGTTCAAGTTCAAGAAGCTTGAGGACCACCTCCGCGTCGTCAGAGAGGGAGTAGTGGCTGACTACGAGGAGGGCAAGGGCTTCGACCAGGAGCACTTTGTCGACAAATGCCTCAACATCGAGAAGTACTTCCGCGGCATCTGGGAGGAGATGGAATGTGTTGAAAACAAGCCATACCCTCCACCTTGCTTCAAGATCCCATACAGCGAGCTTTGATAGTTTTTCTGTGTGGCGTCTGCCTGAGGCCTGCTTAAGTACCCCCTGGCTTATTTATATCTCTTTTTCTTCTGTATAGTTTTTCTTCTTCTTTATAATGACCTTTGACTTTTCTTTTCCATTTAATATATGCATTTCTCCCTTTGTTTTTGAATATTTAATCGCCCTCCCAAAGGTGGCTTGTGGAAAACAATAAAAAGGAAGGCTCGCCACCTCTTCTTACACGCGGAGCCGCCTGGACTGCGGATATATGTTCGAACCAGCATCCAAGATGATGACTTGGCTGTTCCTTCCGCTGCCAGCCCGTCTGTTTCCTGCTTGCACACACACACACCCTAAGTAGCACACACAAGAAATGTCCGGTGAACAGCAGGCAGCAACAAACATTGACCAAGACCTCCAACAGTCCAGGTACGGGAAGTACAGCAACCCACAGCTCCAGAAGGATGTCAAGGGGTGGATCACGGCGATCCTCGGCGACGAGGCCGACAGAGCCGTGCTGGAGCAGGAAGAACTTATAGAAAGCCTCAAGGATGGACGGGTGTTGTGTGCGTTGGTGAACCGCACTTTTGGCGACTCGACGCTCAAGTACAAGCCGAGCCGGATGGCATTCATCCAAATGGAAAATATCGAGAAGTTTCTCAACTTCTGCAAGTTGCAGGGTGTTGCACAGGACGAGCTCTTCCAAACAGTGGATCTCTACGAGGCAAAGGATCCTTACCAGGTGGTGATTGCGCTCCAGTCTTTCTCCCGGCTGCTCAGCGAGAAGTTCCCTGGCAAGTACCCGCAGATGGGGCCCAGCATCTCCAAAAGGCACGAGCGGCCGAAGGTGCCTGCCAAGCCGAAACACCTAGTGATGGGCCAGGGCGGAGTACCGTGGAGCTCCATCGAGTATGGATACATGAACGGGAGCAACCAGAAGACTGAGGGCGTGGTCTTTGGCGCCCGGCGAGACATTGTGAACAAATGAGCAAATGAACCAATGAGCCAATGAACGAGTGAATAGCTTATGGAGTCATATATAGTCTATAAAAAACGCCCTGTCGAGAGAAACAACATTCCGAAGCACGTTGTCCAGCCGGAACCGCTTATCAATAGTCGCCCGATCTATGGCGAAGTCGTCGAAGCAGAGCAGGGTGATATCTGAGCCCACCTGCTTGAGCACGTGGAAGACGCTCTCCTCCTTTCCCGTTTCGAGGACTCGATGGCGCACGTCGTCGTCAAGTTCGAAGTAGCATTCCACGTCGGCAGGCGTCAGCCCCGGGTAGAGTACCACCACCATGCGTGGGTATAGGCGAAGGTAGTTCTGCAAATCCACGCCGTCCTCATGCTCTGTGTTGTACTGCTCCATCTGCCGCAGCACCGACTTCGACACCACTAGCGAGATCGATACGTCGGTCCGTTGCTTGGGTCTCAACCGGTTGCTGCTAAGACACGCCGTTTCGTCGGTCTCCAGAGCACTAGCACTGCCACCAGCCCTCTGCTCCTGCTTCTGCCCCGTCACCGCCGCCGCCGACGTGAGGTACTTGTACGACCCGTATGCCAATGTCGCCAACGCCATCGACCCAGCAAGCAACCGTAGTGTCGGGTTCCGTCCTCCTCTTGATGTGGATGCATGCGATCCTCCCTGTGCCATTGTGTCTGTGTGCCGTTCTCTGCGTTGCCGGGTATCCGTTTTGCTAGCTGGCTGTTGTAGCTGCAATCAGTCCACTTTCAATAACACAGGCACGCTAACTTAATCTCTCGGCGACAGCAGGACTGCTATGCCTAGCCCCGATGGCATGGATCTATCGGACTGACGCCGTCACCGGGGCACGGATTGTCTCACTTTCTATGGCCAAAGGCGCATGTCGGCGCGGGGACCCATTTTCTCCATGAATGCGACGACGACTCCGTCCGGGGGATTTTCAAGACCACAACGACATCGACTGGAGGATGAACGGCCGGCCGGTCAATCATGCCAAAGGAATTGGAGCTAATCTTTTCTGCCCAAGAAAGCAAGGGATCTGATTGGCAAATAGTGCTGATCCTCCTGTTTTGTATATGGAGCCCCCTTTCTTTTCAGAGCAATTACGGCTGAGAACAGCTTTCAACTTACCCCCGAAGGCTCATAATTGAATCGTATATAATGAAGCAAGGTTCTCCTAGGTGCTGGTTCTGCATGGCTGACAGTTCTGGCGATGTGTTTGAGATAACAGAAAAAATTTCTGACCAGACACCCTACCATTAGCAAGATGAAAATCGTTGATGTCGTGCTGCTTTCTACCCTGCTCTCAGTAGCAAGCGCAAGTCACCAGTGGTATCACTACAACAACGACTTCTACGTATACTATGGGTGCTTGAGCGCTTTAGGAAAGAGCGCTACATTCTGTAAGAAGGGAAACGTGGGTAAGTGTGTATGCACAAATGAAAACGCCTTGGGCTCCCTGCTATATTGCGGGTACACAAGCACCAAGGCGAACAACACAGGTATCAACAAGGAGATCTCCAAGGGGTGCGTCTACTACAACGTCACCGACCTCACCAACTCGTATTACGCTGAAGTTTACGCAAAAACGTTGGACACCATAGTCGACGTCAGTAACAGTACCAGCTTCAACAAAACAGAGGTTGTCGACTACCCGGTTACAAGTAAGAAGCTCAAAAAGCTCTCCCACGACTTTTACATCTCCGTGAGAAACAGACGAGGCAACATTAAAACTTCCCATGCTCTTGGAATTGCGTTTGTTGCAGCCTCTGTCTTTGTCATGCTGGCTAGTGGTGTTGTCAACTGGTCCATGAGGCTCTCAAAGGGTGTCTCATCCTCTCTTGACAACGCCTTGACGAGAAAGACGAGGAAGTTTTTCAACCTAGCCATCTTCCGCAACCATCTCCACCCAACAGTCCTTGGTTTCAGCCCAGACGTGGTGGAGACGTTTTGGATATCCATCATGTTTTTGTATTCCATATTGAGCTGCTGCATCATCGGATATAAGTGGTACGAAAATGACCCCTCCTTTACCAGCTATCAAACAGGTACTTCTAGATACTGGGGGGATAGGTCTTGTATCTTGTTCTCTTATCAATTACCGCTCTTGTTTTTGTTCCCTGGAAGGAACAACTTTTTCCAGTGGGTCACTAGGTGGAAGTATTCCAGATTTGTCGTCTACCACAAGTGGCTCGGTAGAATCGTTATGATGGAAGTCCTCATTCATTCCTTTGCAATGGCTTCTCAAACCTACGGCTTACACAAAAACACTAGATTCCACGCCGATTGGTACAGATACGGTATCGTCTCCACTGTTTGTGGCTGTCTTGCATCTACCGTGGCTATCTACGCGATTAGGAAGCACTGGTACGAGATTTTTCTTGGTGCCCACGTTACTCTTGTCGTCATGTTTCTTTGGACTGGGTGGAAACACACCAGGAGTCAGCTTTACGAGCAATTTTACTGGACCTGCTGTGCCATTTGGGTTTTTGACAGATTTATCCGGCTTTGTAGAATTGCACTGAACGGCATCCACACCGCCACCATCGAGTTCTTTCCAGGTGACGACGCAACCATTAAGGTTCATGTCAAGAAATCGAAGCTTTACAGAAATTTTACCCCTGGTTCTCATGCTTTTATTTCATTTTTGTCCAAGAACACCTTTTGGCAGAACCACCCATTCACTGCATACGAATCCGTCACCGATCCAGACACCATCACCTTCTGCTGCCGTGTCAAAAAGGGTGTCACAAGAACTATTGCCAACAAGTTCAAAGGCTCCGATGCTCAATCAATACAGTTAAAGATACTGGTAGAGGGTTTCTACGGAGAGCAATCTTATTACCAGCAGTATGATAAATCGGTATTTATTGCAGGTAACACAGGTATAGTCGGTCCGTTTTCGCACATCGAGAAGCTAGTCTCCTCTGGTTCAGCTGATAGGCGTATCGAACTTTATTGGGGTATCAGATCTTACGATGCTCTGAAATGGTTTGGCGCAGAACTACTGAGTTTGAAGGACAAAAATGTGGTCCCAAGAGTATACATATCTCAACCAGAAAGGAGTTCGATAAACTCATCCACAGACAGCACCGACTCTGATCACAAGAACGAAGAGGGAGATGGGATCTTAGCAACAGAGAAAAAACTCAGCTCTCCAGAGCTGGAAACAGACTTACAGCAGGTCTTGGAGTTTGTCGAGATTATCCATGGCAGAATGCCCGTAACCGAGATTATCGAAGCTGAACTGAAGGAAAATACGGGCACAGTTGCGTTCGGTGCCTGTGCTCACACACAAGTAGTTGACTTGGTTCGGATGGAAATTGCCAAAAGGTTACCATCCACTTGCAAAAGAGTTGACTACTTTGAAGAGATGCAAACATGGTAGCCATTGCTTCACAAAGCAGCTACTAAAGGTTTGCTCTTGTAAATTATATCATACCTTATATATGAGTTTTATACTGTTCAAAGGACGTTTTGTATTTGCTTGAGGGACGTTTTGTTGCTATCCGCCATATGTAACTTCTACGTCATTTGCTACCCCCAAAAGATATTCCTATCATCATTGTCATTATTATAAACCAATTAAAGAATTATATGCTATTTTGTGTTAAAGAAATGTGTCTGTTTGAGAAAAGTGTAGTTCTTTATGTAAGTGTGTAAGTGTGTAAGTGTGTGTAAGAGTGTGTGAATATGTGAACGGCACGTGGTGTAATTGTTTGAAACGCTATGTGGTTGCGCAATATCCACATATGTATATATTATTACTTTTTGCAAGTATCAGGGCAAATTCTTCACACCAGATAATTGATTGCGTCTGCGATATCATCGTCTGTTATTTCACTTTTGAAATTAGTTGTCTTTGGCTTAGGAGGTAAGCCTCTTGTGCGGTCCTTGACGTCCTGTGCAGTAAGGTTACCTCTCTTTTCTTGATCTTTTTCCAACACTTCGAACAAGCCCTTGAAATTCCCCGCACCGAAACCATTGTAATTGTTCCTTTGGATTATTTCGAAAAAGAAGGAAGGTCTCTCAAAAATTGGCTTGGTAAATAATTGAAGCAAATAACCTTTTTCATCAAAATCCACCAAAATGCCCAACTTTTTAACAGATTTGAGAGTCTCCTTGATCTTTGGGTGTTTGGAGCTCTTCAATTTTTGCTCTAAATTTACATAATACTCATCTGGGACATCAATGAATTGAACTCCCATTTCCCTCATTTTTTTGATTGTGTCAATAATATTGTCGACTCTTATTGCGATGTGCTGAATTCCTGGTCCGTTGTTGAACTCAATGAACTCTTCAATCTGTGACTTTTTCAAACCGATGGCTGGCTCATTGACAGGCATTTTGATGTGTTCATTTTCAGAACTCATGACTGTGGATTTCAAGGCTGAGTACTGAGTGTAAATCTGGTTTTCATCAACCGACCAGAAAACGTGAAAGTTGAAGTTTTCCTTATAGAACTCACAAGTCTTAAGCATTTGGTTCCAGTCCTCGTTCTGAACACAGTGGTCGATTGCCGCCATGTCCACCTTCGGCGAAGTGCCCGACAGGGCGTCTTCTTGCTCCACAATCTTGAACCCCGGTAGGAAACCCTTGTACTGGGTCCTGTCAACCAGCGTGTGCACTGTATCGTTCATACCGCGGATGGTGACCGTCTTGATTGTCCCTGCCTCGTCAGTTATGGTGTTCGGGCCATCGACAATCAAATGGGAGTGATCTTTCTCTGCTAGCCGCTTGATGATCAAATTGATGTCGTCTGTCTGGAAAGCCACATCTTTGACACCATCGCCGTGCGTTGCGATGTGCTTGTGAATGTTGTCGATCATCTGGTCTTTTGGCTGTTTGTGCAACGGCCGGATCGCGCCCATGAGGACGAAGTGGACGTTGCCGTTCTTGATCACCGTTGCAGAGATGTCCTTCGAGCCTGTTTCCAAGCCCTTGTACGCATACACGGAGAACCCGAATGTTCTACACAAGTAGTTTGCTACCAATTTTGGCGAGCTCACGTAGAACACTACATGGTCGAAGTCTCTACAGATCGCAGAGGGGTCGTCGCTGGCGGGGGAGATGTCGATGGTCATACCGGAGGGTCTACAGCAAGAAGCAAAGCTGGCAGCTGGCGGTGGGGGAGAGATGTGCAACCAAAGCAAGACTTTCTTGCTCGGAGGAAAAACAATACCATGAGCAAAAGAAGAGCCTAAGGTCCACAGGGACATCAAGAGGTACTTGCCCTTTCGGGAAACAAAAGACTTCACCAAACATGCTGGCATCTTTGCCCCTGTCCTTGCCCCCTCCCAGTCCCACTTCCGTTCTTAGCAAACCCCGAACATCTGTGGGCAGAGAGCACCCTCCTTCCGAATGCGGCATTCGCCTGCGGAGAGAACCGGACCCAACAAAAATAGACGCGAGCGGCTGTGCGATGGGCACACAGCCGTGCCGCTTGACGTGAAGAAGACGAGCCGGACGGAAAGAGGAGAAGAGAGGAGACAGAACAAGGCAGGAGAAGAAGGTGTGACTGGTTGTCAGCGGTGGAGCTTCCACAGCAGGAAATACACGGCGGCCACAGATGTAGCGCATTGGTGAGCCGGCTTTCGTAGACGGCGGGGAGAGAAGCCGTGGGAAGAGAGAAGCACGGAGATGGAACGGGCAGGGCGCTGCGGTGTTCTCCGTTTGACGTAATGCAAGGTTCGGCAATGGCCTCGTTGCACTGCACTTCGCTGCACAACAGTGTCCGGGCAGAACCCCCCGGGCAGAACCCCCCGTCCTGCCCGTCCTCCTCCCTCCTGCATCCTCCTCCCCTCTTCCCCACTCTGTGATTTCCCCATGTAAACCGGTGAGGGCAGACGAGTGACAGACAGAAAAGGCTGTCTGTGCGCTTCTTTACGCCACGTAAAGGCACCCTTTTTATGTCCCGGGCCTTCGCAGGGCTCCTCATGTCATGACTTTATGACAGCGACCTGTCACCTTCCTCCGCTAGCTGCAACGGCACGACCTTTTGCAGGCCCTGCAGACAGCTATTTAAAGGAAATGCATCGGCCCTTCCGTGCTCTTCTCGTGAGACACAGCCGTTAAGCGGCCATTGTTT